AAAGTCACAAGAATACAAAGTAGCACGATCGAGGTCATGATTCAAGTTGCGTCATGCATCATGGTTCCGAGGAGAGGTTATACAACGTTCTGTCTGGTGTCCTCCTTTTCTATTAGGTACCTGTAGTCCTGTACAGTATTGCCTCGCTTCCAGGTCAACATGGACGGATGCAATCTTAATCTTAATCCGCTCGGCCCTATCTCCCCTGGGGCCCTTAGTAAGCTTTCTGCAAGCAGCCGGGTCTCCTGCTCCGCACTCACGGGACTCTGTTCCATCAGGGCTCGCGTCCGCTCAACTTGGGACCTGAACCTCGTGTCGTGGCGACTCTGGCGGGGGGAAAGACTTTTCCATCATGTCTATCACAGTATAGTCAACCATATCCAAACAATAATGATGTCCTCGGTTTTTCATTACACCGTACTAATCTCGGATGAGCATCTTCCAGTACCGATGAAATGATCCCAAATCCAGTACCAGATTCCTCAACATAGCTGTAGATTGCAGAGTGCAGAAACGGGTTCTTTCCTGAATATCTCGTGAGCTCGTTCGACTCTGTCACTGGGTAATGGTATAGAAATGAACGGGACTAGCGAGAGCAACAAAACAACTTTGTGGACCAGACAACGTGGAACGGGCAGAAAGAAATGACACAAAAGGCAAAAGACGACACCAGAGCCACCCGGGCGCACGGGCTCCGGTCAAACCGCAACTTCCAAGATTTACACTCCCTCCTCCTCTTGACTCTTTCTGTTCTGCTGAAAAGCCTTGAAAAAGCCTCGGATGGACGCTTGGCAGGGGGGGGGGGGGGGGCACCTCACGGTTCAATCCCTTTGGACCGCAGCTGGCTGCTTGGTCAGCGGGTTATGCTTCCACCACCATGCCCGAGGTTTCACTCTACACTTCTAGTGTCTTTCGCTTCTCGAGTTGTTGGGAAGAGGCACATCGTGGCCATTCTTCATGGCTTCTTCCGTGGTCCTCACCTGCCCCTCTACCTAGGGTAGCAACCTTCCCTTACTACGTAGTAAACAGCAGGCACTCAATCGGTGAGTCTATGTGTAATTGTGCATACTGCCTACTGCACACTTTCCCAGTACACAGCGCGTCATGTAGTAAACACTACATTCAGTCCAAGTCCTTGAAGCCAAGGATCTTATTGCTCTCGATCCAGCTTCGTACCGACATGTTTGTCTGGCCAGACGGGCCCTTTATGGAATTTACACTCCAAATTCCTAATGATGGCCTCCAAGGAGGAGGAATCATCCGCACGACGATCTTGGTCAGGCTTTTCCCAGGGTAGATTGTGGAAGTGTGGAGAGCTTCCCAGCTTCTGTGCGGATCATGTACAGTCGATGACTCGCAAGTTCCCAGTTTATTTGTATGAGATCGTGACCTCGTTCTCGATCGTGCTTCAAGGCAAATGAGTCGTCCGAGCTACGACTGGGGGGATCTGCTGCGAATGGTCACCTCCTTGACGGGCAGTCTGGTCGCTCAACGCTCTCAAAATGGAGTAAATCTCCTGTCGAGATGAAATCGTTGCATTGAAGCCTGGGAAAATAGGATTCTCTTCTGTTGATAGTGTTGGGAGATGGCTCTAGGAGATGGCTCTACTAGGTGTAACATTTACCATGTGTTAGAGGGATGAGGTGTGAGATTGCCACAGGGGAGAGATTCTATCTAGGCTATGGACTGCGGTGAGCCGGCAGTATCACATGCCGTACAAACAGATAGATACTAAAAAGATATGTGACTCAAATCATACTCGCGTACTTGGCGGGTTACAGTGTCTTCACTTCCGGGTTGAGGTGACCTGCTGAGACTGTAGAAAATGCGTATCCCGGCGCACGAGTAGTCAGCCCCATCTCCGCCGGTAGGCAAGCCATGATTCATGCCTCAGTAGCACTAGCTACTAGCTAGTACCTGCTAGTAGCTACAACTGCCACACTGGTAGATGTATGTCTGAACCGAACAACCAAAGCTTTCATCTGATTTGTCTTTGAGCAGTGATCACTTTGCCAGGTGCACAAGCCAAAGCCACTCACCCAGTTACTTGAAATCTTGAACCATGAATCATGGCCAATGAAGCAATGCGCTTGCGCTCTCTATACCATGCGAAATGCAACTAGATCAGTAGCAGTAATCTTAACTAATACAGCGAAGGACTGACTTCCTTCCAGGCATCTTCGGCACTATACATTCCGCAGTCATCCTTGAGAAATAAACCCCCATAATTATTCAATGCTACTCAAACGTACAACTCATGAAGTGTACCCAGTCACACTGCCCACTCACCAAAAAAAAAATATCTTGAGTTCGACCGCCCCCTCTAAAGCTCCATCTACACCGCCCGACAGAAAAGCAGCCATCCCCGATAAGGTAGAAGCGCAAAGTTGACACCGCTGACCCCACATTCTTCGAGAAGCACTCCCAGACCAGCCCTCAAGCTCCGAGCACGGCACAGTACAGCGCAGCGTACCACACTACCTACAGTGCCTCCCAAGCATCTTGAGACCTCCCCTTCCCTCCCCCGGCCCGCGAGCAAGCCTCGAGGCTATCAATGACAAAATGAGCACCATCACGCGCATGTCCCCACTTGACCTGCTCGATCTCAACCTAACCAACTTGGATCCTCTGACGGAAAACTACGACTTGGGCTTCTACCTCAACTATCTCACCAAATGGCCGTCACTATTTAGTACGGTCAAGGACCGCGACGCCGGCGTCGTGGGATATAGTACGTTCCTCCCCCTCGCCCCCTTCACCCTCCTCTCACCTGCCCTAAGCGTGCTGTTGATTTACGAGCTTCCTTCACTTCCTCGGGGAAACCGGACCGAAGCGTTTGATTCTGGACTGACGTATTCTCGATTCCAATGGTATGAATAGTCATGGGCAAAGTGGAAGAGCAACATCCCTCGATGAAGCACTCGGAGCATTATACGCCATGGCATGGCCATATCACTGTGTTGACTGTTGCGCCGGCCTGGCGTCGACTCGGATACGCAAGTCGGTTGACGGAGCAGCTGGAGCAGGGCTCGGATATCAACAATGCGTGGTTTGTGGACCTGTATGTTCGAGCGGGCAACAAAGTGGCGGTGGACATGTACAAGGGCATGGGGTAAGTTTGAGAGATGGGAAGATCCAACGCAGAGAAAAGGAGTAAGAGATCGAGAGGTAGAATTCTTGGCTGACTGTTTACCCCATTCTAGATATTCGGTCTTCCGACGAGTCGTGAGCTATTACAGTGATGATCCATCGGGAATGTCTGAAACCGGTGAAGATGCATTCGATATGCGGAAACCATGCAGTCGAGATAAGAAATTGGTGCATGTGCGTGAGAAGGGCGAGGAGTTCTTGGTACATCCCGAGGATGTGTCATGAGTCATGGCTGCAGTGGGGGTACGATTTGCGAGGGAAGGAAATCCATTGCGCATTGTATATGTACTGCCGGGACCTTTCAATTGAGACTGGAGCGGTTTATTCGATGCAGGCGTCCAGGGACGCGGAAGGCACTGAAAGATTTGTACTTGATTTTTATGAATAATGACAAAGTGTCTATCTGAATGTACATCACTGATTATTTTTTTAGTATGTTCATCGTGTATCACCATCTCAGTGGAGGAAGTAATCTGCTTCCGCGCCAATGGGGGTGAGCAATATCGCAGATGTGACTTTCGAATCCAGTGACATCTCCGGCGAGCGAGTCACTTGGTGACTTTTGTCATGGCTGAGCCTGTATTTCTCCGAGATCCCTCCTCTGGGCCTCCAGACGGAACAGAGACAGGTGAATTTCTCATGGCAGACAGCATCAAATGTCCAATCAGTACTTGACCAGTGACGGCCACTCCATAGTAGGTAAGACAGTCAAGTTAGAGGCAGTATGAAGCACATGGTATGATGGTTCTGAATCACGTGCTTTGGGCCGGATCTTTCAGTGACGCGTTGTCATCTAATCGCTAACGTTGCGACCATTGATCTTAAGCCTTCTTCATCAGCGTTGGTCCTGATCGAACGAATCGCAGAGTTGCCATCAATCCAGCCGATACAACCAGGCAGCAAGCGGTGAAAAGCTGGACACCCAGATATTCATGCGTGGTAGACATGATCGCTCCACCGATCGGGGTACCGACCAGCAGTCCGATGGAAGTGACAGCGAAGACCATGCCCAGGCGGGTTCCCAGATCGCGAATGTCGGGCGTCATGCTGGCCATGACGACTGGGGGCAGAGACACGAATCCACCGGAGAAGAATCCGTATAGCACGGCCAGTGCAATAATGCCACCTAGGGTATGGACGCCGATCCACACAAACGCCAGAATCGCAGTGATGGTGACGGCCGGTGTCAGCATGTTGAGGGGACCCAGGTGATCTGCGACAAAGTTCGGTCCGACACGACCAAACGTGGAGCCTGCATTCAACATAGAAAGCAGATAGAAGCCCAGTTGCTCGTCCACGACGCCGGTATCAATAGCGTACGACTGTACATAGAAGAGGAAGTTGTAGAACCCCAGGAACCCGATGAACATCGCCCCGACAAACAAACAGTACGAAGGCTCCTTGAAGGCGGAGAACTGGTACAGCTTTCGTTTGTCTTTGGGCGGAAATCGGATGCGCATGATCACCACCGAGATCATGATGGATCCAAAACAGAGAAAGCCAACGGCTCTCGTTGCCCAGGCGAACCCAACACTCTTTTGCAATTGATGGAACATGATCGGGTACACAACCCCGCCGATACTGCTGCCACTGGCAGCAAGTCCATTCGCCAAGCCTCTCTTTGCACGGAAATACTGAGGCAAGATCGCTACCGAGGGAACAAAGAGGCACCCTGCTCCGACACCCACGCAAAGTCCCTGCGCAAGAATCAGATGCCAATATTGGGTGGATATACTGGTCATCATGAAGCCGAACGGAAGCAGAACATTTGCGAAGCAGAGTAAGCCTCGGAAATATCCGGCATCAAATAGAGGTCCCGTGATGACCCCAATCATCATGAGCAGAAAGCTCTGAAGCGATCCTATCCAGGCGATCGTCGACGATGAAGTGCCGGCGAGCAAGTTCTGCTCATAGTATGTCTGGTATGCCCCCCAGGTGTTGATGACCCCCCTTTTCCAGTTGATATGTTAGAGAACGATGTTGAATCTCATACATCCCTGCAGGGCGAAGGACTATGTTTCCAGGAGATAGATTGACTGTACCATGAGTTGAAGAACAAAAAGAAGGACCCCAGCACCTGCAACCATGAGAAGAGACCGGTGTCGTACGTTACTTCTCCAATCTCCTTTTCCACTGGGGACTTGGAATCCGACGAAGCAGGTGGTGTCTCTTCATCGCGAGACTTTTCCGCCTCAGCAGAGACTTTCTGATCGACAGCTATGTGAGTCGAGCCCATCTCGAGCGAACGCGAGTCTCGCGGAGGCAGCGTCTGATCCTCTTCGTCTCGGGACGGTCACTCACGAAGTGGTCGCACGCGAATGTCCTAATGTGAGCCTGAAGAGAAGCAGTGTGATTCTTTCCTTTGACTATGAGTCACGAGAGCGAACTCTCCTCGATCGAGAAAACTAGTCCATTTACCATTATGGAGCCTCTAGGGGCAATGGCCAGTGCTAGCTTCCCACCACCGTGTGGATTATAAATGTCGGATCAACCCCAAAGATGCGGGCAAGCGGGGGCGACTGGGACGGAGATTCCTGGGCTGGAGTCTCAGTCAGGCCCGGTCTCCAAAGGGCGGCAGGAACCGAAACTCCAAGCAGCCATCCGGCGAGTCAGGCCAGCGTCCGGCCATTGCTCCAACCGCGGGCAGTCGATCGGTTGGAGTACTCGAAGGTGTACTGCGTGAGCGCGTGCAACTTGATGAGTCAAGCCAATGCTATTCAAGTGATCGGTTACTAGGTTGGGCCCCTTAAAGACCGGAGTCCAGCGGCGACAAGGGAGCATCAAACATGGGCCAATGAACGTTGCCGAGAGGCGTGCCGGTTATCCAGATGGGACGCCCAGAGGAGGCCTTGCAGTGTTACGATCTCGCATTGAGTTCATCTGCATCTGCAGATGCAAAGCTGGACTGTACTTGGATCTGCCCAACGTGGATAAACTTGGACATGGCTGCATTACTAATAGTATATCTATCATTCAAGACCATCTGACTCCCTAGGCGCTCGACCGTAGCTGGTTGCATCACCTCTCTGGTTGGCACACAGAAGGTCAGATACGCGCGAGGCCAAAGATCAACCAACACTACAGGATGACTTCAGTCTACAGTACTACTCTACTACTGTCGTGAGACTCATGACTCGTGTCGTCCGCCATCTCCTCCCCGGAGATAACGGCGGCGCACGTGATTCGGCAGACACCGTCGGGCAGGGCCGAGACTGGGGCCTCGCTACTGCTGGGCTAATGGATATTCTGACTAGACTCGTTGCATAAATAAGCATCTTGCATCGATGAAATCGGGAGAATTGTTCAAAGTATGAAGTGCGATCCATTGGATTACCCTTCATTAGAAATATTGCACTAGTTCAAAGACCTCACAGCCGACCGCGGACAGACTGTGATCGTTGCTGTCGCCGCAAAATGCCAATCAGTGGAAGTCGTGGTGATTGAAGAAACCGTTGGTATGAAGTTTTGTGTTTTGTTTTCTTGCAAATTTCATGTAAAGTTCGTGGCCGTGGCCGTGGCAGTTCTTGCCGTCCTTTTTATCGAGCTGGGCCACGGTTTCTATTGACACCCAAACACCGAACGCTATGCTGAATCTACCCGAGAGCAGAGTGAAAGTTTCCCAAAAAAAAGTTCAGAAGATGACTGTCAAAGGTCTAGAGAAGCTCTTCGCAAGACCAGTCCTCGTACCTGGAGATCAAGTCAGTGAAAGTTGTCCACGTATCCTTGGTCGCTGAGCGTGATCATACCATCCATCGGGCAGATATCGGCGCACAATTAGAGGGATCTTCTTCTGGTTCAACTCTTTCATGGCAATCTGCAGAGGGTCGGTCTCGCCCTCAAGATCGACGAGCACGGGCGCGTTCATACTGTTGTCCAGAATTGGTCAGCTCAGCCTCGTGGAGTGCGGCGCAGAGTCGGAAACGGGTTTCAACGCACCTGATTTGCAACGCACGCGTGCCAAGCACGCGCGCGCGTTCGTACTTGGTCAAGTATGGGGTGGTTGTGCGCTTGTCGTTGGGAACCTTCTTCTCTCGTGACTGCTCCATCACTTTGCCCGAGTAGCCAGCATTGGAATCGCCGGAGACCACGACGTTTTCGCCGTTGACGGCTGGCTCGTAGGACCCGCCCTCGGCACCATCGTCGCCCTCGAGCCCCTCATGGTCGATGTAATCTTCGGGCTCGTTTTCGTCGAAGACCTCCTCTTGAGGCTCGTAGTCGAAGCTGTGAGGTAACCACGTTAGATTATGCGCTTGCAAAACCCAGAGCCGGCGGTGATTCCTGACACCCGCAAGGCCTTTTTTTCCCCTCCTCCCAGATCAACACAGCTCACCCGGGGGGAAACGGGCTTACTTCTCCTCAGCGTCGTTGTCGCCGCCGTAGTCCGACATGTTGTGAAAAAGTGAATGAGGATTGAAAGAGCTTGCGAGAATTGAGCCCCTGCACGAACGCAAATGTTTGAGATGCGCGACGCACAGCTAGCAGAAAATCTTCCTTGACACTAGTCCGTTCTCAGCCTCACCGCCATTCAAAGTGCGGCAAAATAATTTTATTTTACAACAGGAACTTCGGACTTTTGATTCGAGTACTGAGTACTCCTCTTTCCTCTGATAACGAATGGCATTTGCCTTCGAAGGGACATGTCAGTATGGCCCCGAAAAGAAAAGCCTTTGCTGGGGATGTTTCAACTTCCAAGCGTCGACAGCGAGCCACTATAGACCATGACGGTAAGAGCATTCCCGGAACAACAATAGATAAGGCTCCGGTTGCTAATCCACAACAGATCCTATCTACGAAGAGGTTCATTCAGATGCCGAATATTCAGGCTCAGGTACCCCCAGCTTGATTAGTGATGACATGAACGACACTCCTGCGACACCGATCTCTACGACATCTTCACGGTATCCGTCTGAGCTCAAGACTCACTGCTGTCCATTCGAAGGATGTTTGAAAGCATTCAATCGCCCAGCTCGATTACAAGAACACATTCGGTCGCACAACAATGAAAGGGTCTTCCATTGCACATTCGATGGTTGCGAGAAATCCTTCCTTCGTGCGTCTCATCTTCAACACCACACCAAGAGCGCGCACACCGGGATACGTGACTACATCTGCGATCGTCCAGGCTGTGGGAAGGGTTTCGTGACCGGATCACGCCTTCGTCGGCACATTGCGGCGCATGACGGTCGAGACAAATTTCGCTGTACCGAGTATCCACCATGTGAGGAGACTTTTCGGAAACATTCTACTCTACAAAAACACATCATTAGTGTTCATCTGCATCAGAAGCCCTTTCCATGCACGCACATTGATGAGACGACGGGGCAGCAGTGCCAGATGGCGTTCGATACCGCTGGCAACCTTCGCGCCCATACAAGCCGAGTGCACACAGAAAAGCGGTTTAGCTGCACGGAGTGTATGGCCCGCCTTCAAGGGCAGTGCCCGAATCAGCAGCTGGAAAGCCTGCCCAACCAATCCACAACGTTTCCTTCATACGCGCTCCTGCAAGCTCATATTAGAACGGTACATCCTCCCAAGTGTCCAAAATGCCCCATCGCCTGTTCTACTTCTCGAGAATTACGCCGCCACCTGGAAGTCGCCCACGGCGATGTGCCGCTAGAAGAACGAAAGGTTTTCAAGTGTACCGTTGATGGGTGCGATCGAAGCTTCACCAAAAAAGGCAACCTGACCGTGCATATTCGAACCTATCATGAAGGCGAAAAAAGATTTGCCTGCGGCGAGACCGATCTCTCAGCCTCAAAGAAGGTTGCCGGCTGGGATGGTCAAGGCTGTGGCAAACGGTATGGCACCAAGCTTGCCCTAGAGGAGCATATTCGCACGTCGCACTTGGGATTTAAAAACTCCAAAGCAGAGCGACGAGACCGACTCGGGTTGACCAACAAACCAAATACCACCCCTCAGGTGTCTACTCTGGCGGCGCTGACCGGCCAGGGCTACGCCGAGGAAACGGGCCGTCACATTCCTTGTTTCTATGAGACATGTGAGCATCGGTTTCACCGCGACTATGACCTCTGGGTCCACATGTCTGCTAAACATGGCTGCTCAGAGGACCAAGTGCAATCCTTTTTCATGCAGCGAGCGCTTTTGGCGGACAATGTTGGCCTTGGGGGAAACTCGCTCGGCATCTACGGCCTTGAATTCGACGAGAGCTTCTCAACTACGGCACGCGCAGCACTTCCCTCGGAGTCGCAGACTGAGCGGGACACTGACGTGTTGATGCATGCTGAATACCCTTATAAGACAGACGGCAGTCTGGAGTCTTTACTTTCCAACCATGATGACATGTTCAGGCCTGAGGATCAGACGTTTCCCTACACGGGGGAACAGTGAGCACTTCTAAGCAAGTGACAAAGCATTGGTTTTTGGGTGATCCCTTAGTATCGCTGACAATTTAACGCCTCATCTATGACCTGACGACCTTGCATAATTTAGCGATCATATAAATTTCAATCTGTTCTCATCGAGGCTGGTGTGAAGTGAGTATTTCTTGAGGTTTATATCACTTCTCTCCGGGGCTTGCTTTTTCTTGGTTTTCGTCATGTTCGGATTGAATATAAGTCCTCATTCATGAAATAAATTTCAAGTCTTTTGAAGACAAAGTTCCCTGATATGAGCATAAGTTAAATTAAGTGGCCCTTCTTACTGGGCATGCCATGAGACTACTCAGCGATCCTAGTCAAGGTGCTCAAGATACACACAAGCGAAGCTATTTTTGTCTCACACTCATCAATCACCGATGCACAAAAAGTCATAGGAACATGCATAAGCATGCTAGGTACAGCCACTTGTCGACTCCACCGTTCCTCATTTCGGGGAGTGAAATGCGGGGAGAGGACCCGTTCATCCTCGGTACAACGTGGACTTGGAACTGTGATAGCCGGCGGAAAGACCTTGACTGAGCTGCTAGCGTCCACACCCAAATGGGAATAATAGTGAAGCATAATAGAATAGCCGACATGGTGACGACTCTAAACTCAAACGATGTCGATCTTCCACCGAGTAGATTTTCCCCTCATCATTGGCGATTGTAGAAACATCTTGTCTACTCATTCAAGTTCGACTATTCTGCCATCTGCGGACGGTCAATGGGTCTCTACAGCCATGACGACATTGGCCAAACACACCCCGGTCGTGGTCGGGGTAGGGGACATCAAAAATCGGTCGACTCGACTTGATGATGCGGTCGAGCCACTGGATCTCATGGTGCAAGCTATTTGCGCGGCTCTGGAAGACACAGGCTTATCGACCTCGGATGCACAGTCTCTTCGAGAAAAGGTCGACAGTATTTCGGTCGTGGCGAACTGGACTTGGCCATACCCGAATACCCCGGAAGTGCTTCGGAGTAAATTACATTGTCGAGCCACGCATCTTCATGAAAGTGAGCATGGGGGCCATTCGCCGGCCGAGTTGTTGGATGAAGCTGCGCGACGAATTGCGCATGGGCAAAGCACAGTTGCTATTGTGACTGGTGGGGAGGCTCTTGCTTCGTGTAAGAAGATACGATACTCTCGTCACGTCGTTCGCGAGTGGAACGAGATTTGCTATTGTACTCCCGCAACTGACATTGAAAGTGTAGTGGGTGCGTTCCACGCCGCGAAAAAGTTTCCACCTCCCGGATGGACTCACTTGGAAGATCACACCTCGATATGGGAGAAGGAGCGCAAGCATAGTAAGCAGAGCTGCTTTATATCCTGGCAACAGCCGCATCACGCCTACTAACCGCGATCTCAGATCTTGCGGCCAGCTATGGACTGGGCCTCCCGACTCAAGTCTACGCCATGTACGAAGCGGCACTCCGAGCGCATCGGGGTCAAAGTCCGGCGGAAAATCATCGTGAATCAAGTGATCTATATGCGGAATATGCCCGTGTCGCAGCAGGTAATCCCATTGCATGGACCCATGGCAAAGAACCGGATACCGCAGACACGATTGCGCGAGTGACGAAGAGAAATCGAATGATCTGCCTCCCATGTGAGTGTTGGATTTGGTCGGTGAGCAGACCCAATCGCTCGTCAAGGTACTGACTCGCACTATTTAGATCCACTGGTGATGAATGCTTTCAACACGGTGAACATGTCCGCAGCATGTATACTCACTTCCCTGGAACATGCGCAAGAATTGGGAATTCCACATTCTCGCTTGATCTTCCCCCTCGGTGGTGCAGGCACTCATGACCGTGAAGATTGTAAGACAAGCTTTCCCCCATCTTTTTTGGGCAAGACGGCTGATTGTATACGCTCAGTCTATGAACGCAGTTGCTTCTTCCACAGTCAGAGTCTATCATCTTGCCTCGATGCCACTCTAGCGGCTTCTAATGTGAAAGCCGCCGAGATTGACCTATTTGACTTTTATTCGTGAGTGTGCTTTTAGTTCCATTCATATCCCATCATCAGCACTAACGTGGCACCTGCAGATGTTTCCCAATCGTACCAAAGCTGGCTTCGCTGCACTTGGGTATCCCCATTCACGGTGGCAAGCGACCGACGACCTTACTCGGAGGTCTGACTTCCTTTGGGGGTGCTGGGAACAATTACTCTCTGCATGTTGGTGACCCTTCTCATCTTAGCTTTCACGAGTCCTCAATATCGTGAAGAACTAACGAGACTTTGCACCTTCTCCGGAAACAATAGGCAATCACAGAAATGGTTCGCCAGCTCCGAAGTGGTCAAGATGGCCAGGTCGGTCTAGTCTTGGCCAACGGCGGCGTCCTATCGCATCATCACGCAGTCTGTCTTTCTCGCAACCCTCGACAGGACGGCATTCTCTACCCGATTCGAAATCCTCTACCGATACACGTGAGTGGTGCTTGGCCTCAGATTATCGAGCGCGCACAAGGAAATGCCAGAATTGAGGTGAGGATCAATCTACTTGCTTACTCTCTCTCTCTCTCTCTCTCTCTTCTTCGACCTTGACTCACTAATCGCATTTATAGACCTACACTGTTCAGTACGAGCGAGACGGGTCGCCTCTCGCTGGCTTCATCTTGGGGCGTTTGGAAGAGGGAGGGGCTCGATTCATCGCCATCACCACAGATGGGGCAAGTTTGAAGGTTCTTGGTACGAATCGAGAGCAGGTTGGAACCCCAGTATGGGTTGAATTTGATGAAGATGCGGGAAGAAACACTTTTAAAGTTCTAGGTGCCAGATTATAAGCTCGGTCCCAGACTACTACCCTCGAGGCGAAGCAAGTGACGATATATAGCACGCCATTCCAGCTTACTGGACATTAGCCAAAGGAAGTAAACGACGAGGGAACTCGCTAGTTGACGCAGCTCTGCAATTGAAACGTACAAATTGCGCCAAGTGATATATTGCTCCTCCCCAACCAGCAAAACTACAGCTTGGACGCGACCCACTGTGGCTGCTTCTTCGCCGCGAACGCCTCCAATCCGATCCTCAAGTTCTCAGAGGTAAGTAGAGCTCGGCCAAACTTTTCGGCCGTGATCTTGTCGGCTTCTATCGTACTCGCTGTTTCCCATGACTCCCGGAGACCCGAGCGAGACACAATGATGGCGTCGGGAGATTTATTGGCAATTTCCTTTGCCATCTCCAACGCTTCGTCCACCACCGACCCGTGAGACTTGGCGATACGGTTGATCAATCGTAAAGAGAGGGCTTCTGTGGCGGGAACTCGACGTCCTGTCAAGGCTAACTCGGTACCAATTCGCATGCCGCAGTCGCGCACGATGCGTGAGAGCCCCCCTGCGCCGGCATACAATCCACGCAGAACCTCCGGGAGACCGAAATAAGCCTGGGGCGAAGCAACGATCAAATCACTGGATCCCCAAGGTTATCGAGCGTCAGCACCACATGTAGCTTGGAATTTTCGAAAATTGCAAGTTAGAGATGAGACGAACCAATTCAAGCAAATCTCAAATCCACCCCCTAGTGCCAGTCCATTCACCGCCGCAATCACGGGCTTTTTGCCCCGTCGTTGACTCAATCCTGCAAATCCGCCTTCGGCGCCCTTTTCCGGTCTGGCCTCGTCGCCGCGACTGATATCTCGCTGCTCAAGCAGGTCGGCCCCGGCGCAGAACGCTTTGGTGCCCTTGCCTGTAATGATTCCTACGCGCATGGAGGGCTCATTGTCCATCCAGTTCCAGAGCGCAGTGCCTTCATGATGACCTTGTAGGGGGATCGAATTCATACGTTTTTCTCGGTTGATGGTTGCCAGTAGGACTCCCGGGCTTGGGAAGGATACTTCGAAGATGGTTGTTTGCGGAGGGGGAGTTTGGAATGACATGTTGAGAAACCGTTATCGCAACGAATGTGGGGGGTTTTGGTAAGTTGAATGTCTTCTCACAGTCAATTCCACAATAGTGAAGTTGTTGTTCCTGATGTCAATGAAAGTACTTGAAGTACGGGGTCTTGCTACCGTGTGGGGAAGCTCACAGTGGGGCCACAGTTGATCCCGGGAACCTCGGTTCACCGGTTGGTACACATTAGCGTCGAACGAGATGCTCGCACGCCGCACGGGGATGTTGCTGAATCAGTCGACTTACACTTTCATCCAGCCAACTATGTAGTTGGGTACTACTAGTGACCGATTAGTTCTGCACCGCTTGGAATTAAGGTCCTCAAGTCTTGCGCCGAGTACCGTGTATTTGCCCAGGTTTTTGCTAGCCCTATCGCGCCCGCTAACTAGCAGCCATGGTGTTGTTGACGGGTCTTTTTTTTCTCTTCCTTCTGTCGGACTTTGTTCTAGAGCCGAGCGGGCTACCCCTGGCATATCTCTAGGCCTCTCGGACGGGCACGTCCTGATCTCAGTTGTGGACGTTGGGCGAATTGGAACTTCGCTATGTACATCGGACTCTTCATACATCAGTGGGCTCCCGACCTCTCCCTCAAGGAGATCAATGCTGTCAACTTCCAGTTTGTTTGGCCATCCATGTCGCTCAAGTGGGTGAGTCGCAAGCGGTTAGCGCAGCTCCACCACGCGATGAGGCCCCATCGAGATTCACAGCAAGCGCAACTTACACATACCACCCTGCATATCCTCAACGAGTCAGCGTGGGCAGCGTGGCAGAGACGATGCGTTCGAGATCCACGGGCCTAGAAGTTTACGGCCCATGTGCCGCACACTGTCTCCTGCAGCTTCCCGATTCGTTCGATTCAAAGGATTTCTACTCCAACTCCGGTGTATAGTTGGAACCCGCTACTTAGTGAACACTAAAAGTCAAGACAGACTATGGAGAGTCATGGTGCCCCGCCATGGTGTGACAGAGGAAAAAAAAACTCGTTCGGCTTCTTCCCTTTCTCCATTGCACAATTCTTATTTCCTTCTTGAACTTCGAGCAATCGTGAACGGTGGTCAAGAAAAGTGCTGTCGCCAATTGTGAGACAGAAAGACAACACAACAACAAGTCGGTAGCAGAAACACAGGGTACCGCGATGGCAGCTACGGGTGCTCAAATGGGCTCGACATGCAGCTTTTCAACTCGAATCTCACTTCGCTGGCTCCCCGAGCCTCCGTCGGAGACAACCGACACCATCGTCCTCTCAGTGGGCGCATGGTTCCTGGACCTGCGGATGGATAAACAGTCTGGCAACATTGACTGGGCAATGGCGGGAACTCGAATTGTAGAGAATCCCAATGAGTCACCCGGTCAGTCTTGTTGACTTGGAAATCCCACTTTTTTCATCTTGAACAAAGTTCTAATCGTCAGCGCAGTCAACGTGCGCTTCACTCGCGAGCTGTGCTCGTTCAACGAAATCGGCATGGTCGATCCAGCCACCTTCAGCCCCCTTCCCAATGGCGACGATCTCGAGACAGGCGAGATGCCCCGCACGGATCTACCCGGTGCGCCCATGACGGCCTTTGAAGAGGTTTGGCGCGAACTGCCTTTCCGACAGGGCCCCGAGGGCCCTGAGAGGGGCATCTCTTGGGTGCTGGAGTCGGATGATAGGGATCGTCTCACATCCGACACCGAAGAGCCGGTGACCGTCACCAAGGTCTTCGTCGGTCGAATCTGGGGGACGTACATGATCTTTCAGCAAGTTCAGACTCACTCTCGGGAAAAAGATTCAGAGGGCAAGCTGTTTTTGCGCAGGAGTGGTGGCGAAGTCAGTGCCCGGCGAGAGGAATGGAACGGGTCTGCCTGGGAGAAAAAATATGTGGTTGGACCGGAGGGAGATGCACTGCCTTCGATCATGAGCGGTCTTGATGGAGAGGGACAGGGCTCATGGAGAGTCCCTGGAGAGGTTGTGAAAATTTCAGAGAAACCGTTCATTGTCCGCGCCTTTGAGGAGATCCTATAAGACAATCGCTTCATATCGCAGAGCTTCCTCCCAGGAACGTCGGCGAGGACTTGCGCCAGGCCACTCCTGATCATCTTATTATGGCATAAGCATCTAGCAATTCGAAAGCATTTGGTATGAGCTAGAATCTATTTCGCATCAAGTATGGGGATATGATCATCAGGGACGGGCGCTTCGTCTCAAACATTGTCTTTTCACTGGGTTGACGACAAGTGGAAGGAGTGCCTCGACGTGCAGATGGAAGTTGCGCCTGCAGAGTCTCAACAGCGGCCAACAGTACATAACTACATATACTATACCAGGAAGCTGCCCCTCGGCAAAAAGAGAATATTTGCTGGCTCATCTATTGAAAGTCGTGGTGATTGTATGGATCGTCTTGCTGGTGATAGACCAGTGCGGAAGAAATTTGTGATCCACGGCTACAGAGGTATGCGCAGCTTTAGGATGTGTGAGTGGGATGAGGGTGAGATTGACTAGCGAGGAGATATTCTATCAAGGCTATTGACTGCGGTCAGACGGCAGTATCACATGCCATACGGATAGAAATCGCAGGTTGTAGACCGTAGAGCATTACTACTTCCAGTAGGGCTGAGGTAGCTTGGTGGTCCTGGTAGTATTTGGCGTCCGGTGTATGTACTCTATAGTCTATTGTACTTGGAGGATGTCTGACTCTGCCGCGTACCGCTGGACCATACAATGGACCGTGCTTGATATCAGTGGAAATATGCGTTGGCATCTCAACATCTGACACCGTATTGTGATCACTGGTCACTGGTCAGCAGCTAAACTCGCTCACCTCTGTCATGTGATATGATCCTGCTTTCCGCAGTGGCTGACCTGAACCAGTCTACTACTGTCACTCAACACTGTACGCGACTACGCTCTGCGCTCTGCGCTCTATATTCTGTAGTCTATTATGCGTCAGCTAGCAAACCGAGCCTGGCCCGAATGGCTGGGAACAGTGGGCAGATGCGGGCACATCCAAGTTCCAACCACAGCAGCAGACGAGGTCGGGTACAGCCACTTGCTGCAGAGCCGAGTCTGGTTCCAGGCAAGCGGCAAAGCCTAAAGCCAGTTGAGGTCCGATGCCGCGCAAGCATAATTGCGTGGCCTCGCTGAACGACGAACCGGATCCTTACAATGGGGGTTGGCATTGTGGATGATCATCCTTGAAAATCAACACTGGAATTATGTATTTGAGCGTGAAAGCCGCGACTTGAATTTTGACAGTTGGTGGCTCGGTGCTCATTTGTACTCTCAAATACGAGGTAATAGAGGCATGCTATGTGTACTATTTAGTATTTATTGCGTGCCAATGCTGAGTGCTGAGTCGCCGACTGCAAAGCGCAGTCCGGCCGCTCGGTCGGCGAATGTTAATTGGTGATTGGGCGCGTTGCATGTGGTCGGATCCAAAAGCTTGGCCAAGACACTCCTACGATGTTCTGTACTAAATTTAGGTTAACAAACCTAATAGTATCTTTCTGATCTGCGACATGATAATTTCTGTCTCGGTCATGGAGCTCTGACGGAGGATCTGCACCAAAGCAATCGCGTGCAAGAAGGCAAAAGGTACACGGGGTGAAGGCAAAGATTACCTGATAGTCGATAGTAAACCTGAAACGAAAACATGCGAGTCAAGCGGTGTCTCGACAGACGCCGAGTACAATGGTAGTTCGAGTCGACTCACACGTCACGGTTGGGTTCGCATTCAATAGAGGTACATGTCAACCAACTAGTGTCATAGGTAAGTTGAGGTTATTATCATGCACATTTCACAAATGTACACTATAAAATGTGCATTTGTGCAGAATGCAGACTGTAGAATATACCGAAGAACGGTAGGTGCCATAAGGTATTAAGTAATCTCTGGTGACTGGACTCCGGGATAATAATGGAATGGACCCCCTTTTGCTTTGGGCACTGGGCAGTTACAGTACAATCTTGAATAGCCTCCCCAGATTGACGGGAGACTCGCGAAAGGGGGACAAATCACAGCTCCTCAATTCCAGTACAGTACAGTACGTTATGAAACCTTGAAAATTTTGATCAGGGATAGACTACCCAGCGCCAACTAAAAAACTTAATAGCCCCTATCATCCAAGATCCAGATATTCAGTCTTGGGATCTAATGACAACAAAGAGAGAGACGACGCAAATGCGCTGTCATCGTATTAGAAGGGAACCCAAAAAGGAGACCATAGATCCATAATACTTATGATCAGCTCTGGTCCTTCTCAGCGCTCAATCATTATCAGATTAGATGAGCCAAGGCGGTCACAAATACCTTTCAGGCAGTAGTCAATGGTCATATCGCATAGTAAACATTAAACGCTAAACATTGATAAGGTACAAGCTCAAGGTTGCTTAGGTCTGTGGAACACTCAAAACTTGGGTGTCACTCGTCCATCCTCGTGGACGAGACCCAGTACCTGCTGAACTAGGGCCTTAGCTGTCTAGTAGTCTACGAAACTTGAAACTTGAAACTCGATTTGATGGGCGCTTGTCCCAGCAGGAAATGTCTCATCAGCATCATCATCATTCACCCGCTCTACATACATTGTTCCTTGGTGTCGCAGAAACAGGTGAATTCGCGCAGTACGAGGGTATGATACCTTGAGTTGATGAATCATGAAGTCATGTACTGTACGAGTACGGTACATCTGCATCATGTTCTTTTTTTGGGTTTCCAAGCGGAGAAGAACAGACCCACAGCCATGCGGCCACCAGTTGCCTCCCTGGAACTTTCCTACCTTATCCGGAGGGCCCACGGGCAGACCGAGAGACATTGGGTGGCAGGTGCAAAGTTTATCAGATAGCGCAAAGACGATTACTACAGTCAACACTAACAGTACTGCTACTATTACTAGCTTACACTTAAATTTACAGTGGTACAGTGGTGAAATGACAACTGCAAAATTGAAAGACAGCAGTCGTCTTGTACAGGAGACATGCCAGCCAGCCTCGCCGGTCTTGAATCATGAAATGGAAGATTCGTTGAATCCTTATCAGAGATATCTTACTCCCTTTTCCCCACCACACACATACAAAAGAGAGAGAGAGAGACTGAAGAGAGACCTCCGCTTTACTAAGTAACTAGGAGTATCCACCAGACCAGGCCACACGACCGCACACTTAGCCACTGACAGTGGTATGTAGCACTCCCCCTCCAGGTGGTCACGTTCTCTTGGGCTATCACATCATCATCATCATCGATCAATTAACGACCAACATTATTAGCACTCCCACTGACTGCTTCTCTCTCCTCTTTCCCTTCCCAGCCTCCCCGATCTATCTTCCCGGTTTAAATGATTTAACTTCTCGGGTCTGCTGCTCTTTGACCCACTAACCAAAAGTCACACCCGGCCACTGTCGTTTTTCTTGTCCAGGCTGCAACGTCATCACGCCTGCTTGGCGACACTTTGCTAGCAGCACACACCCTCATCGGGGGCTTTCTTGGGGTCAACTGCCGCCGCCGGTGTCTCGTTTGTCGCCAGATTTGTCCCGTTCTCAAAGCGAACCACTCACTACGTTACCCCAAGTCACTGTACGGCGAGAGATAGAGAGAGAGAAAGAAAGAAAGAAAGCTTCCTCTCATATCGTTCCCCCTATTCTGCGACCGACCTTTCTTCAATCCTTTATGGAATAATTAATCCGCGGCGTTTCGGTTCTAGCGGTCTTCTTTACTCCACCACTGCCCTCGTTCGAGCAATACCGTGCTCGCTGCCGAGTTCCCTATTGCCGAGTGCAAACGTTTTTCGAGTGCCCGCCCTGTTCAGGCTCACGTCTCGTGGTGCTCCCGCGTCGCCGACACGACAACCCAATATCTCTCCATTCTGCGCAGAATCTTTAAGCGCTGCGGCAAGAATTTCTGTTTGTTTTTTCGTGACTGTCGAGGCTAGTGATCTGTTCGCGCAGCCGACGTCATGGGTCGCTCGCGTGGTAAGTCTCCGGGAGATCAGCTCCCACCTTATCTGGCAGGGCATGCACATGCTACAGTACTAATCGCAACCCTTGCGTCATCTCTCCGCAGTCCTTTCGTTTATGTCTACATGGGGAAGCTCCAAAAACAACGATCCGGGAAGGGAAAGCAAGAGGTCTTCGCGCAATGTCACACCTGTCAACACACCTCCGAGGTGGCAGACACCACCGCCAGAGACGCCGTCTCCCCCTCCAGAGGTGGCGCCGGTTGGTACTACATCCCCCAGAGGAGAGGAGATCGGGTCGCGACCAGCGTCGATGCTCTTCTCTCGAAATCCGCCGTTGATGGCCCACGAGGAGGATACGCCCCCGGAGCTTTCGCCGATTTTCTCCTTTCTCAATATTCATACCAGTAAGGTATATCAGGAAGGGTACTTTCTAAAGCTGAACGATCAAGATTCACGTACGTCACATTCCTGGGTTGGATGGCTTTGATCACCCCTATTTTTCTTGCGCACAAGATCTAGAGATTCTTATTACAGACTTTATTGACTTCCTCAACTAACAGATGGACGGCCTTGTGTTGACCGACAATGGGTGGAATGTTATGCCCAGCTTGTTGGAACTGTGTTGTCCCTCTGGGTAGCAGCGGCGCTGGATGCAGCTGGGGGAGAAGAAGTCCCTGCGACATACATCAACCTCGCTGATGCCTCGATCAAAATGGTTCGTCTCTCATTTCGGTTCCCTCAGAAACGCGATCGTTTCGATTTTGAGCACTAACGTGAGGCCACTGGTTCAGATCGAGACGTTACCGATCAGGAATGGAGCTGTGCAGCCGTTGAAGAACGTCCTTAGTCTCTCGTCGGCAGGAAAGAATCGATACCTGCTCCACTTCAGCTCATTCCACTCAATGCTTCAATGGACGGCAGCAATTCGCCTTGCGATGTTCGAGCACACGTCACTCTATGAGGCTTATACCGGCTCTCTAATCGCCGCCAAAGGCAAAGCCTTGAACGGCATTCAGTCTATTCTAGCTCCCAACAAATTCAAGCACGAGGATTGGGCACGCGTTCGATTCGGTGCCGGGACGCCCTGGAGGCGATGCTGGTTTGTGATTACCCCACCGGACGAAAAGGATCTCCAGAAGGCGAAGAGATTGATGAAAAAGTCCGCATACGACCGCCTGACAATGCCAGTTACGGGGAGCATCAAGTTCTATAGCACGCGGAAAATCAAGAAAGCACAGCCAATTGCTACGGTCACCAATGTCTACTCGGCGTATGCGATCTATCCACAATCAAAGGCTCTCATCGATCAGTCATCTCTGGTGAAGCTCGAAGGCCGAATCACACTACATGGCGGCAGTGAAGTGTCGACAGAGGGCCTTGTCTTCGTCATGCCAGAGCGTCACGCTGCTGTCTCCGGATTTGAGACGATGCTTCGGTTCTTGTTTCCGACGTTCGACACGTTTAACCTCTACGGACGCCCAACTCGCTTAGTTGCCGACGTAAATCATCTGAAGAGCATAATGTTCGCGTTTCCAAAGCAGCGACGCTACGGGTACTTGGATATTCTCGACATCACCAATCTCCTTCAGATCCCTGGAAGTTTGGAATGGACTGAAGCAGAGTGGAGGAAAAGGCTAAAGGAAGCCACACAAAAGCGCATGAGCGCTGGTCGAAGCCGAACAAACAGCGTCAACAGCAGCAAACCTCGTTACCGAGCCAGTATATCCAGTCGTCTGGGTGACAGCTCAGTGAAGGAGCCCCGCCAGCATTCTGCCCTTCCGGAAGCCAACCCTGAGTTCAACTCGTCCTCAGATGCGATCATTCACGAGGTACCCAAAGCCGACCCTGGTATCTATCATGCTAGGGGAATGTCAGATACGACAGGTTTGCAAACGATGCAGGCACTTGGCCTTGATTCGCGGGTTGACCACTCATTCCATGCATCCGCCCAGGACAATGTACAACCTGACCGTGCGCAGGCGTTGGCCGATCCGATTGTAAATCAAACTGGGCAAGAGGATGGTCACCACCCCGGTACGATGGAGCAAAAATCTCAACTCGAACAGCAGCTTCCCCCTCGCACGCCACCTTCTCCAGTGATAAAGCCTCCCACTTTCGCTCACGGCCCACAAGAAATGCCTGCCAATCGGCCACAAACAAGCAATGAGCAGAGATTGGCTAATAACAGGATGTCCCACACAACTTTGATGCAGATTCACCAGATTGGCAAGTCCGGGTCCGACTTGACCGGCGCTGCAAACAACTCCCAGGACATCGAACAATTTTCACCCCCCATTGTGGACAGCACAGATCACCGGTCCGGCCATTTTGGTCCTTACCGGACGTACAAACCAGACCGCGTGGTCGCAAATCAATCCAGTGATGAGGATATGAGCCTTGCTTTTCCTCCTCATTCAATCCCTACTGCAAATACCGGATTGCCGACCCCTAGTACAGACGACAATCCTTCGCCTCAACTCAAGACACCAACTGATCTGGGCATGAAGCCTGTCAAGCGGAAACCCCTTCCTCAGAGGCAACTATTCAAAGACCAGTCGTCGCCTATATCGCCAGCAAGCGAAGGGCCCACTTACGACGACCTTCGGCATACACTTGACGAGGACGCCTTAAACCGCATCGCTCCGCAATTATCTTCGCCAACTTCCATGCCACGGAACGAGGAAGACAGTCTTTATGACGCTGCCTCGACTGTCTCCCCTGACTATGCGAGCACCCACGAGTCGGTCTACAGCGAGAAGTCCATCAAAAGAATGGGCGTTAAGAAAATTGCTGGAGAGCCTGCCAGTCAGGACTTAGTCATAGGAGACGCTCATTATACTACCAGTAAACCAGCGGAGCCCAATCCTGACATTCCCGACTTTGACTTTGGTCCGACACTGGCCTACATGCCCACGACTGGGCGTCCTACAACCGGCGACGCGATAAAAAGGCCCTCGCATAATAGGCAACAGTCGGACCTGAAGCATGTCGCTCATGGTAATACACTAGAGCAAGGCCACGTGCGATCTCTTAGCCAGGAAGAGCGCCGCCGGAGCGTCCCTTGGCAACCTGGCATGGCCAGTATTCGCCTAACCACACCAGGAGGAGGCCTCACGCCGGAGCAGTTCGTGCAGCAGCGTGCTGCGCCTAGCCCACCATTGCATATGCACCAGCGTACTTCGTCACGCAATGGTCCGACCCAAGTTCGACCGATCTCTGGAGACTGGACGAATCAGGCTCGACCTCACTCGCGCATGACATCCTATCCAGATGCCAATCCCCGCCCTTCATCGCGCGGGGCCAATTCGATGATCACCAGCTTCAATGATGTCTCTGGTCACCTCTCCGCTCGCGAGCAAGAGCATGTTGCTCGCATGACTGGGTCTTCTTTCTTCAATATCTCGGGCAACTCCAAGAAGGCTCAGCCTCAAGTCAATCCTATGGGTCTTGTATCAACGATCGACACTCGTGAGCGTGAGAAGCGCGAAATCAAAGAAGGAATGTCGAATCAAATGGTACAGCACGCAATCACTCAGCGACAGCTACACCAGCAATACCATCAGCAGCAGCAGCATCTTTCGTATCAACCCCAGCCTTTGGCCTCTCATTATGCTGGCTCCGTATATCCTACCCAAACTGTGGATGGGATGTATAATCTACCCGGCGCCAGTCAGACCTGGGATGCATTACATCAGATGGGCCGCCCGGATGAACCTCGTCGGAAGTCGTGGTATGGCCAGCTTGCGCAAGCTTTGCCTGTGCCCTCAAACTACCAGTCGAATCAGTATTTCCCACAACAGAGTGGGTATCCTGCGAACTATAACTTCTCGCACTGATGGGGCATCGAGAAAGTATCAGTCCAATTCTCAGCGTCCCGTCACCCACTGTCGCTATATACTACCATCACTCCAAAGACCAGTCTTTGTGTTATCTTTCTTCTTGACCTTCAGCATATGAAATGAGGACATCATGCACAATCTTTCTCATCCTGACTCCTTGTCGTTTTTTTGTGCAGTCTGTCATTCACTCATTGCTTGTGATCCTCTTCTTGCACACGCACACGCACACTTTGCCTTTTCCTTTCCTCCATCTCTATTCATCCGCCACGCTCTTTTTAAGAGCCTTTCTTTTCAACTTCAACCTGATCCTGCATTTGTCGACTTTGGCTGCATCGAGCACTGGCAGGAGTTTGGATTTTGATTTTTTCTTAGCCTGGCCTTGGGGATTTCTTTTTATCATCTAGATCGCATGATTCGAAAAAAATCTTGTCTCATCACATTGTCTGCTATGTTTCCGGCGGAAATGTCCTTGTCTCAGCTACATTAGGTAGTCCGCTCACTCACCGCATGTGATAGCCCCACTCAGTCTATAACACAGATAGAATTCATTCAACGCCAATTTGTACAGAAAGAGATGATTTGTCACTCGGAAGGCTGTTCGTCACTCGAATCTTGAACGTGCAATACATTGGAAGTGTGTTGTGAAAGGCTACTACTATAAATTACCAGGCGAAAGCGCTGCACGCCAAATGGATACGATACCGTATTGTGTCATTTGTCAAGGAAGTCATCAACATGAGACAAAGAAAATTCCTACAGTGAAAGCTACCAGAGACTGCTTCTATAGTACCTTTGAAGGACACGGGTGTTTCCATGGGTCCGCAGGGTATATAGTCCTGACTCCTGAGGGTGACAGCGTATCATACGGAAGTAGGATCGATAAGGTCTATTCCACAGGGCGCTATCATTCATTGGATTTCACACACTCAGACATAGCCTCAAAAAGCTCCACAAAACATCAAGGGAAAAGAGATCCGAAAAACGCCAACAATGCCCACCTGATAGACATGAGCTTATCCACATATAGAGGCATAAGGAGGGAAAACGCGATGCGACGGCACCCTATATGTATCATCAAGCCCTAAGACGAAGGAACAAGGCAGCAGATTAGCTGGAATGCAACTTCTTGATGCGCATGCTGCCTTCGTAAAGGCCGCGATCCACGGCGGCGGCCACAGTCAAGGTACCTCCGATGATAGCACAGACACCGGTCAAGAAGCCAGTGAATGACTTGGGCTGCGTTTCACGGTTAATGACCTTCATTGGAGAAATGTCATAGTTGAAGAAAACTCCGGGAATGCCACCAGAGGCGTGCATACGCTCCTTGTGGCCCTCTGCTGCATCGTCGCCACCCACGAGAGGGCGCTTGTGCGAGGTGACCGAGTACTGGTGGGCTTCAATACTGCCCTGCGAGCCATATGCGAGACCGTGCGAGCCGAGAGGCGCCTTGTCGTAAGCACTGTGAATGGCCGAGGAGAAGTTCGGGTCCCAGCCTAGTGGCAGATACGAAGTCGACACCACCTTGATGAAATACATGAAGTTGAACGCAGGCTCGTCGGTGGCCTGCTTGGTATCGTCCAAAGGATTCGTGTGATGGTGGTCGGTCCACTGCCAACGGTCTGCAAGCTCGGCGGGCAATTGAGGGCCGAAGCGAAGCTCGTGGATCTCGTGCGTCATTGTGTGTTGCTCTGATGAGGGTGAATCGCGCATAAAGTAGTTGTCCATGTCGTGGGCATGCATGTTGCCGCTGGTGTAACTGCGGCCGGGCGCAATATGGAAGTTACCCACCACCTTGTTGACTCGGAGGACACCCTCGACTCGGCAGCCTTCGCGCCGTTGGGCTAGGAGCTTCTCGCCATAGCCCTCACGCTTGCATTGTTCCACATTCTCACCGATACCAAAGGCCCACTGTTTGTTGGCGTACGCCTCCCGTACCTCGTCACAGGTACTGCAGCAGCCAGCTTTGATCGCATTGGGAGGCGCATCGGCGCCGTAGCAATCACCACAGTAATCGGGATCCAGATGAGCGGCGGCATCTGCTGGGGAGTGCCTGATGATATGATAAAAAAAGCCTGGTCAGCCAACGTCTGGCTCCGCGAGACCCAACAATGTCAACTTGGGTGCAAAAAATGTCACTCACAGGTCAAGAGCTTGAATGTTGATCACACGCCCCCCCTCTGCCGCAGGAGCAAGGCGGACTTTGTTCACACCGTGAGCTACGCCAACTTGCATCTCGCCTGACACGTCCATAACATCCAGGGTCAGGAGCTCGCAGGGAAGTCGCGGGAAAGTCATGTTCAAATGGATTTCCATTCGTTCTCCTGCTCAGTTGGAAAGTTCCTCTTTGTTAGCCGGTTTGCTCCGAGCGGCGGCGAGCTTCAATTGCAATAGCAAGAGTGATAGTTCAAATACCTCTTGATTTATCCACAATCAGCTCTGGCTGGACGACCACTCGACGATAGTCCAACCATTCTCCCCAAACCAGCCACATGACAACCAACAGCGATACAATAGTAATGATACCACCGGAGTTGGTGCGAATGCGCGCATCTTCAACAGTCTTGGCGAAGGCATCTAGCCTCGTGAAACGCGACTTTGCGGGCATCCTTATAGATCTCGGAAGGGCATAGGTGAAATGCCCGTCTAATTAATGAGCGGACGGCTGATGTACAGCTCTGGGTTTCTTCAGCCGAATACCAACAGACAATTAGCATAGGCTTTAGAGAATTCGCAAGCTCGAGAACCCTGAGGGATCAGCGCATATAACAGGTGTCTCCTCGGGTCTCGTCGCATTCGAGAATGTATAAGATAGGCTCACCTGGCAAGAGTCAACTCAATTGCGAGAATTGACCCGCGTGAGCTTCACGTCTAATCACAAATACTGCAAGCTGGCTTGATGGTAGGATCTCCGCAGTATACTCGGAGCTAAAGAGAGACGGACCAACTGCCGATGGTATGGAAACACCATCGAAATACAAAGCAATCGAAGTCAAAGCACTGAAAGGACAGAGGACAATCGCTTATTGGCTGTCGTTCTTGGACCCAGCATCATTCCGTATCCGCTCGGTATCGGATTGATCTTGCTGAGTCATTCTCAGCTGATCACATGATAAAGCCCCACTGTGTATCGCATCAGGGCACGTGATCCGTGCGTCATTTTTTTTTGTGGTACTTCGATACAAACCTCACGATTGCCCGGATCCAGCTGGAGGTGCACGCCTCGCTGCCTACACTGCTGCCTACTCTCTAATTGTGCCCTGCCCGACACTCCTCGTGATATCTGCCAAAAGAAAACAAATCGTCGCGCCAAACTCGCGTCTCGGAAAACGCCCCTGCATGCGAGACAAGTGAATTCCGTCGATCTGAGGCGCGCATTGCGCAGTCGATAAGAAGAACCACCCTCATTTCTTTTAGCTCTCCTTTTCGCTCCAAGTCCCGCTTTCTTCACCTTCATCTTCGCCATCACCTTCGTTTATCCTTCGTCTTCATACTACCACCGCCTAAATGAAGACTATGAAGTCACGCCGTCCCGGAGGTGACCGCGGGGGTATCCGCAAGCGGGGCGCTACTCGTACCGACCGCGATGGTGACATGGACATGGATGGTCCTGGTGGACGTGGAGGCAAACGTCGCGGTGCAGGTCAAACTCGTCCAAGTGGCTCTGGCTCTGGATCCAGCGCCGGAGTGTCTCGTCCAACTCGCCCTGGCGGTGATCGGCTCCAGGCACGCGACAAGACCTTGAATGCCATTCAAAAGGCACTCCTGGACAGTCGCGAAACCCAGGCGAATATTCGCAAGGGCAAGACCAACGCCTCGGGAAACCTGGAGTCTTACTCTGTTCGCGGCTGGAAGACAAGCAACGCTTCCAATCATCGAGACGGTGGTGTTGGCAGTTTGCTTGGCTTCCTCGAGAGAAAAATCGACGCCCTCACCAAATCAGGACCGCGCGCGAAGATTACAAAGGTATGTGCAACATTTGCAGGCGCACTCCTCAGTCACCAGCTACGACATCTTCCGATTCGTTCATTTTCCAATTGGCCAAGGAGGCACAACGGTCATGGGCTCCATGGCCCTTCTCGTCCTTCTAAGTGACCTCGGCGCCCAAGGTATCTTGATGCCTTGCTAACATTTCGATAATAGTCGCGCGTCGAAGGCGACTCCCTTGTGGTTTCCGTTCGGCCCGAGCTGGCTGACAGAATCCTCCGTGTGAACGGCGCTCTTTTTGCTGGAGTTCGTATCGTCGTCGAGCCCTATGATGGCTCTTCAAGCGCCGCGATTGATCGTGAACTGGGTACCACCTCGAGCACATCCCCGTCTACTGCCGACACTAAATCCAAGATGACGATGATTCTATCTAAGCGATACTACCCCGACACGAAGCTCCTCGACCTCTCCAAACTTTCGTCAGACCCGGACCTCGTCGCCATGGGTATCTTCAACCAAACCTCCACCGAATCCAAGTTCTTTCCTGCCTTGATGAAGGTTTGGGAGATGGGATTCACCGATGCCAAGCAGCGACGCGAAGCGGTCGACAGTGTGAGCTTGGCTCATAATTCCTTGACAAATGTCACTGCTGTGACCACACTCTCTCAGACTTTTCCTGATCTCAAGAACTTGGATCTCTCCCATAACAACCTGAAGGATGATCGCTCGATGAGCGCATGGCGCTGGAAGTTTCGCAACTTGGAGTTTCTTGATTTGACCGGGAATCCCTTCAGTACCGAGCCCACTTTCAAGGAAACGTTGATGAAGTGGTACCCCAGCCTGCAAACGCTGAACAATGTGCTTGTACGCACGCCTGAGGAAATTGCGGCGCAAAAGAAAACGCCTATCCCGGTTCAGCCTCCACATTTCCAAGACGAGGGCCAGATTGCCGAGAATTTTATTCGAGCATTCTTTGTCCGCTTTGATAGCAACAGGGAGGAACTCGCCCGGAGTTTCTACGACAGTCATTCGGAGTTCACCATGAACATCAACACATCTGCCCCCAAGGCGCAGCAGACCGAATCTGCCGGATGGGACCCTTACATCAAGAAGAGTCGAAATCTCCTCAAAATCAACCATCTCCCCGCTCGCATGTCTCGCTCCTACATCGGTACGGCCAAGGTCCTTGAAGTTTGGAAAGATCTCCCAGAGACTCGCCACCCCGATGTGACCGCTCGCCCCGAGGAATATTTGATTGAATGCTATCCTGTCCCTGGCTTACCAGACCTCACCGGACAAAGCCCCACCGGCGTCGGTGGTCTTCTGGTCATGGTTCATGGCAAGTTTGAAGAAAATGTGGCAGGAAAAGTTGAGACACGCAGTTTCGACCGCACGTTTGTCATCGGTCCTGGCAGTGGCTTAGGAGGCATTCGCGTCATCAATGATATCCTATGCCTTCGAGCTTACGGTGGTCATGAAGCGTGGAGTCCCGAGAACCAGGCCATCCCATACGCAACTGGCCCCGCCGCCATCGCTGCTGGTGCGAGCGCTCCTGTAGCTGCCATTCCTGCCGCGCCCCTGGCAACGTTGCCTACGCCTGTACCTGCACCCACTCCCGCTCCCATCCCTGCGCCACTTGCTCAAGCCGGCTTTCCCCCTGGATACGGGGTACCCGGCCCTGGAAAAACCGAGACTCAGGTGCAGCAGGAGCAGATGATCGCACAGATGAGTGCCAAGTCGGGCATGACGCTTCAATTCTCGGAAATGGCACTATCCGGAAATGGCTGGAACTTTGAAGCCGCCTGGAAAAACTTTGAGGAACTCAAGGTACGTCTTCTTTCAGATGCGAATTGCGCATGTGGCACGCAAGCTTCAAGAACCATCAGTTGAACTAACATACTGTTCTTTAGGCATCGGGCACTCTACCCGCCAGTGCCTTCTTAGCTCCAGTCTAAGGGACGTCTTGCTTTGGGTCAACGCCGATTTGGTTTGTCCACCTCTTTTGGCTACAGCTCATCCACACTACAATGTTGCATGCGATCCCAGCTTCCACCTGTGATCGCCGAGGCGTTTTGATCTTGAAAATTTGGGCGCAGTAAAGTCGCTGTTGAAATTTATTGCGTTGCCCCGGGCGAACTGGCAGATGGTTTAATGAACATGTATTTTAGTCACCAAAGAAATGAGCCACGAAAAGGCCATGAGATCTCACGACTTTATTGTCGCGTTCTTAGTCCACGCCTAGTGAAAATGAATTCAGTATAGCATAATCAACATGTAAACTTGTGATTCCGACCTTCTTGTCTTTGACTTGAGCCGGGTGAGAACCTCCAAAACGAGCACAATGCTAATTGCCAAGCTTGAGGCAAGCCAGCTGCTTTGCGATACTGGCCAGAGAAAAAGGATACTGTAAGCTGACTACGCTCCATATACCCAGACGTTATCCAATATGCATGTCGAATGTGCCAACCCAAGTGGCGAGTTGCCTTTGTTTTGTTTTCTGAATACGACCTCCGTCAGAAACTAGTTGATGAGAGAGAGACGGTCTGCAAATACTGGCACCAAAAAGAAATCGACTGCGTCACCTGCAGGATTCGAACCTACGCTCACGAATGAACGCCCTGGCAGCGGGACAGTCGAATTGACTATCCATTAGCAGGGGCGCGCCTTAACCACTCGGCCAAAGTGACATGTGACTTGTAGGTTAGCCCGTTTTTTAGATATATGATGTAGCCGAAAACTTGAATCGTCCGCGATACTTCTCGCTCAGTGGTTACCGCAGTGTCGGGGTATCGCAACGTGCGCCTGGTCGCGGTCAAACAATCTCTCATGAGCTAGCGCACGGAAGGCGGTGGTTGACCTTTTGTGATCATGAGTTTTTCGTAAACTTTGGAGAGACCCCTGTCAAGTTGTGTATCTTCTTGCACATGACACGTCCATTAAACTTGCTTGCAATACACAGAGACACACAACCAACGAAGAAAACATAAGTTACATAAGAAGAAGGCATGAAAGCTGCGCTACGAAGACGAAAGTCTTCGCCGACGTCACTTTTTGGCTGATTAGTTATTGTACAATTACTTAACAATCCGTGTCGAGGTGATTGGAACATATCACGATGCAACTTCGCCGAACTTGTTACATCGAGTGAGGCAGTAGACTACACTATCTCTCGAAGCACGCCCAAGAACTTGACCATAGCGATCATTCGACTATCAGTCGTCAAAGGTTCGTTTCCTGAGATTACCCAAGTTATACACGGTATCATCAAGAGCTTTCCTCTGTTTTGCATCCAGCGTGGCTGGAATGTTTGAGGTTCCAGCAGCATTGAGACTTTCCGTTATTGAGTCTTGACCCGCGCTGATACTCAACACATCAGATGACAATTCGAGTTGGATCCTTTCCGCAAGTGTCTGTGGCGAAACAGCACTTGTCCTCCAGGAGCCTCCGGTGCCCTGTTCACGTACGGCATCGATCGACGCAATCAGCGAGCCATTGGGGCCGGAAGTGACGAGATCGAGGACATTTCCTGACAGCTGCAAATGGCTGTGCAATTTGAGTGTGTAGTCGCTCTCGAAAGTAAAACAAAGGAGACGCGGCGAGCTGTACGGTATGTGAGCAAGAATTTCACCCCGACTACTACCAGAAATAACGTACCTTTCGATGGCGACAAAAATCACCTGAGCAGACCCAGTGGCGGATTTGACCTCAGTTCCCCAGATGCCACTTACAACTGCCTCTTCAGGGACTTCGTCCAAGGGCACGGTTTGATGGATTCGACCCTCGCTCCAATTCCATGAAAGGAGATGGCCCTCTCCGCCTCCAGATACCAGAACATGCGGGGCCCATGGAGGAACGTAAAGCTTAGTGATTAGGGACCTGTGACCCAGACAATACTGTTCAATAATGTGGGCCTGGGGAATTCCCCGCGAGATTCGAATGTGCTCGTCACGATCTGCCGTGAGAATGTAATTTCGCGAGTGATTGCCTTCAGTGCTGGGCAATGTCACGGCGACGATATCAGTCAACATAGAAACATGACCGAGAATCAGCTCATGCTCGAAGTTGAGTACGGTCTTTTCCTCCGGCTCCTCCTGGGTCTTTTCAGCGCGCTCAGCCTGCAGATGCTGTTGCTCCAATGAGCGAAGGTTTCGCTTCGAATGCACAGTGAGCGGAGTTGCAACAGGCTTGGTCTTTTTCGCCTGGGTCTTCGGCTTCACATACTCTCCGGGAATCAGAGGAAGAGAGTAGACGTCGCCGAATTTATCGGCGCATAGGATGATCTGATCATCAGCGGTTAGGTCCAGAGCACAAGGCTTCTTGGCCATGTTCCTAGATTGAGGGTCAGCAAGCCGTGCTTGAAAGGATTGCATTGAAACACCAACCGAGCACTAAGCTGTAAAAATTCGCCAGCCTCGCTGATCTCGAACACTCGAATGCACTTGTCCTCCGCAGTCATGGCTACTACATGCTTGCCATTGGAAGTTGACAACAAGATTGGGATGTTAGTCCATGTCGTCAGAGAGCCATTAGAATCACTCTTGCTTGGGACTGAACCGTTGTCTGCTCCATCTTCGACAGGCGATAGCTTTATCTTCTTCCCCGGGGGCGCTTGACCATCCACATCGGAGGTAGGAAGAGCAGCTACTGTGTGGCTAGGGTCTATGTGCTTGGGCCATACAGCGAGACGCTGACCGCTCTTCGCTGCATAGGAGTAGAGATATGGTCCTGCAGCGGCTACAAGCACATCAGAGTGACCATTTGATTGCCGCGTGACAATGGTCAAGGTTTGGAAGGGATGCTGAAATTCGGCCATGACCAAATATTTGCCGTAGAACCCTAGGAGAATTGACACGGAGTAACAGAAGGACGAGGCGGCGTGACGTGTCACACCTCAAACCAGGCGACAGCGAAGAGGGGGAGGGATAAGGAGACAATACTGCGCTGGGAGATTCTGTAAATACTCAGCAAAAGACTTTTGGCAATCTCTTGTCTATCCTGCCATCTTCTCGTGACCCCAATCCGCCGTCAAGAACTGCAACTACTGGGAGCGCAACCCAGAGTCACGTGATCAACACTAACCGAAGCCGCACCACACAAAAATTCCACAAAACCCGAGTCGTCATGAACCTTTCCCCTCGATCAACCACCACCAATCCTTTACCCTTGTCCTTAAACAACCTATCTTCAGGTCAAATAAGAAGAAATGGGGGGCAAGTCCGCAACCAAGGCCGCTTACTTCGATAAGCTGAAGGCCCTTCTCGACGAGTACCGCACCGTCTTCATCGTCGGTGTCGACAATGTCAGCTCTCAGCAGATGCACGAGATCCGTATTGCCCTCCGTGGCCAGGGTGTCGTCCTGATGGGCAAGAACACCATGGTTCGCCGTGCTCTCAAGGGCTTCATCACAGAGAACCCCGACTTCGAGCGTCTGATGCCCTTCGTCAAGGGTGAGTTCTAATCCACGTCCCATCGGATTTTTTTCAATACCTTTTTCCTGGGCTCGATTACTGATCATAAAAATAATCTTTAGGTAACGTTGGTTTCATCTTCACCAACGGTGACATGAAGGATGTCAAGGAGAAGATCCTTGCCAACCGTGTTGCTGCCCCTGCTCGTGCCGGTGCCGTCGCTCCCGATGATGTCTGGGTTCCCGGTGGTAACACCGGTATGGAGCCCGGTAAGACCTCTTTCTTCCAGGCTCTCGGTGTCCCAACCAAGATTGCTCGTGGTACCATCGAAATTGTCTCCGACCTCAAGCTTATTGAGGCCGGTAACAAGGTCGGTGCCTCCGAGGCTGCCCTGCTCAACCTGTTGAACATCTCTCCCTTCACCTACGGTATGAGCATTGTCCAGGTCTACGACCAGGGTCAGACTTTCGGTGCCGAGGTTCTCGATATCGATGACGAGCAGCTCCTCAAGTCCTTCAGCCAGGCTATTGCTACCATCACTGCTCTGTCTCTGGCTACCAACATCCCCACCCTGCCCTCCGTCATCCACTCCCTCATCAACTCCTACAAGAAGGTTCTTGCTGTCGCTGTTGAGACCGAGATCAGCTGGCCCGAGATTGAGTCCCTCAAGGACCGCATCGCCAACCCCGACGCTTACGCTTCCGCTGCCCCCGTTGCTGCCGCCGCTCCCTCTGGTGGTGACGCCCCCGCCGCTGCCGCCCCCGCTGAGGAGGAGGAGGCTTCCGACGACGACATGGGCTTCGGTCTCTTCGACTAAGCGCGCTTTGACTAGTGCGTTCAGTCTGCCATATTTTAGATACCTATGTTTGACCTTGTCTTGAGAACAGCCAAGGATCACAAAAACAAAAGACGTTTATGATTGGCATGACAGTCTATGCAATTCCCTGTGTGACCATGGTCCGTAGAAACAACGCACCATGCATACGCCTACATCAATGGTGAGTCTACAATTCCTTCTTTCGTTGTATTTCTCCGTCTCCCCTTGTTTCTTGACTTTCGTCAATGCTTGCATACCCACCCTGGCGAGTGATGAAACATTTTTAACCCCGAGCAAGTGTCTCCCGCGAGACCGCGCTGACGATTAAAAACGCAACAACAACACTCTAATTTTTTGCTGACGCCATGCCTTGTTTTTTGCTCATCATGTTGACACCTTCACGTTTGCACGAAAAGCAATCGCTAACTATCTCTCAGACCTAGATCCGCCGCTACTGAAGTCCACATCCTTCGGGTGTTCCCATCGTAGCATCCTCGTAGACATCTTGGCATATATCATGCCTTAGTCCAATGAACGACACGATTGACCTGATAACGCTTTAGTTGGCTTCGATGAACTATTGTTGAAATTAATATTGGGTTTATGTTGATGACTTTTGCATCTTTCCACTGCGCCTCTGAACTTTAGTTTCAAGGTTAAAATAACTCGATGCGTTAATGCTTTACATGCGTACATCTCCTGTCCCTTGTAGCAATCTCTTGTTCCCGTCGCTTTCAAGTGTGGTATCTGATGTCAGAAGGCTGTTCTACACAAGACCAAGACACCATCAGGCCACCACCTTGCCAGTCTCTGCCATACCACCATAACATTCCATACTAGGGATCCTCGGTCCCACGTCCAAATCGCCCACCGAATCCACCCAGATCCCGGCGGAAAAATTTCCCAATATTTTTCAAATTCTCATTCAAATTGCCCGCAGCGGTGATCTCCAACGGGTTCAAGGATCCAGTATGCTGGGCAGATGCACCTGGTGCAGGGGATGCCGTGCCCGACATGGCTCCGAACCCGGAGGTAGATGACGACGAGCCTGTGGCTCCGGCTGGACCCGATGACCCAAGAGAGCCAAGACTGGGATTCCCGAAGCGGTCGACGCCGTCCTTAGCTGCGGACATGATTGCAGAGCCGAGCATAGAGGCATCGAATCGAGACGGCATCGATCCGGCGCCGCCCAAGCTCAGCCCGTGCGAAACCGATACTGTGGTACTCGCGGCGGGAGCTTGCAGCGCAGTGAGAATGGGGTTGCTCTGCTGGAGAGTGGAGGCATAGCGGTCAGATGCTCGGTGAACCTGGAATAGCTCCACGAGATGGTTTTGGTCCTGCCTGCTACGAATGCCCTTTAGGTCAAGAATTTTGCGGAAGTTGTTGTTGTTTCTATCCGCGATGTGGATGAGATATGCCTGGACCAGGGCTTCGGGTGGCGATGGGCGGACTTGAAGGGTTTTGAGTAAGGTCTCGATCTTGAAGAAGCTGCTGTTCACACGCTTCACAAAGCCAGCAGGAGCGGGAGCGGGCAGCAATGAGGTGAGGCCACTTTTGAGCGTATACGAATCAAGAAGCATCTGCAGGTAATGTGTTTAGTCAAATGTAATCTTAGCTCAGAGTCGAGGAAAGGAGGAACTTACCTGTTCGGCACCTGTTTCAGATACGGGCCTGGATTGGAAAATATTGTTGATGAACATGCTCGACATCATTTCGACCAGATGATCGGAGAACGCTCGGGCATATTGTTGCTTGTGTAAGAGTTCTAGAATCTCCGAGCTTTTGGCTTTGGTACGTGATAGGAGCTCGCTCACGTACGAGCTCTGATCACTTACTGCTTCAAGCTTACCCCATGGAGTATTGCGCATCTCTCGCCAGCTGGGTTCTATGTCGACTTCGACTTGTCGGACAAGGCCTCGCACCGCCGCGGATGCAATCCCCATGAAAGAATCGGCTTGGCTTTGAAGATCAACCGACTGCTTCAGAGATTCATCCAATCGATCCTTGATCTTGTCTTCCAATTGAGTACAGGTAGTGTAGCAGTAGTCCGCAGTGTTGAGCACGGAGATCAAGTCCTCAAGGCTCGGCACTTTGGAGGGGGTGTGACCGGTAAGTCTTTCGCTGATATAGTTCAATAGAACCTGCTGGGCGTACATGTCCAAGTACTTAGCGAAAACTTTCGCCAGCTCAGCCAAGCTGCTACCCGTGGAGAGCTTGGCACATTGCTGTAAAGAATGACGATAGAATGTGAAAAGCTCAGTAGAAGAGCCGATGACAATATGGGAGTTGAATTCCTCGTCGGGAGGGCGCAACGGCTGTTGCCGATATTTCGGTATTAGCGCAGCGAGCTGTTTGTCCTGTGCATCTACCCAGACACTGAGATATGGCTCGAAAGCCTCGGAAATGGACTGACTGAAAACACGAGTCTCGTTCGTGGTGGAGGTGAACGTATCCGTCGATGGGCGCGATGGAGCGAAGCGTTTCTCGAGGGAATGCTCAAAGTCGAGGGTCTCCTGCAGACAGGCAAGCAAGAGATTGACGTCGATCGTCTGACCGCTGCGCACCGACCGGGAAAGAATTCCCTTGAAATCGTCCCTGGTGCCTTCGCAAAAGACATTGGCCAGGATTTCATTGACCCGCCACGCAGGTGGGAAGATGGCCGCGTTCTCCTCGTCATAGATCTTGAGTATCCGCCGAAACCAGGAATATCTGCGCGAGATATTGTCCAGTGATCCAGCCTCCTCACTGTTACGGAAGACCTGTCGATATTCGCGAAGCTGTGTGTTGCAATACCAGGTCACAAGCCGAGATCGAGCGTGCTCTCCCAGCGCGTCCACAACAAGACATGCCTCGGAGAGGATGCCGCGCTTCTGGGAGATCTCGCCCTTGGCGAAGGCGATTTCGAAATCCTCGCAGACCTGTTCCAACAAATCTCGTTGAATGTCTGCCACATTCTTGCTCAGCATTGCGATTTGATCAATCGACCGGTACGACTTGAAATGGGCCATGAGTTGGATGACAGCTTGAAGTAGCTGTGCGCAATCACGGTATTGCCGAGTTCGGCTCAGCGCGTGAAGCTGGTCATAAGCAGTTGTGAGCATCTGTAGCCGCTTCAACGCCGTCATGGACAAGGTCAGGTTCTTTTTCGCGTTGTCCAGTTGTTTAATATCGGCGGTCATGTCGGTGATAGCCTGTTCGGTCTTCAATGCCCGCTCGCGAACGTCGTCGATTTTCTTGAACAGCTCGGACAAATCAGCTTTAGCTGTCTGTATCCTTTCCACACTGTCCACGTTGGATGTCACTTGTTCCTCAACCAAGGCGCTGATCTCGTTGTCTAGTTCATCCTCGTAGGAGTGGAGGGCGCAGGTGACTTGAGATACGGAGGAGAGGGTAGAAGGATGCGAGAATATGGCATTCAGATGCTCGATGGGGTCATAGTTCACTACTTATTGTCTTGAGTTAGCGGGTCTGAGATTCCTCACAGAGCAAGTCAAGCCTTGGACCCCGTACCTGCATCCAGAGCGTCCTGAGAAGACACCTCGTCTAGCGGCATGTGGCCGCTGTTCACGACAGTCATCGCAGCCATTCCACGCAACTGTTCAGACACGCCTCATCTCGATCTAGGATCCGAGCTCTCAAGATATTTCAATCGGCAAGAATTGCACGCGACGACCAAAGGCGCGAGGGGCACGGTTGGGAGTTTGGGGAGGTGTTCGAGTGCGGGTCGCATGTCTGCTGCGGGCCCGATGGCTCGGGCGACGGAGCTATCAGACACTTTGGGTCCTGAGCGGGCGGTTTGCCCCGAGTCAAAAAGGGTGCACCGGTGCAGCATGTTCACATATTCAATATCAGTTGGCTGTACAGATTCCGCCCGACGTTGTCTGTGAGGGCCAGCAAAAGCCCTCGGTGGGCTCGGTCAGTGCGTCTTGAGGCAACATAGCTTTGACGAGGTTCGACTTATGGCGACATAGGTCAGATCTGATTTGAGTCGCCCCAATGTAGGAAATTATAGATCGTCACAGCGATTCCTGTACAAAGGGCACATTCGTAGGTAGATTAGACCTGCACAGGTGGACTTTCTGTACGAACTTACATTTTATACCTTTGATGAGAATCTGGCAAAATCTTGCAACAATTGAAGACCGGAGACCCCGAACTCGGTGGTAAAAGGGACCACTGGCATCTCCAATTACCACAGAAGTGCTCGAGGCTTGCCTTTCATTAATTCCTGTGGTTAGTTGGTACTGGGGAATCCATGACAATTTCAAAGTGGTTTTTGGATTGTCCGTTATATGCTTCAAACAGGGAAAGGGAGATAACTGACAACGTGCCCGAGTGGTTAAGGGGTTCGCCTGCTAAGCGGATGGCTTCGGCCGCGCGCGTTCGAATCGCGTCGTTGTCGTTTTCCGCCATATATTCATCTTCATGGCTAAACTATAACAGCAAGGTTTCAATCTACCTTCTTTCCCCCGCCATCCCTCTCCTCCCCCCCTTGGCTTTTTTCCTTCTTTTTGGGCGGCGTGAACTACTGTACTGCAGTCCATCACCCAGGTCGTAAATACGGCCACTTCAAACACATCCACGGCGAATTGAAAAGGTCTGAAATAATAATCGCCTTTCTCCCCTCATCGTACCGTTTCTAGAGCTCGTGATTCTACCCGAGAAATTCGTGTTGATAAGGCGTCCCTGAATACCGAGCGTTTAATCAACCTTCAATGTCCGGCAATCTTTGGCGCCTACGTCCTTGCTTTTATTGATTCCAGCAATTTCAAGGACCTTCACCTGACTGCTCAGTCTATTCAGGTTCAGTATTCATTACACCGCTTCATCCTCGTCGCCTCTTGTGCTTTATCCGAACGACATGGCAAACTTTTATACTTCGGAACAACCCCTTACCACAAGGTGACAAGTTCCTGCCCAAATCCGAGCATGATTGCACATGCAGAAAATTAGACTCCTCACAAGGTCAGAGGAGAGACAGTCCTTCCGTTGGAAAAAGGGCTCGAGATATGACACTCAGAATACCCTCTCCAGCACCGATGTGTACACGGTATCATTTCTAGACGGATAGGTCTCTACAAAGCCGGAGCCTATTACACATCATGTCCTTTGAGAGGGATTCACGTAGGTGGTTCTAGTTGCTCCTGTAAGGAAGCGTGACTTCGTCCTCACGGTCCTACATCGGCAGACCCTCTATGCAGAAAGTCCGAAGTCGCTCTCGTTTGTATTTGGTTGTTCATTGCTCGTCTTTTGAATGTTAGAGACCGTGAAACAATTGAACGGGCATTCGACCCCAGACCCGGTGTTTAAATCCACACGTGGAGTCAACCTGACATTCTATGGACCCAGATGATATGATATTGGAGAGCCGAACAAGCGAGTAATTTGCAGAAAACCCGAGGATGGGGGACGGACGTAACTCTGGGGGAGTCTTACGAATGTGATCTCCCGATTGATTCTTCAGGACTGGTGGAAGTAGAGAATTCACGCTGGTCGCACAACGTACCTCTGACTCCGGAACACTCTCACATGCATTTTCCTGTCTGATCGTCACAAGAGTCGTACTCGCCCCCGGAGGAATTGCCGGTGGGAACGGGTAAGTACAATGAGTTTGTCCGTAGAAGCTGTACCCGACGGTCTTCCCATCGCTGAACTCCAGACCGTGGTCTTCCATCGATCTAATGAATGGAGATTGCACAGAGTCCGGAAAGCTTCACCGCGTTGCCACTACCGATCACATCTTCAATCTCAGTTTGAACTCAGTGGATGATAACACTATCAAGCTGATTGAGAAGATACTCCGGTTGGGTAAAGAGCTTTACGAGCTGCCCATATAGTCCAAAATGCTGTATGATGTCGACAAGCTGAGCAAGAGGAAATCGAACGGGTATGAAATGTTCAAATTACTGTCGACTTGCAAGGCTATGACGAATGGTAGACGATTGACAACTGGCAGGTACAAACCAGTTGTGCGAAACTTCGGTGGGCTTCGAGGCAACAGAGAAGGGTTTCAAACCTATGTAGTAAATATTCCCAATGATGTACTCCCTGGGCCTGAAGGCATCGTAACCAACCAGAAATCATAGATATCAAAACAAGGGGATCAAGGGCAGGACGTGTACACCAGTAAAGACTGAAGAGTGGCTTCAGAGGAATTTCGCCGTTATTCGATCGAGGTCGGGGCCAGAAGACCAGGAATGGGGATTGTCTGGGCATGATCTGTTGACACTGTCTGAGTATGCACGGCTAGCAGAATAAGCCGCATTGGAGTCGCAAGAAAGGTAATGTTTAGATAGGTAGACAGTGAAGTTGGCTGTCATTGTAGAAACATTAAGACCTGGGGGTGATACTCGAGCTCCAAGAGCGCTACGAAAAACACCAAATGACCTCTTTTTTTCACTTTGAAATACACTACAACAGACTACCATTTATCTCTCGAGCTCATGCAGTACTTGGTCAAGTTGCATCCAGTCTGTACTCTGTAGTAGTGAATGATTTTCTGGCAGCTTCACATAATCACATTGGAAAAAGCTCCCAAACGACTTTCAATATGTAGGAACTGGTCCAATAAATCGAAGAGATGTGTTATTCGCTGTGGACTTGTCGTATCATATCAAAATTTCGATGGACTCAATTTTCTCCTTCAATGTATGCCCAGCAGTGAGATGATGATAGAGTGGATGGGGGGTTTCTCCAGCTGTTTCTTGCATGCTTTCCTCTTTCTCTCCCTTCTGTGTCTGTCTCGCCTCCTCACAGATCACTAGTTCAATCGTACCTCTCTCTTTACTTCCTGTGCGGAGAGATAACTGCTTATCAATCACATCGTATTTTGGACTCTATGTTGATGTAGCAGCCATGATCAATAGGGGTGAGGACAGCTTGTGAGATCAAACTGTGTTGTTAGCTACTAATCCTGACCGAGTTGTGTCCCCTCGATGGGACGATAAACTGAATAGATGATATATCTAATAACGTATTAGGAAATAACAAAATATGACAACGTGCCCGAGTGGTTAAGGGGTTCGCCTGCTAAGCGGATGGCTTCGGTCGCGCGCGTTCGAATCGCGTCGTTGTCGCTTCTCTTTTTGCGCTTTGCGTATAACGCACCCTACATACACAGCTCGTATCTTTCTTAATCAACTGCATCCTCATCAGCCACCCGAGGTACACTCACATCCCTTTCGAGATTCGCATGTTTCGCCTCTGATAACCTTCTTACTCTTTTTCTCTGATTTTTTTCCTCTCCTTGTGAACAAGCTGCCTTGTGATACCCTCGAGCAAATACATGAGTATAGGATATACAGAGATGGATATCTTCTTTATGACGTCAGAAGACAACGTGCCCGAGTGGTTAAGGGGTTCGCCTGCTAAGCGGATGGCTTCGGTCGCGCGCGTTCGAATCGCGTCGTTGTCGTATCATTTTTTCGCTCTGCCTGTATTTGATCCTGCACAGCTCTTGGTTTTTGATCAGCTGCATGCTTCTCGCCCCCTAATCTACATATATGCTCATTCCTCTTCCATCAGGAACTCTCCCCTTATGACATTGACTTTTCTTTTTTTCTTCATCTTGTGAACAAATTACCCCGTGAGGTCCTTGAAAAAGTACATCGATATCACCAGACCGTTAAATTTTCCCATGCTGGGTCTACAGCCGACTGGCGGGGGCTCCGATCAGTTGAGCCAAGCTTCCCGCAAAGTCCTCGGCTGATGCGGGTTCCGCAATTCCACAGCTTCTAAATATTCTCTTTACCTACAGTCAAACAGTCAACATGCAGGAACAATTTGAACCCCTTCGAAATGACCTGCTGCTTCGCGCCGCACGAGGTATTTGCCTCTTTTTCCTCATGACCAAAGAACGATTGATCTGACAATTGCAGGCGAGAAGGTGGAGCGCCCACCGATCTGGGTGATGCGCCAGGGTAAGCTCAACCCCGCCCTCCCGACTGCCTTTCGTGCACGAGAGCCTCACTGGCTTGTCTGTGAGGTCAAGTGATCTGATAGCTCTCTGTTCGTCATATAGCTGGTCGTTATCTTCCCGAGTATCATGAAGCCAAGGGCAAGCGGGACTTCTTTGAGTGCTGTCGCTCCCCCGAGATCGCCTCAACCCTCACTATCCAGCCGATCGATCGCTATGAAGGTCTCATTGACGCGGCGATTATCTTTTCAGACATCCTGGTCATTCCCCAGGCTATGGGAATGGTCGTGGAAATGGTTGACAAGAAGGGCCCGCACTTCCCCGAGCCTCTAAAGTCCCCCACAGACGGTCAATATGAGAAAGTGATGGCAAAGGATGTGAACGTGAAAGACGAGCTAGACTACGTGTATAAAGCGATCTCTTTGACTCGCCTCAAGCTGAAGGGCCGTGTCCCTCTGATTGGATTCTGCGGCGCTCCTTGGACACTGCTTTGCTACATGGTCGAGGGTGGGGGCAGTAAGATGTTCATACAGTCCAAGACCTGGGTTTACAAGTACGCCAAGGAGTCACAAGCCCTGCTGCAGAAGATCGCTGAGATCTGTGTTGAATACCTGGCTCTACAAGTCGCGGCTGGTGCTCAGTTGGTGCAGGTCTTCGACTCATGGGCCGGCGAGCTCTCGCCTGCGTCCTTTGCCTCCTTCTCGCTCCCTTACCTGCGTCACATCTCTGCCAATCTTCCTCGTCGCCTGAAGGAGATGGGCCTGGAGCCTGTTCCCATGACTGTCTTTGCCAAGGGCGCATGGTACGCTCTGGAGGACTTGTGCGAGTCTGGATACAACGTCGTCGGTCTGGATTGGCTTCACGATCCCGCTGAGGCCTTCCGCATCGCCAATGGTCGGGTTGCCATCCAAGGTAACGCTGACCCGGGAATGCTCTACGGTAGCCGCTCAGCCATCACTGAGACTGTGGAGCGAATGGTGGAGGGCTTCCAGAAGGGCAAGCAAGGCTGGATCTGCAACCTCGGACACGGTATGTATACATCACTTGATACTCGGCGTTGCGCCAATCTGGAAAGAATGCTGACCTCGGAAAAAGGTATCACCCCATTCGTGAACCCCGACGACCTCAAATTCTTCTTCGAGGAAGTGCACCGCCTGACCAAATAGGCTATCTTGAAATAGCTCTGGAAATGGGAGGACGACCTACTGCTAGAAGGTGGGTTGTCCGTTTGTTGGGCACGAAAAAACAAATACAAATCGGATTCCTAGACTCGCCTCTATAAAAATACTGTAATTATTCCCAATTCTCAAGATGATCAAACGGAGATATCCTCGTTCCTGCGAAACATAAACACCGAGTTAGTAGAGTTCCAACTGGGAGAAAGGCCACACATCTTGGGCTTGCATGACCGAGTCGATGATGTAGGTGCCAAATCGGCTTACCATGGCTCAGGCTTCTCCTTGATGAACTTGGCCATCATGTCCTTGCACTCCTGGTTGTCCAAGATCACCAGCTCCTTGCCCTTGCTGATCAGCAGCTCCTCACCACCGACAAAGTTCTTGTTCTCGCCGACGATCACTCGCTTGATCTTGTACAGGATGCATGCCCCGGTACACATGTCACAAGGGGACAACGTCGTATACATGGTGGCACCCTCGTACGCCGATGCGGGAAGACGTCCAGAGTTTTCGAGAGCAGACATCTCGGCCTAGAGCTTGTACTTAGTCCCATTGAAGCTTTCGGTGGTTCACGAAGGATCTGATCGAGCCCTTGAATGGCCTCGCCTTCAAGATTTGACTCACATGCAGGACGGGACTACCCTTCTGCACACGCATATTGTGGCCTCGACCCAAGATCTTGCCGTCCTTGGAGACCAGACAGGCTCCGATGGGGACGCCGCCCTCAGCAGCGCCTTGCTTGGCCTCCTCCACCGCGGCGATGAATCCAGGGTCCTGCTCCATGATGTTGTACGAAGAATTGCGGAGGAGTCGGTCTTAGGTGAAGGAATGGAGAATTGGGCAGGTGAGTGTGAGCGGAGAAGAAACAGTGAAAGGGAGCCGAGGGAGGGGGAAAGGGATCGATGACTCTACAAGATTTATCTACAGTACAATACCCCGATGAGCTCTGACGTGGAGACCGTTATACTCAATCCGGGCCAAGTAATTGGAGAATTTGGAGACCATTTTCCAGTTACCGAGCCGAATCTGGTGGAGAAGGAGAAACGTTTGCAGCCCCGGCGTCTTTCCCGGCTTATCGATAAGCACGGTGGCTGAGGCGGAACAGATACACTATTATGCTATGATTGCTATCATCCTCAATCCGATTACCGCCCACTCCTAGTCCTACAATGTTGACTGCGGTCTCCAGGTTCCCATTGATTCCTGTTGCGTATCGAATGCATGGCTGGCATGAATATACAGATTCAACGCTACACTTATAGTGACGGTGGAGATCAAAGTTGCGGTACGAATTCATAGTGCACCATTCTTATCAACGAGTACCCCCAATCTGTAAACGATAGCCGCCAAGCGCAGGTCCTTTTGAGGTCTTAAACAGTATGCCAATAGCATGCAGTGATTGGCCTTGCTGTTGCCGTCGGCTTCTTATCATCCTCACGCATGCCGCAGTCAAGGACCGCTCTATAAGGGGATAGGATATAAATTATGGCAGTATAACGTACAAAGACTAAATCATACGTTTACGCAGACTCTCCATGCCCATGCAAGTAGAGTCTGAGGCTTGGACGAGCATCTTACCATAGGCATTGTGTAGTGTAGTTTGACACTGACCCTTACCTTGATTCATAACCAGCAACACTACCAGCCAGTGACCAGTGACCACTAGTCGCAATTACTTATAGTCGTAGACTTCGAAGCGTCCATTTGATTGTTTTGGTCTTGTGAAGTTCGGAACCAGTCATTGTCCCTCAATTGGCCCCAGATTTGCCCCTCGGCCAAACATTCTCGGAAGCCTGTCGAAATTTTGCATCTGCCGCCACCAGCATCAGCATCGACTCGTCGACTTCGACTCTTCGAGTCCGTCAAATACATTACAGTACCTGGTAATGTATTTTCCTTGGGGACGCGGGTCGCCGGGTTCAAGTTCGAGATTCAACCAAAGAAGCGGTTGAACATCGGCGGAAGATATGTAAAACCACTTCAGCACTCATGTCATTTGAGAAGTCAGAGTGGTCCGACAAATTCTCCTTTGAGTAACTACTATGTCCCGACTATCATTTGACTGTTCGTGTTCCACATTTGTAGGATTGTGCAATGTGCCCTTGAGCAGTATGAAACTATGCTTGCGATGTGGTGTATTTTTGGTAACACTGCAGTATAATTACATTCCCTCTCGGTCGCGGACTCGCGCTGTACCACCGGTATGGAAGAACATGCTGCGAAAGCCATCGAAGCTCATGGAATCTTATCGAACTTGGCGAAAGCCATACCAGCTGCGTTGCGTTAGACGAAAGAAACCGCCAGAAAGCTCATTTTGTGCCATAGCGTCAGGGTAGAAAATCGCAGTCTTGGTACATCCTATTTCACATTTAGAAATATACAGTTGTTTCAAATCTCATATAAACAGGGGGCGTGTAAAAATTTCTAAGGATTTGTTGTCTCTCGGTCGCAGTCGCTCTCAAGTTCTCAGCACCTTTGCCCATTTCTACTTAGCGCAACATCCCAACTCAGGCGGCCTCGGTGAAACATTACGAGCTGATTACATAGCTAATACAGTACCTGGGAAAATTACTGTTACTCAGCCGTCCGTCAGGCATCCTTTTGTTCTCCAGGCCTTTATCCCAAAAAAAGCGACAGAGCATTTCTTCTTTCTATCTCTTATCCCCCCTCATCCCCCCCTCCTTCTCTTCCCAGCTGGCTTGCTGAACTTTGTCCAAGTCGCTATCTTCGATTATCTTTCTACGGTCGTCCTTTGGCGCCAGCGACTCATCTTTTCTTCTCTTTTCTCCGTCCCGCGGTTGATTACGAATTTCACTCGGCTTTCCACCCCTCCTTCACTTTCCACCTGAGTTCGACATCATGGTCAAGGAGACCAAGTACTATGAGTGTCTTGGGGTATGTCCCAGCGCACGCTTTGCTCACTGCTTCAAGACAAGTTGAAGAAACTGACCGAGCATGTTCTTCATCTTCAACTAGGTTGACCCTTCAGCCACCGAAGCTCAGTTGAAGACCGCCTACAAGAAGGGCGCACTCAAATTTCACCCAGGTATGTACCTCTCTGTTCGACGGTCATTGATGAAACGGTCGTGTTTGATATTGCCTGTGTCGAGTTTAATACTGATACTGAATTCTTTCTTTTCTATACAGACAAGAACAAGAACAACCCCGAGGCCGCGGAAAAGTTCAAGGAGTTGTCGCACGCCTATGAAATCCTCTCCGATTCCCAGAAGCGTGCGATCTACGATCAATATGGTGAAGAAGGTCTGGAGGGCGGTGGTGCCGGTGGTGGCATGAACGCTGAAGATCTCTTCTCGCAGTTCTTCGGCGGTGGTGGTGCATTCGGGGGCATGTTCGGTGGCGGCATGCGCGACACCGGCCCTAAGAAGGCTCGTACCATTCACCACGTGCACAAGGTCAACTTGGAGGACATTTACCGTGGCAAGGTTTCCAAGTTGGCTTTGCAGAAGTCTGTCATCTGTTCCGGTTGCGAGGGTCGCGGTGGCAAGGAGGGTGCCGTGAAGGAGTGTACAGGCTGCAATGGTAGTGGTATGAAGACCATGATGCGCCAGATGGGCCCCATGATTCAGCGCTTCCAGACCGTCTGCCCCGACTGTAACGGTGAGGGTGAGATCATTCGTGACAAGGACCGCTGCAAGAAGTGCAACGGTAAGAAGACCGTTGTTGAACGCAAGGTTCTCCACGTTCACGTCGACAAGGGTGTGCGTGACGGGCACAAGATCGAGTTCCGCGGTGAGGGTGATCAGATGCCCGGAGTCATGCCTGGTGATGTCGTTTTCGAGATCGAGCAGAAGCCCCATCCCCGCTTCCAGCGCAAGAACGACGATCTGTTCTATCAGGCCGAAATTGATCTCCTGACTGCTCTTGCCGGTGGTACCATTCACATCGAGCATCTTGATGATCGGTGGTTGACTGTGAACATCGCTCCTGGCGAGGTTATTGTCCCTGGTATGTTTTCGATTGAAACTCCCTCAAAGAGCTTTGAGCGCGGGATCGTGAGTCGACGCTAACAACTGTTGTTCTGCAGATGCCATCAAGGTCATCCATGGCCAGGGTATGCCCTCATTCCGTCACCATGATTTCGGCAACCTATACATCAAGTTCGACGTCAAGTTCCCCGAGAAGGACCAGCTGCAGAATCTTGACCTGCTCGAGAAGGTCCTTCCCCCCGTACCCAGCAGAACCAGCCTCCTGCCGATGCCATGGTCGAGGACTTCGAATTGGAGGATATCGACACCACAGAAAACTCCCAGGCTCGTGCTCACGGTGCCGCTGGTGCCATGGACGAGGATGATGACGACGTTCCCCCCGGCGCTGAGCGCGTCCAGTGTGCATCGCAGTAAATGCACTTCTTTCAACCATCATTCATTCTGAAGTCAATGATTTCGGAATCTCGAATTTACACGTCCCAGGAACTCTGGGGCTCACTTGACGAATTTCGCTTATGATACCATGTGAAGCGGACGAATTGTTCCTCTTCATATTCCCCCAATGAAATAGAGATGTGTCTGCAGCCAGGAATTCTTCTTTTTCTTTCTTGCTTCGCCTTGGTTTCCTGTTATGACGTGCATGGGACAAAGTAATTCACTACGCCGCTCAACTGCTTCTGCTTTGCTCTGGCGTTCTGCTTTAAGGTGTTCGGAAGACCCGCTGACCATCGCTGTCCCCCTTCCTCCTTTCCTGTTCGTGTCTTCTAAACACGTTTAGTTCTTGAAAATTCATTCTTATCTCATGTGCCTCATGATGTTCAGTACGCGATCTACATGCCTTCGCTAATTGTACTTTCTTAGGGGATGTTTGGAATCAATGGACAATGCGCTACGAATACGGCAGCACATTGTTGCACTTAGTACTCTTTAGAACCATGCTGATGTTGGCCTTTGCTTTTTCGAAGTACACCCGTAGACGGTTGCCTCGCTGCATTTGTGGTGAGTGTGACAGCCGAGTATGGATCCGATCTTCGTGAAGCACTCTCTTCTGATATGTGTTACAGTTCGACGGCGTGATTTGCAGTATTCACCAGGGACATGATTACCCTTTCAGTTAGAGAAACTTTATTTTCAGCTTTTGCTCAGTGCCTTATGTAGGATTGCACAGCTTTCTACCAGGATATGCCAGTCATGAGTAGATAGTTCCAAAGTTATGTATTCCCGTGGTTTTATATTAAGACTTGAGCCTGTAGACCTTCCCTGTTCGAGTCCTGTTGGAAGTCTGGGAGTGCGGATGCTTCATATACTAATGCAACATTAGTATGGTAGTATATAACTTATCTTTGTAGGCTGGTACTGCTAAGGTATATCTGGTACAGTATGTAGTTCGTGAGTCTGAAGCCACCAACATGGTAGAGTACATCGGACATCCAACGTGGTACTTTGGTAACACCATGCAGCCGCATGTATTCTAAGGTACCCGCGTTCCTGATTGACGGTATTGGGCAATCCGCTATCGTTGGAACCCTTTAGGAGGGGCCGAGATTCTAATCCCGCCGGACGGGAGCAACTCAAACAGCTTTGTCAACAGTCAACAGTCAACACAGCACCGTCATGAACACTTTGACTTGAATTTGCAGAATCACTATCTCTCCCTCAACAACAGATCACCTGATTGACTCCTTTCTCTCCTTTCTTCGTTCCCAAGCTCCACCCTAGCTACCGTGAGCAGTCTCACAAAATTATCAAGTCACGACATCCGCAGATGCTCATTTCGGAAAACTGTCAACATTACTCCCATGAGCCCTGCCTTCCGATCGTTACGCCTTTAAACCTCGATCTTACAATCGCATTTCGCCGCGAGATTTGAAGAGGCCTCTCATTAACTTGCAAGACCGGGCTCCTCCTCCGCCACCATGCCCCTCCCACCATCTCCCCTGAAACTCTCTCACCGCCGCCTCTCCGACACGGACGACTTCCCACCCTCTCCGGGTGCAGAGGATCCCAATAGGCTCATGCCACGAAGCCCAACGTCTCCTCGCACACCTCAGTTTTCTGTCCCGTCTTCCCCCGTTGCCCTTCGCCACGGCGGCGCAGGCGCCATGAACGGATCACTCCGAGACTCGGTAGATTTCTCTACCGAATCTGGCGGCGGCGGCGGGTTGGGAAATCTCGCTGATGAACTTGCCGACGCATGGGAGCAAGAGGAAGACGGATATGATTATGCCTCGGGCCAAGAGATGGGCACTGCTGACTCGCAGAACATGGAGCAAAGTGACGTGGAGGATGGGTACCTGCAGCCAACCTCTCAGATGCACACTCGTTCTTCGTCAACAGGATCACCGGATCGGAAAGATCGACTCCGAACAACACAATTACGACAACACCGACGGCAAGAGTCCCATTACGATGGATCAGATTATGGCAATGACTCAGATCTCGAAGAAGTTGCGGATATCTCTCCCTCATTAGAGATGCAATTGTCCGACATCGAAAGCCTCGCCCGGCGTGGCATTGAGAACAATGGCAGTGAAAGTGATCATATCATTCAGCGGACTGTCGAAGCACTTCGAGATCTTGGCGGACAAAGTGGCATTGAAAATGGCGCTATGCGGTGAGTTCGCTACACGACAGAGCAAGATACATCTTCCCCTGGGCATACCGAAACTGACATCATGTAGACTGATTACCGCCCATTCCTCTATCACGTCTCATCTGACTCACCAAACGCGCACACTCCAATCCTTGATCCATCCGCTTCTCTTCTCACCATTCCCTCTACTATCTGAAGACGCCATTGACTCTCTCATGCCACTTATCGACGAGGGTCTTCTGCCGAATCTCCCATACCCATTCCCCGAACAGCCTCGGCGTGATTCCCGGCCGACCACGCCGTCTCAGCAGAACACCCAGAACCCTCTCATGTCACTACAAGCCCTTGTGTCTCAGACAGCAGATCTTACTGCGTCCCTTCGCAGCCTCGGGGATACACTTTACGAGTCCCGTCAGTTGACGGCGACTGCATCGCGGCGCCTGCGATCCGCACGTGAACTTGTCATAGACATTAGGCGGGAAGAGGAAAGCCGTGAAGAGGGCTCAAGGTGGATCGAACTGGGCGAATGGGACCGACGGCTTCAGAGTCGCGAAGCAGGTCAGGAATGCCGTGACGTTGTGAACGGCTTCGAGACCGTCTGCGGCGAGTGGCGTGAGAAACTGTTCGGACCTTCTCCTGAGGTAGTAGCTACTTGACTTTGAACCGTTTCGTCTTCCGCGCCAGGTGTCTTGAGTATTGGAATCCGAGCCGACGGGGTTGCGGAGTGATCTCCGGATATGCCTGTGCTGCTTCTGACCTTGATACAATGATCGTCTTCTTTCCTGCTTTATGCCATGTTCCCACTGTTTGATATCCCCTTTGCACCCGGACCTTTTTTGATACTTGATTCGGCCTGATCACACACAGCCAGCTCTTTGGATGGCCAACTTGTGTATATTTTCATTCACTGTAGCTTAGATTGATGTACCCATACCACATACCCAGATAGAAGGTTTTCTACTGTTCAACTTCACATTCTCAGACAAAAGAACTTGGACTTGGATCCCTCGCCAATAAAACAGCGTGACCGTATTACCATCTACCCCTCAGACTTTCTCTAGACATACATGCAGCGAGCCCTAGCCGGCGACACAGACTTATGTAGTATCAGGCTGGTCTACCTTACCAGCAGACACGATTCTATATCACAAGCATGACTCGTGTAGATAGATTTACCATCCACCTCACTTACGTGTGGAGAGTATCCTTTGCGCTGCGGCTCCTGGTCTCTAGGCAGTGGTTAAAACACATCTTGATTTTGTAGTTGGACTCCTACCATTTTCGGTTTTCTGGTTCCCATCAGGCCGGCCACTGCCCGAAGAGCATCGTTGTGAGCTGCTTCTTTTGATCCTTTTCATTTGACGGAGGACCTGCTGCTAGGTAGGGGCTTTGATTGATAAACTGGGCATTCTTCTGAATCGTTGCCCGTAATGTTCAAGGGGAGTAAGTGCAGCAAATGTTTTGCAAATATTGAGCGATTGAACTTGTAGGTATGTGATCGTATACGGGTTGTCTTTCTTTACACACCATCTTCCGGCGACAGAGGTATGCAGTGAGTTGAATATTATTGTCTGGAATCGACAGTGCACCAAAGGAGGGGAATTTCGCCCAAGAGGATGGATGCCTAGGTACTGAACAAATTCATGCTCCAGCGTCACGAAGCACGAGGTACGAGGCACGAAGTACAAAGTAGATCTGATTTTACGAGGAAGATCACACAGTAAGGTTCTGCTTTATGTACCGAAAGATGATACTACAGATAGACGTTGATATTTGCCATCCGGATGACGGACCATTCTATCCAGAGTAAGAAAAATCGTGAAAAGTAGCCAGTAGATTAGAAGGAGAAATTCGGGCACGCAAGCAGATACACAGACACACAGAAACGTCAAAGCGGACGATGGATTGGAACAGGCCATCGCGCGTAGATGGTTAGAGAGAGAGGGAGGGGAATTGAGAGAGCGCGGCAAGAAGTCCTAGCCGACGAAACAGAGTCATTGCAAAGATGGGGTCATGAAGAAGAAACATGCGCCGGATAGAATGAAAAACTTTCCGAGTCACTTTTTGATTCGCTCCCTATAGGTCAAGATGAAAAAGAAGAAAACAAATGAATCCATTTGAGCATCAACCTAGGACTGCTGCTGCTTCCAGCGGGGCACCCACTTGCCACCGCTAGCCTTCGACTCGTCGGGCTTGGCGGCAGGGGGAGCCTCGGATGTGGCAGAGGAGGGATCACGAACGTGACGGGGCACGAAACGGTCGGTGCGCTCGGTACGCTCGGTACGCTCCGGGCGTTCGAATCGATCGTTGCGCTCAGGACGCTCGAAACGGTCGCTAGAACCGTTCTCACGAGCCGGTGGGGCGGAGCCAGAGGAGGCAGCTCCACGCAAGTGAGGTGGGACGTATCCGCCCTTGCGCAGGGGAGCAGGCTCCTCCTGAGCAGGTTCTTTGCGAGCGGGCTCGGGGGCAGCACCACCACTGGCTTCCTTGGCCGCCAAACGCTCTCTCCAGCCACCGCCACCAGCAGCAGCAGCCGGACGAGAAGCAAGATTGAGGCGAGGTGCAGTACGCTCTGCAGGAGGCTCCGGGACAGGAGCGGCACCGCCAAATTTGCGGGCATTGCGGCGGGCTTCGGCCTCTTCCTCGCGCTGCTTCTGTTTCTGGGCGATCTCGTCGAGTTTGCTATGTGAACTGTTAGCCTGAAGTTTGGATGTACAACGCGGAACGGGATATAGGGTTGAGACTAACGCTCGCTCTTCCTCACGCTTGGCCTTCTCCTCGGCCAAAGCACGACGGCGCTCCTCTTCGCGGGCGACACGCTCTTCCTCTTCGCGAGCAACACGTTCTTCCTCCTCCTTGCGACGACGCTCGGCCTCCTCACGCTCCTGCTTCTCGCGGCGGCGTCGTTCCGTGACCTCCTTGACACGCTGCTTCTTCTTGGCCTCGAACTCACGCTCGGCAGCCTTGCGGCGCTTCTCGAACTCCTCGTGGCGCTTCTCAGACACCTCCTTACGGAAGCTGGAGAACTGTGGCACAAGACGACCAAGACGGTGCTTCAGGGCAACAGCCTCGGCGTGCTTACGCTTAGCTTCCTTCAGGGTCTCAGCCTTCTGAGCCTCGTAAAGCTCCATGTCGTGCTTCTTCTGGGTCTCGTAGTCACCGGGGACGTGCTTAGCCTCCTCACGACGGAGAGCACGCTCCAAGTGGTCAATACGCTTGGCGGTCGCACGCACGCGCTCATTCAACTCGTTCTTCTCCTTCTCGAGGTGAGCAAGCTTGATCGCGCGCAGGCGGTTGGCGTCCAACTCCTCAGGATCAAGCTCACTGATGTCCAGACCCTTGACACCGGTCTTGAGCTCCTCAAGCTGCTTCTTGAGCTCTTCAGCACGGATGCGGTCTTGCTCGTCCTTGACACGCTTGAGCTCACGCTCGCGCTGCTCGTCAGCAAGACGCTGCTTCTCAGCTTCCTGGAGCTGCTGGGTACGGATACGCTTGCGAGTCTCCTCCTCACGCTGCTTACGGTTGAGAGCGTCAGTGGCAGCCTCCTTCTTCTTGTCGATAATGACGCGACGAGCCAGTGTCTCCTCGTGCTCCTGCGCAGCACCAGCAAGAGCACGGGCCTGAGCAGTCTGCTTGGCCTGAGCGCGAGCCTCGTTGTAGGAGGGATCGACATATTGGCAGGTAACATGCAAAGTCTTGGCGAGACGAGCAAGCTGGAAGCGGGCGATATCAGCGGGAGTGTGCTGCAGACGCTGAACAGAGCCAACTTCGCTCTCGGCCGAACCGGCGCCGCTGCCGGCGTGCATGGCCTTGGATGAGGAGAAGACGTCCGAGTCAAAGGTCAGGACACCCGAGATGTGGTCAACACGGATGGCCAGATCGCCCTTCTTGCAACCGTTCATGATGAACTTCTCGATCATAGCGGGGGTGATCTGGAAGGGGTCGGGGAATTGAGCGAGCTCGTAGACGAACTTGAGCTCAACAGACTCGTAGACTTGAGACAGCTGCTGGAAGAGGCGAGTAAGAATGACCTGCTGCAAAGGTACGACGTATTTCTCCATCTCGGGATCAGCACCAATCTTGGTCAGAATGGGGGTGATCTTCTTGCAGATAGACAATGGGTGGAAGTCGACCTCGAGAATGTTGTAAAGATCACGAATCTCAGGGCGGACGCGCTTGAGAAGACCCTTGTTGAGAGCATCACGGAACAGAACGTGGCGGGAAGGAGGCTGGGCCATACCCAAAAGGTTGGTCAAGCGAGTGTTCTTGTTCTTGCGAGCCTCGTCGACGTCAATCAGGGCACCGCGGGAACGAGTGGTGCTGATCACAGGGATAGACAGGGCAGACAAGAGGACGAAGGAAGCGGCCTTGGTCATTTCGGCTTCGGTGACAGAGGGGTTTTCCTTCTTGCTGCTCTGACCGGTGGCCAAGGCAATGGTAGAGAGACGGAGCAAGTTGTAGTAGCGGTTCCAGGCAGCGGCGTGGAAGAGATAGTTCTCGCTGACAAGGAAGATACGAGCCAGCTTCTCGTAGTAGTTAGCCATCATGACATTCTTGGCGGGACGCTTGCTCAGGTTCAGGAGAGTGTGGATGTCCTCGATGCTGCGGAAGGCCTCCTGCCACAGCTCGAGCTCGACGGCGACATTCAGTTGCTGGAAACGGGTATCGAGATGACGCTGCAGGGTATCCGCGTCGCTCAGGTTGATGGCGTGCATCTGAGTGGAGTACTTGGCGGCATTTTGGACGTGATTGCGCAGCAGCTCACAGAGACGGCGGAACTCGGTCTTGCGGGTGTACTTGAGACAGAACTGGAAGGCCTGAAGGGCAGTAGCCTGGTACATGATCTCCAGACGAGCGTTGTTCTTCAGGATCTCCAGAACGGTGCGATAAGTCTCCCACAAAAACTTGAGCCAAGGAGTGACAACGGCGCGGTCGGTGCGGTCGCGAGACTGCTCTCCTGAGACGGTGGCCAGCAGGATAGTCTCGGGAGTCTCGATGGCTTCCAAGTCCTCCACATTGGTGGCGGAGGGTGCGGACTCGAGCGAAGACTGGATCTCATCGGCTTTGGCCTGGGCCTCGGTGACCTTTTGCTCGGCGAGTTCGATGAACTTCTTCAGGACGACCTCGATGGTTCCGACGTTGGTGTTCTGAGCGATGTTCTTGTACTGATATAGACCGTCCTTGGCCGACTTGCCCTTACGCAAATCGACACACAGCTCAACGAAGAGCAACATGACGGGCTCAAGGGAGGCAATAGGGCTGCTACGGGTACGCTTCGAGGTGACATGTTCGTGAAGGACGGTCAAGGCAGCCTGAGCCTGACCGACGGCGATGAGTTCCTGTGCCCTCTATAGAGCCAAGGCCATGAGTGTTAGCAATGGATCCACAGGGGTGCCTTTGCGACGAATCCTTCTTTGAGGATCTGTCGTTTCGTCTTTGTTGATCATCTGGAGACGCACCTTGAGGACATTCTCAGGTTTGATATGGGGTGGTGGAGGCATCTTGGGCAACGCAGCCCTTCGGGTGGGCGATGAAATTTGATGTGGATTTTTTTCGGCTCAAATCGGTGTTTGGCGACAGACAAGTGTAGGCGTCGTAGACACGGGCAGTGGTCCTGGACCGACGTTGATAATGCTGCCACGCGAAGTCCCTTAACCTGGAGGGAAAGAAGGTGCCTGTTGTGCGCGAGCCAGCGAAAATTGCCCAGCGTTCCCACTTCGGGCTAAGCGATGGGTCAGTCATGTGACTTTGGTTTTGCCTGAGGGGCAGAAAGGGAACAAAGGCTGAACCGCGTTGACTCGTTGAGTAGTACGGTACACTTACCAGTTACAGGATCTGTTATATTCGTACAGTTAAAGGTACCACTAGGTACCCTAGAGGACCGCATTACAATGATTGTTGAATGTTGTTTGTGTGACGTGAGGGACGTCGACTGTATGCCTCGCAATGAGCCTCATAGTTATACTATCGGCACAAGCATCTACTAAGGTATCAGCAGTCTTTACCACACAGGTTGGAACATCACTGTAATCTTGATGGTAGCGATTAGGTGACATCGCCATCGCGCAATCAAGTCCGCTTATGATTTCCTGGCGGTAATAGAGAGGTTTCACAAATCTGTGCTAGGTGAAGCGCGTACTCTAGAAGTACCTGATACGAACTTACGAAGTACGAAGTATGTAGTTGTATGTAGGTTCTTTAGTAGTCAACTTCATGAGATCCATGCCACTCGATCTTCAATCCTGGTCTCGCCTGATTGAGTACAATACATTGTTGAAAGATGCTTGGCTACCAGCACAGCAGTTCATGCAATAAAAAACTCGGTCGGTCTGCATCTACATGACATATGTACGTATCTGTATGGTGCATCGACCTCGCTATCAACCATTCTGTTGGCAGCCATCGGCTGTCATTATTGGTCTTTAGACATGGACTCGCATGGAGGCTTACCTCCATCCATTGGATAAACATATCAGCCTCGGTTTGAGGTTGATGTGCCAGTCTGGACGGGTCCTCAATGTAAGCTCACGTCAGCCAGTGTTCGCTACTTACTCACCTGATACACACGGGCATCAGGGTAGAATGCTAACTCAAGGTACAGTACAAATGTTGACCGAGTCCCGGCCCGATTAGAACGTGAACGAGTCGTGCAGCAAGTTTGCATATGCTCATTGCTCAACCTTGGTTCAAACCTGGTTGTATTGAATTCCGACAGTACGTAATATGTACTGCTATACACTAAGTCACTTATACATTATACAATATACATATTATAGAAGGGTAAATGTCATGCATAAGCGCGGTTCACTTCAAGCGTGAGGTGATGTTTTGGAGGATCCGACTCGACTCGTCAATCTTCTAGTGAATTCTCGCCGCTTATTGTAGTCTTGCCGCGATTAACTTACTGACCAGCTATATCATAGCAGAATATATACCTTACTCAATATAAAATTCCTGAAAACTTCTGCAAACTACCAGTGATCCACAGGCCATAACAAAGGGTGGATACGGTACTTCAAGATACATGGATTCCTATGGTCCAAATAGTCACCATAGAATACTCTTAATGATCTGGAAGTACGGCCCACGGAGAACATGACAGCATTTGACATCTGGATCGGAACATGTCGAGAGTGAAAGTCTCGAATTGATCTCATGATGCAAGCTCTGGCTGAGTTATGCTAGATCATTCTTTAGGTGGTTGACTCTCCAATGCGAAAAGCACTGCGATGCTATTGCAGATGATCGGCTGCAACTCCGATGGACTTGCAGACCGATTTGATGTATCGAACTTGAACCACGACTTCCTGTCGGACTTTGCATGAGAATCGCACAGAATGTACATACGATACGGACTGTTCAATACGATGTGTACAGTATCCCTAATCCCACGTACATTATGTACTTGACTACTTAACACTTACGTATAAAGTACAGTATGTGTTGGATTAGGGATGATGTATTTATGGTAATAGAATTCAACTTTCAAGCTCCGCATGAGACATGAGAATGCGGATCATATGCAAGCGTCAATCTTGAACACTTGCTGCTTACTGAATTGAACGTTCAACGTTAAACGTACTGTATCAGACCATCAATGTAATTGTATTATTGAAGATCGGAGCGACGACGGAAACACATCTGTAATACAAACCGCCCCCAAATGCCTTATGCTGATACGCTCAGACGCTGTACCTGATACACAAGTCCGGGGCTTCGATACCGAAATTCATGTGCCTCTGTATTTAATACGGAGCCAAAAGGAAGGTTTTGTGGGCCAGATAATACAATGCGCTAACGAAGCTGCACGGCACGCTGCGCGCTGGCCGTACAATCGGTTGCCAGCTTCTGCATTAGGAGATGGTCAAAGCTCGAAGAACAGATAACGTAATGTACAGCGTGTATCGAGTCGTATGTACACAAATTACACAGTAATGTGTAAGAGGCTGGCGTAAGTTCGTAACAAACCAGCCAAACAAACCGAAAGATCAAACCAGAAAGCCAAACGGGGGAAAATCCCTCCCCAAATGGCCCCTTCCCCCCGAAGGAACTGACGCCCATCATCACGTTCCTTCCTTTGACCTGCCGCTCACTTGCCCTCGTTTTTGATCCCCTCTCGGTTCCCTCCTTAGTCGATCTCGACTGTCTGCTCTTCGGCCTTCTACGCAGACCCGTCGACACATTTCTCTATAATCATAATCGCCTCTTCAGAATCACTCCTGCTCCCTGACATCCGCGCGCAGCCCCTGGCGGTGCACACACGAACGGTCCCCCCTCCCTTTTCAGCCAACCGACCAACCCCCTTTCTCCATTGCGCGCCATCAGCCCGCACAACCATCTCGTTCGACACTATCGACCGCCATAATGCCTGCCTACGAACTTCGCTCGGGAGGGGATGTGAAGAACAAGAAGCAAAGTGTCGCCGACCTCAAGTACCGTCGCCTGACCGAGCTCAATGCTCGTCTGAAGGAGGATCTCGACCGTCCGCGTGTAAAGGTCTCCGAAGCCGCGCTCTCGTGAGTTCGTCCATAGCCTCAACCCCTCGTGGAGATTCGTGACTTGGAGGACCATCTTTGTGACTCAGAATCTGAGACGAACAATTTCCACGGAGACGCATTGCCTCTGGACGGTCTTCATTCGCAACAATTGTGTCCAATGATCACCTTCCCTTCTGGATCTCTCGTCCGAATCGACACACTTGCAATCGCTACAATGCTGACTAGGACATTTTCCACAACTACAGGCTGATCAATTACTGCAACAACACCCGTGACTTCATGGTACCCTCAGTATGGGGGCAGGTATGCAACCACTATACCGGCGATTGCACTCAATATCGACCAACTGACAATTCCCCAATTTAGGTTGATAAGAGGGAAGATCCGTACGCCCCTCAGCAGCAAGGTGGCTGCTGCACTGTCATGTAATGTTACTCATGACACCAACGGATTTTTGGCTCGATCATCACGCTACGATTCTTATTTCCCCTACCCATCATTTTCTGTCCAACTTTTTTGCCTAATTTCTTATTTCCGGCGGTGGTCCTCCTTGTCATCAACACTACCATCCCGCAACTTTGTGATGATCGCTTTTCTGGTCTCTTGTCAGAAACCTCCCATTCTACTTCCAGCTCCGTTGAGACGACCGCTGCCCTGATCGCTGGCCTCGAACTCGGGACCAAACAAATATTCGTGTGCAAAGATATCATTGGCCAGAGCCGAACGAGGTCTTTGAACGCTGGGGAACAAGGTGACTCCTCGAAATGAGTCACATCGAGGGGAGCAGATGGCCGCCTTGCTCAACCTTTTACCGCGCGCAAGATTGCTGAGGCTCCATGGGTCATGCTGGCGAAGACATCCGCCTGAATCCCAATGCGTCTCTTTCACAAAGATTTCAGATATTCTCCCTTCTCACTCCGAATGATTTCCCGTCCTCAATTTATTCGGTGCGCACTTTCGCTGCGCTTTTTCAACCCTTTTTTTTTTTTCTCTTCTGCTTCAGTATCATTCCCCCTCGCCTCGTGTGTCTGTGTTCGTTTGAAAGTCACATTTCTTTTGTTTATCTGGGTTTCACCAAAATCCTCTGTGTTACGCGCAGGGTTGGGTTGCCATTCGTGTATCATAAATTCGATTTGCATCCAATGGCGAAAATAAAAATGACTGTAATACCTCTGATTTGGCTCGGCTGGCAAGGTCTTGCGCAGTGTAGGTTGCGATACTATGAACTTCCGCTTGCTCTGTCAGCCGGATATTTTCTTACTCGTGTTAATGTGTTAGCACGTCTCTGCGAACCAGGGAAATGCGCTACACCTTCCATGAGGTACCGCCGTGCTCGACACTGACAGTGATAGTGACCAGGCCGCTCATAATCATAGTAGACCAGCCATCCTGCCGGTACTGTTACTAGTGCTCACTGAATCGGATTGTAGGAACATTGGCGACTAGGTAGCGAGGGATGAGTTGAGGCAATGGATCATTGGAAACCAATGCCACACTGATTGTACCTAACTACGCACTACTAGGTAGGTTAGTAGATGAGTAGGCAGTTAGAATTTAGGAGTACTAGTCGGGTTCGTAGTGAGTAGGCTGTTAGGTAAGTGTAGTTACATACTAGTTTGAAGAGTACTGAGTGTAGTACCCACTAATGCTGACATCATCAGGCTATAGGCACTGGACCTCACGGCGATTGGCCATGAAAGCGACATCGGGGAATTTGAAGAGGAGCTCAGTGATGAGATGAGGATAGTTAGTCAGTCGACAACCTTCGTCAACTTTAACGACTCTCGCTACTGTTACTTGGGCCTCGCCGCCCCTGTCTTGTCATAAATCAGGTGAGCCGAGACTGAACCCAAGCCGCTTCAGAACCGGACTGTCGCGAGACTTTGCATATCTTACAAAATCACCTCGGCCCAGCGTGGTCTGCGCCGGGAAACAAATGCGACGGTCACCGTGCCATGTTGATGGAGGATATCCTGTCCTGATACGTTGATAGAAGCTTTCAAACGTGCACCACTCATACAAACGACTTGATAAACGAACAGGACCGAGTCCAGTTTATCCAGCAAGACGACTCTTCCAGCCCACACATCTGCTATGGCTTCGAGTGGACCGCCGCCCTCTAGTTCTGAGATGACCGCCCTCGAGCGTGTTCATCTGCCTCGTGTCGCGATCAAGTTCTGCACACAATGTCGCTGGATGTTGCGAGCTGCTTATGTAGGAATTTACCTCCCCTTTTCGCACTCCGATCCCATCTCTCTGTTCCCGAGAACAATGACATGTTACTCATGACAAGCCCCCGGGGCCGGGTCCAGTGAAATTTTTCCATAGCAGAAAATGCAACAGGGCAGACAAATACGGGAGAGGAGAGCACCCGCGACAGCCATTGGACATGAAAGACTAATAGAGAAACCCCCTGGAAAAAACCCTACAGTTTGCCCAAGAACTTCTCTCCACATTCGGGACCGATCTGGGCGAAGTCGCTCTCGTCCCTGTAACCGGCGGCGTGTTCACAATCACGATCTGGCATGCAGTCGATGCCGACACCAGTGCCTCAAATCAAAGTAATTTGGCGATGACGCAGGAGACTCTCCTCTGGGATCGCAAAACTGATGGTGGATTTCCCGGTATGACCTGAATCCCCTACTCAATCGAAATGAGCAAGCGACTTTATCACTTGTGTGTGTGTGTTGTACTAACCAGGTATCGGGGGTCATGTGGCATAGAGGTCAAAGTCCTCAAGTCGCGGGTGCGTAATGTCATTGCGCCTAATCGGGATCTGGGACATACGGATCGTGCGTTGAGGAAAGAAGAGGCGCAGAAGAAGAATGACGAGGAGCAGGTGCCGGGGCAAAGACACCAAGGAGACAAGAAAAAGGACTGTGAAGACTGTGTCTGAATCGGAAGAAGAGTCGCAATCATGTGCCAGTGAGATATCCATGATTAGTCACACTCAGCTGCGACCTACAACTTGGAACCTAAATTGATGTACCTTGTCATGAGCAGCTTACAATGCGTTCAACATGTTCTCGCTGCGGAGCTGAAAATAATCCAAATTGTGTGGGAGGCTTTTACTTACGTTACTTTTTAATCATGTTGATCACTTAATTTCAATTCCTTCCTCCCATCTGTGATGACTAGTATACAAAGTGCTGATTATAGCCTGACTGATCGTTATTCAGGCAAAACAAACAAAAGAGAATAGAGGCCGATCCAGTCGGGCCCTTTAAAGGCCGGGTACCTCTTCCTCGGAGGGACCCTCGTTGTAGCCATTCTGAGTCTGGGGCTTGGCGTGACGAGTACGATCCTTGATGATGTTGGAAGTATCGATCGCTTCATTATCGTCCTTGGCTGTGCGTCCAAAAGACCTTTGCGTTAGTCTGAAAGCACCGATGCTAGGCTAATGCCCTTGCGGGAATGAATGGGATATTTCACATACCGAGCTGCTCGTCGGTGTCGGCGACATTCTCATCAATAGGGTCCTCGACCTCCTTCAGGTCGTCCTGGACGGGGACCTCGTCCTTTCGCTGGGTCACATAGTCATTGTCCTGGACGGGAATGTCGTCACCGGGAACAAGATTGCTGGCCATGTTGGTGGTTTGAAGTGGAACTGAATAAGTTGTTGGACTTGAGCGGGTGCAGGTGGTTTGAGGAAGAAGCCTTGAAGGTCTGAGTCTTGAGAGGCTTGAGGAAGGTCGTTGGGATGAAGTTTAACCGTATGGATGGAGAATCATCGTCTTACTTATACCAGCTCGTATCAACCTTATCTCCCTAGTACGAGAGCTCTCTGTTCATCATCATTCCCTTTCTCTCAAGTCAACCGGTTCGTTCATTCGCGCGTCACCCATCCGCCAACAAGACATGATCGACAAGCAAGGACTCATCAAATCAAGTTCGATCTCACTTGCACTAATAGTCCAAGACCCAGCGATGACATGATTGACCACTGACAGACCAGACACCCCCAAACAAGCTCTCTCTCTCTCTCTCTCTCTCTCTCTCTCTCTTACTGTGTCGTTCGCCATAAATCTTCACTCCAAACCTTATCGGGTCGTGGGGGAACCAGATCTCGGTAGTTCCGATCTGCCGCCAGGTCCAATCAGATCCAACAGGGTCGCGTCGATGCGTTCGTCACTTCCGTCCGATCGGCTTTGCCAGGTTCCCTCCTCTTCGTTGCCCTTGGGGTCTTTGGTGTGGTTACGTGGGACTGACGACAGGAGAGCCGCATTTTGACAGCTCGAGGACAAAGCGCCAAGAAAAGTCATCCGGGAGGTTTCGATCGATGTGATTTATGGAATGTCCAGACTCCAGACTGTTCGTGGCAGGTCACTTAGTGCCCGGGATGTTCGTTACCTTAGCCCTGGTTAGGTTTGATAGATCTTGGGCAATCCTTAATTCCTCTTGCGTACATACTGCGTCGTCGGACAGATTAGAGTGATCGACTGCATCTTCAGATGACGCGAGAGGATACCCATTTCCAATCGAGGAATTTCGCAATACACCTGTCATTCGGTGTCCGCATGACGCGATTGAAGAATGCGATCTGGTAGTTATCTGGAGAGTTTCACCTCGCATAGCTGTGGAGTGTTGTCGATTCTGAGGTACATACCCGTTTCGAATCATGCAGGTACAGTATTGACCTTGACTGTACTAGGTTTCAAGAAACTGGACATTCTACCAGTGCCAATGCCTCGGTACTTTGAGAGATCACCGGTGACGGCAGTGATGGCACACCTCCAGCTCTGACCTGACCTTTGCATGAAGTTGCAGAACTACAGACTAAGTATCCACGAGTCACGACTTGATCTGACTACTTCAGCCCATGTTCATCCGCTTGAAGCCAGTCTGATCATATTCACATGAGGGTGAGAATGGGCATCGACGGATAGGAAAAGCAAGAAAACTATATGCGGCTTCCATCTTCGAAGATTAGATAAACGATAGTAAAGCTTGTAACTCAGGTTGTTTATTTATCCAGGTGAGTTCAATCGACTCCGTTTAACAGGATCTAGCTTGGAGTTCTCTCTCATTGTTCCAAGCTACGCTACCTTATTTAATCGATCTCGCACTCGCATCCTATGTCTCAACTCCCCAGACAGGTGCCAGAGGGTCCCGTCGGTTAGTTGGGCAATAGTAAGGTATTAGGTATCGACATTCTGACTCAGCTCCGACTCGCTTCTCCTAAACTTTGGATAACTGATTTCTTATCATCACCAACTATCCCGAAGATCAGTGCATCAGTGAACAAGGGCCATAGTCGTGACTCGTCGATACCGATCGCTGCCACAGACCCGCGAGACCGGAAGTGGATAAGAGCACGGCAAAAGCAACGCATGAATGGCTCGCCCAGTTACGCAAAAACCAGTTTTGGGCTCGCTAGTCGCCTTCCACCGTTTGCCATCCCGCGCGCCGGTCTTGGGAATCTTGCCGTTTCGGCCGTTCTAGGCCATGCTGTTCTCCGAGGGTGCATTGAGTGCTGAGTGAGTCGTGGACTACTGTGAGGGTGAAACTGGGCACAATTTGATTTGTACCGTCATGGGTCTCTCTGGCCGTGGATATAGAGAGGACTGTGGAAGTGTCAACAGGCGGTTCGTAGACCTCTGAAGATAGGACATGTTGGTCATAGAGACGTCCATTCGTCTCGTGTCTTTCTTTATTTCGAATGTAAAGTCGAGTCTTGGTAGACAGGAAGAGGGGCATGTGTATCAATGCTTCAACGCAACAGTTGCCCAGGCTAGTGGAAGTGTACTGGAGCCAAGCGGTGCATAACCCACTAGTCGCAAGGCAGTTAGCAGGCAGCTGTAGTCTCTATTAATCCATTCCTCTATTTACCTAACAGAGTAGTCTCTCGTTCTATCCACGTTCATAACCACGCTAGTGGATGCCGAATCATGCGTGCATAATCTCGCCGACTCAGTCGTGGCGGAACAAGCCGAATCATGTCCATTTTCTGTCTGATCCCGGGACAAGAATATTGAATAATCACGAATTCCAATTCGATTTTGATGGCAGTTCCCAACTTAGTAGTATTACTACCCACTACTGTACATACTTCATACTAGTTAGTAAGTAACTCTTCGTAGTTTACTAGTTACGAGGAGAGGCGTTACCCTTTTGGGGGAATTTTCCAACCCGTGAGAATTTCCTTTTTTTTTTTCATATCTGGATTCCATATTATGGGTCTTCCCCAGATAATTACTGAGCTGAGCCAGGTTCAAATGTCATTTTTTTTTTCCCTGGTCCCAAGTCCACATCTTCACTCGTTTCATCTCTCTTCTCTTCTTACAAACCGTCACCACCGATGGGTCGACCTTCCATCTAATCTTCCCTCACCGATGCCGACAACTCTCGCCGATCAGGTCTCGCCCCGCCACCCACCGCTCGCAACCGCGCGGTGCCACCCCGCGCCATGACAACCGGTGATCTTCTCACCAGGTTGCGCTCCGCAATCAAGTCAGTCTTTACCATGATCATGTTCCGAGGGAAAGAGAGAGAGAAAGAGAAAGATCATCCAACATGAACCTCCAAGACATCTCCATCCCGGTCATTACGTGGAACGATTCATGACTGACGCAATATACCTAACTCATCCTGTATTTAGAGAACCTCATACCTCCATCCACAAACTCAACCTCTCTCGAATCCCCCTGTGTCTACCCCCATACACCACCGACCCGAGTCTCTACGCCTATGGCCTCGGTCAATATGCAGAGCTCTTCCACGCCATCGAGTCGGCCTGGATCGACCTGATCGGGGATCCCATGGACTGGATGTACCAGGAGTATTCGACCAAAGTCCAGAAATCCGAGCTCAACAACACCGCCACCACCACTACCACCACCACCACCACCACCATCCACCCCATCAACGACGAGACCAACAAGAGCACCGAGGGGGAAAATGTAGACGCAAAAGAAGAATTCCCCTGTATTCACCACGAGGATAACACGATAGAGCCTCCCCTCCGGTCTCCCTCGAATCTTCAGGACTCTTCCTCCTCCTCCTCCTCCTCCTCTCGCCATCCAGTCCTCGATACCCACGATCACACGCGCATCCAAAACGTCCTGCGCGCATTGTACATGCCGGAACTCATGCGCACAAAAGCCCTCAAGGACGACCTGCGCTTCCTCAACGCCCTAAACGCTACCACGACCCAGCCCTCTCGTCCTGGAGTTCCAACCACAACTACAACCACAACTTCAAACCCAGACCCTCCTCACGACACCCACACCCGCACCCACCATCTCACCCACTCAATCCACCAACGCATCCAAGCCCACCCGCACCTCCTAATCGCCTACATCTGGATCCTCTACTCTGCCCTGCTTTATGGCGGCCGCGACATCCGCACGCTCTTACTCAAAGCCGGGCCTGACTTCTGGGCCCTGTCCGCTGTAGAGCTACCGTTGCCATCACTCCGAATCCCCCCGGCGAACAAATTACCCTGTCCGTTATCATTCTGGCAAATCGGTGGCCCCGAGGCGGACGCAGCCGAGATCAAGGGCAGGTTTCGCGCGCGAATGGTGGATGCGGAGAGGGCGTTGACTGCCCCGGAACAAGAGGCCATTCTGCAGGAAGCAGTGGGGATATTTGGCGTCATGGAGGATATGACCCGGTTTTTGGATGAGGATGTAAGATCTAGGGGATGATCTCCTTCAGGGGAGCGAGGACTCTTTTCGTTCGTGATCAAAATTACTATGCTTGTATCAGGGAGTCATCGGGCTCATTCGACAGAGAATGCAGTCTGACGGACTCGTTATGTGTCCATGCTTTATGCTTTCCATATAGGTCGCTTGTGATACTCACTTGTGTGGGGGTGCGTACGCAAAGCGTTCCAGCAAGACGAGAGCCCTTCGATGACTGGTGGCTCTACAAATGCAGATAAAAGATTCCCTTGATGCGCAGGCATATGTCCAGACTACACTGTACCGCAGCTCTAACCATCCTCAGCCCATAGGGTAAGAGAGACTCATATGTATTGAGAGGTCGGAATGACCCCCGAGAGGTACTGTAAGCTCATCAGCGCTCGATAGATATGGAATGGTGGAAAAAAGAATACACAAAAGCCACTGGCTCTGGATACGCCCAGATCGAGAAAGAAAAACAAAGGACTGAGAAAAAGTTACACAGAGGCGGTAACGCTCGCAAGCGCCCCAACACCCCCACCTGCCCACATAGAATATGAAGAGGAAAAGAACAAACAACCGTGCTTGACCAATACTCGCTACCAACGTCGAGGAAGCGAGGGAAGAGATCAACCACGAACGCCACCTGACCGCTCCCATGACCAGAAATTCTAATATGATCCGCCCAAAAGCAATCCTTTCCATATCAAATGCAACATTAATGAAATCACACACAGGCGTGCGAGTACAAGCCATGATCAAACGCAGGTCAAAAATCCAATAAAGTGGCAAAGTCGGGGTTCAAGTCGCGTTGCGCATATATCCCATGATCGTCACAGAAGAGAAAAAGAAAGGCAGTAATTGCGGGTTGCCGTGCCCAGTGCAAGCAGAAGGAAGAATGCATAAAGATCCAGCGGCTAGGAGGAGGCCTCGGAGTTTGTGAGTCGGTCTACCCGTGTGGACTTGGAGCGAAGTCAGCGACGAGCCATGCTTTCCAAACATCACGCCAAACGGTATGATCCTGTAGTCGCTCTTGGAAGCACTCAATGACCATTGTCGTGTCTTTCCGGGATTGCCGTAAAGAGTAGGATACTGCGTGTGAGTCGATTCTCACAATATCAAGCCCCGAGAATTGCAAACAGGGCGAGGACCATGGATGGAGGGTGGAGAGTACAAGATGCAAAAGACGTAATCCCACACGTAGCATGTCAGTAAAGATAGTTATCATCCCAGGGTATCATGAGCCACCGTGGACCTCTTGGTGGTGATTACGGCGCTTCCAGAATGCAAGTCGCAGTCGGCTTCTTCGTTTGGGAAGACGCCGAGGAACTCCATCATTGGAATCTCTACGAGATTCTCGTCCGGACGGATCGTTCCTGCCACTGTCCCCAGTAGTACTGGAGTGGGGCGTCGGGCTGCGGGTGCCATTCGATGCGAGGTGGGACGAGGTCTGATGACTCCCGTCGCCTTCGGAACGGGCATGACTAGGATGCTTCGAAATGCTGGGACTAGGACTATAGTTACTTTCATGGTCCCCGAGGTGAGATGCATAAGATGTACTGGGTCGCGTGCTGCTGTCGTCCAGACCTCCCAGATCACTCTGAGGTGCACTCTCGTCCGATGCACGCTTTTCGTCCCCACTGTCCACCTGGAGGAAGCTTGTCGCATTGGTCGCAGGCGATACAGGTGTCACATTGTTGCCGTATGTGCTCATACTTTGGGTGCGGGTGCAGCTGTTGCGTGTAGACATTGACGGACCGGACGTACGAACGGATGAACTATGGTGCGCGTGATGACCCCTCTTGTCGGACTGTGGTCCATTGCGAGAGCTATTGGGGCGATCGCCCGACGATCGAGCCTGATCGTCATGCTTGGTAGAGACATTCCCGCTATCGTTGCCCGGATTGGCGTACAACGCAGCAGCAAGGACCGCCGGGTCTCCCGATGGACGGGACGAGGTATCGGTGATGGGATTCTGATACTCAGTAGCATTTGACCCTCGTGCTGATTGCGGTGCGGTGGGGATAGAGAAGTACGAAAGGTCCGGCATGGCGTTGGAGGACTTTCGGGTATTCGTGGGCTCAAGCTCCATGGGCGTTCCGGTAATCTCGATTTGTGGCCCCGGAGTGTCAGGCGATACGACAGGCTCGATGGTGTTTTCATTGTATTCACGAGGTTGTGATTCTGTGCGGTCAGACGAAGCAGGGGAATCGGACTCGTTCCGATCGAGTTCAGCATCTGACGGCACGGCCCTGGGCGTACTATCACTCGACTCGACAGGCTCGGCGGGGGTCATGATGGGGCTGCGAGAAAGAGGCGAGATCGCGGCCTCGCTCGAGTCTTCGAGGCGCAGGCCTTTCTTGCGCATCATCTCCTGAGTGGCGAACTGCTGCCACTGCGCCTGGTTACTGCGAATATGCTCCCCGGTGAAGCGCAGTTGCGGTAGCAGATCCTCCACGCCCTCGAAGAGCGGAAGTGCAAAGATCGACATGAAACCAATTTGACTGGTCGCCAGCTTATAGATGTTGCCCAACTCGGGAGGACCGCCAAAGAGAGCGGTTTCCATCCCAACCTCCTTCTCCATCTCGCCCTGATTAGCAAACTCCTCCTGCAGAATTTGCGTCCATTTCTCCGCAATCGCCCACGGCCGGGCCACGTTGCTGATGTCGGCGCACTTGATCAACAACCCACAGAGCAGGGTCTTATACAGCTCCAGATCCTGAGGTTTCCACCCATCAACCGACTTGTGGTTTGCGTAGAACTTTTCTTGGAGCGAACCCATGCGCTCCATAAATTTTTGATGTACTCCCATGTCGGTTGCCAGAATCGAGCTGATGAGGAGCTTTCGTAATTGCTTGTCTTTGAAGGCGGCCGGCCAGTGGCGGCGCAGAATCTGAGAGAAGGCAGCACAGTGAAACGCTTCGAGAACTGAGTTGTCATTGTACAGCTGGGCGAGGGGAGCGTTGAGCTTCACAAGGAAGAAGTTGTTGACACCAGGGTGTCCGACGTCGTGCCCGATGGCGGAGATCAGGAGGGTGAGGGCGTCAAAGGGGGTAAGAAGGGACGCGATAGGGGATTTGGTCACCGGGGGTTGGTCAATCGGGCCGTAGGGGGGCAGGACGCCAATGTTGAGGAGGAAGCAGAATACGGACTGTAGGACGTCGATGGCGTGACGGAAGTTGTGGTAGAGGACAAACGAGTTGTAGGCGGCTCGGCAAGCCAGCAGGAAGGTTTGCAGCTCCTCTTCTGATAACCGCCAGTGTTCCAGACCTGGAAGGCTAAAAGCGTGGGAGATCATCGCACACGCGCCGACCACCAGTTCGTCTTCGGAAAAATCATGTGCGCAAAAGTCCCACTTCCCAACCTGCTCGGTGATCAAAGCTTTGCGGTCCGAACGCACGTCCAGATCCCGGTCCTGGAATTCGTCAATGATCTCCTCGGGATTGCAGATCCCTTTCATGAGTTTTGACACCATTGCCTCTCGTAGATACGCATAAGGTTCTTCTTCGTGTACCCCAACCCAGGACAACTTGCGAAGCTTCTTCCGCGCGAGGAAGCGAGACATTTCCTTCTGGGCATTTCGTCGCGTCCGATACGCATGGACCACCAGACTGTGGAGGCGAGCTGGGTCGAGCGGAGTGAGCAAAACATCCACCGCACCCGCATCGAGGCATCGGGCGATCTGCTTGTGTTCGGACGTGAGGGAGCTCCGACTTTGCGGATCGCTGGTCGGCTCCGCAGCGGTGGTTTCCTGTGTATCCGGGCCAGCAGCGCGTAGAAGAGCAATCGGCATGACGAGGTTGAGGCCATCCTGCACCTGAATATCAGTTGAGACTCCACTCAGGAGCGAAAGTCCCGGGGCATCGTCCAAGTGGGAAGAAAAGGTAAAAGTCCGCTGCACCGATCCAGGTGACGGAGGAGCCGTGTCTGCCCAGGAAGCCCGACTGGCCTTACGGCGAGCGACATTACTCTCATCGTGCCCGAAGTCGACTCCACAGAAGGCAAAAATGGGTGTGCAATCACTGTTGGAACGGTCGCTGAGCTCTGCGAGCTTGGTCGCAAAAGAGGACCCGGTGTGACATAGGTAGACTAAGAACGAGAGTCAGCTCCAGTCCTCCGACTGATGCAATGCAATGCGCCAAGATGGAAATTTCTTGACCAGAGGGAACTCACTCTTCTTGCACACATTCAGCAATAGGTCCACATCGGCCTGTAGCGCCTCGGGCTCGTCGGGGGACGCAAGAGACCCGATGGACGAGACAGTCGACGTGTCGATAGAACCCCGTCGCACCCAGCGTTCCGTTCGCACACGGTCGTCTATATAGACGCCAACACTTTCCACCCGATCTGACATGGTGTGGCGTGCGACGAGAGGACTATCCAACAAAGGTGCCACAAAGACTCTTGGGGGTAGCGCGAGGATCACCGCTTTGCGCGCGAATCGAACAAAGACGAGGACCAAGGAGACGCGATCGTGACGACTCTCTCCTTCCTCGCATATGGATCCCCAAACGCCTGCTGTGAATTGGTGGGATTGAGTCTAGAATGGCCGACCGACGATGGACCCGCGAGGCTCCACGAGTGGGGGTGAGTTGAACAATCGACGAGGACCGGCAGGCGATCGATGACCCGTGAAAGAAAGACGTGGCGATGCGTGTTTCGGAAGTCGCACTTCCAAAGGGTGAACGAAGACTTAAGTCAAGGAAAGAGTAACGAGTGGCGAGCCAAAAACGGGATGGGCGGAGGTGTTGACAACGGTGCCGACAAGACGATGTGCCGAGGAGTCGGCGAAGAGGGAATGACGAGGGTCGGCCGCAATCGTTCGTTGGACGGGGAGGGTCGCGGCCAACAATGCAGTTGTTTCGCTGTAGGCAACCCGAGGTCGCGGTGAGGGCTGGGACGACCCGAGACAAGTTGCAGCGGGCGTCGCGTCACGCTTGAAGCGACGACGGGGGAGTGAGAGAGAACGTCGGATGCACTGCGTGACCCGACCGATCGAATCTGGGGAATTGACGAATGACGACGACTTTTTGGGGGAGGGGAGGAGGTCTCTGACCGGCACGTGAGATAGGATGGTTCAACGGCCTGACGTGATGGCCGATCGCAAAACCTTTTTTGATGGAGGAAAAGCGGCGAGGCGGCGGCGACGGCAGCGGCAGTAGCAGCAGCAGCAGCCTTGTGGATCGTGGAATATTTGTTGATCGGCAAATTGGTAGACGTTGAGAACAAAAAAACAAAAAAGAGGTACTCAGGACGACATGATCGGAATAATGCCAGAGTGAGTCGCAGGAGAGTCGTGGGCGAAGCAATACCGCGATGGAAGGAACCGTCGACCCGAAGCGAAAGAAAAACCGAGAAATGAACGGGGCACCGAGGCGGCGAGGACAGCAAATGTGGAACGGTCTTGACTAGAAAGAAGGAAGGAGTAGGATGATGAAAGATGCGCGCAGAGTCGAGGCTAGGCCAGTGGGACGGATTCGCAGATTGGAGATGTGAGGAAAGAGGAGGGGAGGAGACGGTTATCGCAAGTGGAGGGAAGGGAGGGGAAAGACTATGTCGCGCGAGTCGACGACTTTTGGCGACGGTAGCAAGAAGCAACAGGACTCTGCTAGTCCGGTAGTCGGTCACTGGAAGGGGAGGGGAGGAGACAAGAGGCTCGTCACTTGGTCCGAGTGAGGGTCTAGCACGGTCCCGGAGGAGTCCAAGTGGAGAGAAGGGTGAGGGCCAGGTCGAGGACGAGTCGAGTCCAGCCGAGTCGAAGGGGGTGAGGAAGAGGGAGAGAGGGAGAGAGCGAGAGAGTAGTACGAGAGACGGGACAAACTACAGTTACTGAGTACAGCGGCGAGGGCCCGTAATCGCAGAGGAGATGGGCCAGTGGAGGGAGGCAGGAGGAGCGGAAGTTTACTACGACGAGCCTGCGTTGATCACTTAATTTGAGAGGCGTCCGAGAGCACGGGGAAGGGGGCTTCTGTGCTCCTTCCAGAAGGGCTGGGCACAGGCGGACGGGATGGGAAATCTGACCAGCAGACCAGCACCAGACCGGGGCCAGAGACGAAAGGAGCCACAAACTGAGGGAGAGAGAAAAAAAAAAAAAAAAAAAAAAGAAAGAAAGAAAAGAGACCCGAAGGAGCGTTGCGGACGGGATGGATCGTCTCTGCACCCAAAGTCCACCCAAGTGAGATTTTGTGACTGGTCTTCCATTCTCGTACTAGTGTGGACGGTAAAACGCAACGAGACTCGGTCACTGGGACGCTGTTTACTGGTACTGGGTACCTCCTCCGTCACGCGCGTCACTCCTCCCTGATGAGTACCGTGCCGCCCACGGTTCAAGTACCCAATGTACCCCATTCATCATCGATGTGATACACTAACCCACAAGTGTCGGAGACAATAGGAGAGGGATTGAGCACAATGAGCAGTGTGGATGAGAGCCAGAGGAATACATGGGGAATACTATACATACTTGGGACTCTGGAAGTACGGTCCAGGGAGACAGGTCGTGCATCACTGCATACCTATTCATGCACGACTCCCGATGCAATGACCGAAATGCTCCCACGGTCAGATTAGGCTGCGCGCGACCATGATTGTCTACCCAAACATGATTGAGGAGACTTGTCGAATCTTAATTCTCCCCGACCGAATCGTAAGATTGCATGAGAGTGTCATGATAGACGACAGGTGAGAACCGGGATGGGTTCTCTTGTTGACAACTTGACAGTCGGTTGCCATATTGGACGGTGATGACTGGTTAGTGTTTAGTCTTTACCCTTGCTTCTGGAACACCCCGTGGAGCTTTCTCTGCAGAAGTTGCACAGTTGTCCACGCTTTCCACCCAGTCGTGTTGATCTCCATGGGAAAACAAAAAAGGGCCCACCGCAGGGTATTTGAAAATCCCGTGTGAAAGGTCGACTCAGCCGTGGCCCAGGACCACTCTGTTTTTTGGTTGGTTTTTTTTTTTTGTTTCCTTCTATTTCCTTTTCTGATCTTCTGTTCTATTCCCTTTGTTCTCCCTTCCTTGATCCATCCCTGCAGAGCCTCGATCCCGGACTGGGGAGTGTGGACCGCATACCACGCCACACGCTCATTTGCGCAGGAACCTTTTTCCCGTCGAACATTCCTCCCGTCTTCTAGAAGGCCCACGGGGCTCGGCCGCTCATCCAAGCGCACAGGCGACCACCTGACTCCTGGAGGTAGGTGACTACTGAGGTGTACTGTAGGTACTTGTCGTATCAGTGTTCAGTACTCACTACTGTAAGTAAGTGTACTGCAGCTCCCACTCCCCGTGCCCGTGGACTCTTATTTCAATTGAGGGATGCAACTCCACTCTCCATCGAGGCGGCACCCTCCTTCTTATGCATCACTGCCCCAGTAGCCCCCCTCCAGACTGTCTCCTCTGGTTTCTCGGGTCCACTGTGACTGTCCAGTGTCCACAGTCCACAGTCCACAGTCCACAGTCCACCCTACTGCTCTCTCTCCGCTTGTGGTGTGCTCTCTCTCCAAACCAAGAACAGGTTCAACTGCCATGGAGCGCGGCTGGAGAAGAGAGGAGGGATGGAGTGTCTTTGATAGTTCACTGGACCAGTATACATCAATTGGCCACATCGCCCGTACTGGGATCCTTTGGGCACGACAGCAATGAGCCGGGCACACGGTGCCACACACACCCACTAGTGATCACCGGGCACAGTGGTCAAGGGTCAGTGGTCGTGCCCCCGATGGGCTCGGGTTTGGTGACCGGAGATGACTTTCTGTGGGGGCAACTCTCGGCTCAGGGCTGAGGGTCAATACGACTACGGTATTGATGAATACGGTATTGCAGTATTGCAGTATTGCACATCTCGAGTCAGCGCCGGATGCACAATGTTCCCGTTAGTCTGCTAGTACTGTTGTACAGATGCGAGACTGCGAGACCTGAACGGTGGTCGAATAGCGATCGTCTCCCTCAAGGTCGAATCGTATGAGGAGACTACAGCACCAAAGGTCATGCTACAGTCCACCGAGTCCAGAGGAAAGTACCATATGCATATCCATCTCTGATAATGCCTAGGTGGGTACTAATGTAGCAAGAGGACTTACATATCCATGTACAGCACTACAGACTGCAGACTGCAGACTGCAGAGACCACTTAGGCTGCAGGCATACCTATGCACCATTGCACATTCATTTGTGGCTCTGCAGGTATCGATGCCGCACAGCTTATCATGTCATGGACGGGGGGGGGGGGGGGGGGGGGGAACCCGGACTCGGGCGCAGGTCAGATGTCGTCCCGGCTTGATCGGGCAAGATCGTCGCTTCCAGAAGCATATTCTTCTTCCGTGGATCCCTCGGTGTCGTTGGAAACGGTTGTTACAAGTACTGTGAAATGTGAATGCCCGATGTCACTGCCAGTCCCGATTCCCCATGATCTCATTGACACGAGACCATGCGTCACTGGGGAGATCGCCTGGGGCATCAACCTGCAGGACGAGACTACATACTCACACACACACAGAGACAGTACAGCGAGGGAATCCAAAGAGCACAGATGCTTCTATCAGAATTGCTAGATCACCTCCGGGTGAGCCTGAGGACTGGTAACCCATACAGCATGGTCATACAGGCCACTGGCCGGGTCCGATGAAAGAAGTGCAGCCAGTCCAACGCATCCTGCGCGACCGATTCAGGGCCAGATTGGGGGCTTACGCGATCCGTGCCAAGTTCCACCCAAGCCCAACTTGCCAAGTGCCAAACTGCCAAACCCGCCAACCCTACCGGTCCCGTTACAGACCGTGACGACTCGAAGATCGGACACACTTGGACCCGTGGGCTGCAGAAGTCTAGAGTCACGTGGATCACCGTACATCACCTTTATCAGCCTAGCACGCGACTACACAGTACACAGTTTACACATTTTCTTAGGCAGGCACCTAGATCAGTATGCTAACTTGCTAAGTGACTCTACATTCACTGTGAGTGTCACTGTACAGGGAGTACTCCTGACTCTGAGTAGTAGCTGTAAAAATGCCACTAGAAGCAAGTGTTGACTCGTGTCAACCTACAGCACCGAGTCCACACCACAAAAAGTCCTAAAAAAAAGGAAAATAATCCCGAAGAGAGACGGAGACGTATGAATGATCAGTCGGATATCCGACTACAACCTCTTCAGCCACTGCTCATTCCCACTGCCCTCTCTTGTCAAGAGGTAAGGGACTCGACTCCCTAGTCACTCCACCAGGTACAGTCACGTGATACAGGGTGCGACCCTCCAAGCCACCACCAATTGAACTCGTCTGCCCCCCCCCCCCCCCCCCCCCCCCGCCTTTGATCGCTGGACCTTGTGTCATTGTTCGCCTTCGGATTTCGTCAGATCTCCACCATCGAAGGGCCAACCCTACATAACTCCTAACTCTGCTAACAATAGTATCACGCGTCACGGAGTCCAAGTTTACTCGACGACTGTACATGATATACTATGTACATTCCCTATCTTCTACATACAACTCCTGGAAAAAAAAAAAAACAACCGAAAGACTCGATTTGGACACGCCGGTGAAACTTGAATCTGTCCTCCAGCTGCACACACGCAGGGCTCATCACATCCAATGCACGCGGTTGACCCTCGACAGCATTCTTGTACTCACTACCCCCCTACCCCCTTATTTGAACATGACGGGGATTCTGGTTGGAGGTTTATAACACTTAGTAGGTAAGGTAGGTTAGTAGGTGGACCGTGGACCGTAGACCTCAAGATACAGTAGTGCCTGGACATTATAGTTCTCATATGATCTACATCGTGGCTCGACATCTTCGCCGGAAAGTACCTGATTTTTAAAGGCAATGAGAAGCTATGACGGGAGATATGCCCTGTAATTGATAGGGCAACGTCTAGGGCGGCCGACAAGTGTACATCCATAGTCACACGATGGATATACTACGTTCTGCAGAATTGGGGACGAACGTAATACGTATTGTTGCGTAATTGGGACCGGTCGAATTTGGAAAGGATTACAATGGCAGCAAGGTGATGAGGAAGATTTGTAGAGTGAATTCTAAACAGACCGTCTGAAAGGACCATCCACAAGGCCTACATGACGGTTATATGGCCTACTAACTTTGGACTCGTGCCTTTCAGGACTACAGACTTCAGACTACAGACTACAGACTACAGACTACAGACTACAGACTACAGACTACAGACTACAGACTACAGACTACAGACTACAGACTACAGACTACAGACTACAGACTACAGACTACAGACTACAGACTACAGACTACAGACTACAGACTACAGACTACAGACTACAGACTACAGACTACAGACTACAGCCACAGTCATACCAGTACTCATCAGGAACCCAAGGAAATTGGATGGTGTGGTGGAGAATTAAAAGTATGCGTTTCCCAAGGAGGATCCCTTTCCCAAGACCGTTACTTTCTGTCCGTACCTTCAGCACAGTGGTTCAATGTCTACCACTCGCCAACCTTGCAGATCAATTTGCCCTTGGTCTTGTTGCTCTCCAGCAACTGGTGTGCCTGGACGATATCCTCAAAGGAAAAGACCTTCTCCACAAACACCTTGAACGAGCCGTCGCAGAACTTGGGCAGCGCATGCTCCACCAGAGTATCCCGCAACTTGCCCTGATATTCCTCATCGCGGCTGCGCAAGGTACTTCCCTCCAGACGCACACGCTTGAACAGCAATGGGGCCATGTTCACACCCTCGGGCAACTTGCCCCCGCCCATGATACCCAGCACCACGACACGACCATCCCGCGCCGCCGTGTTCAAGTTACCCTGGAAGTAGGGCGCACCGATGAAATCCACAATGACATTGACGCCGGAGCCCCCCGTCAACTTTTGAATCTCGCTGGCCCAGTCCTCGGTGTTGTAGTTGAAGGCCTTGGTCACACCCAGCTCTTTCTCGAGGAAGTCGATCTTCTCTTGGGAACCGGCAGTGGCGTAGATGGCCGAGGCGCCTTCGGCCTTGGCGAGTTGGATACCGGAAATGGAGACGGACGAGGCACCGGCGTGCCAGAGGACGGATTGGCCCTTTTTGAATTCTCCGATGAGGAAGAGGGCCTGTGTGGCTGTGATCCAGGTCTAGCAAAGGGGTGGGAAAACAATGGTCAATGAACTGTCCGTGAGAAGGGGAGGGGGCCAATGACCACAGAGGTAGAGAGACGTTGGGGACTGCCAAAGCTGTGCTGTATCGGTCGCTGGTTTAAAACAGCCCGTTGAACAAGATGAAACGCACCTCAGGAACACCGGCAGCTTCCTCCCAGGAAAGCTGACTGGGCTTGTGAACCAGCATCTTCGTCGAGACGACAATGTACTCAGCGTAAGCACCTACAATCCCCTCCCATCACATGGTCAATATTTCAACTTCGACTTCCAGATGTTCTTCTGTTCCTCTCGGCGGTGATATTAGCAAGTGAAAAGATCCACATACCCCCGTACGCCAATCCAAACACCTCATCACCACGCTTGAAATCGCCCGACTTGTCCGCATCACCGCCAAACCCCTCAATCACCCCGCTGAACTCCACACCCATAGTCTCCGGTGCCTGAGGAGGCAGCGGGTACTGTCCCTCCCGTTGCAGGAGATCCATGCGATTCAGTCCAAAGGCGCGAATTTTGACGAGCGCTTGGCCAGCTGCAGGAACGGGTTTCTCGATCTCGGCCATGTGCATGGCTTCGGCGGGACCCTTGCCGCCTTTGATAGCTGGGTGTCATATCATGAGTATGTCAGCGTTTGAAGGTGAAGACGTTGCAAGGTATTTTGGTGCTGGGACTGGAAAGGGCCGAACTGAGTCAAACTTGAAAACTTCAGCGAGGAGGACACCCTTCCTCGCGTGAAGCCGACATCCAGATGGGGAGCATGAGTGTCAAATGCCCGCGGGGGTAGATTGCCCAGCAAAATGATGTGTAACATGCGGGGCGGCGGCCGAGGATAGTACTCTCGGTAAGATGGACTGAAGAGGGGATCGCATGGAGATTTGGCATACCAATTGCGCGCATCGTAGAAGGCATTGTAGTTTGTGAGTGGCTGGTAGAAGGTGAAAATTTTATTTTTTTGTGTAGTAAACCGACGTTTTGACTATTGATCCTCTGGTATGGTGAAGAGGTGGGAAGATCAAGTCGAGTGTGGTAATACTCGTACTTAATAGTGGCCAGGCGGGGCGGTACTGCGGTAGGTAAAATAGTCCAACAGCTCGAAACCGGCACGTTCAAAGTTTCAAGCAATACTCCTGAGAAAGCTTGATTGTCAACTGCACGAACAAAGTGATAATAAGAGTAAGTAACTAGTCGATGATCTCAGAACTCTTGATGATCAATCATGAACGTAGCACTCCCGAGAGTCCCTACTCTTCTCCTTTTCCCTCTTTCTCCGAGTCCCAACAGCCTTCATGGACGGGCCCCCTGCCGTCGTCCACCTCGTCATCGTGAATTTGTCAGCACCTTAAAGGTCCCCACTTCGAGCTTGTCGCGGGCGGCTGCAGATTTGCGACTGGATCTCCAATGCTCCATGATGTTATCCACACGTAGAGTACTCCCCACCTGGAAGTGTCCGAAGATGGTGACCACTGACCACTGGCCACTAACCACTGACTACTAGAGGATTGGAGACGCCCCTCGGCGTCAGATGGATGCATCAACCCTTGATGTATCGGTTCTCGACCTCGTTGAGGCTCAAGGAACAGGAGCTGACCTGATCACGAGGAGCCACTAATGCTCCCATGCGGCTCTGATCTGACAATGACAATATGCGACAGACAAGTCGGACATGATGTACTACTGTAGTACTGAGTACTAGTTAGTGAGTACTCACTGCTTAGTAAAGATTGTGGGGTCCGGGCCGGGAGTCCGGCATCGTCCTTGCGGTCGATTTCTGGGCCGAGGTATCCGTCCTCGACGGGCTGCCGGTGCCCGAGCAGAACCCAACTCCAAGGCGGATGCCCATTCCTTTGAACAAAAGAAGTAGCGAATAGAGAAGAGGAGAGGCTCGCAGTATACATGAACTCATCTATGTCATGAAAGCCCATTCTATCTACAAGAATACTAGAATCATTAAGTGCCTGGACTTGTAAATAGTTCATGGTCAGCCTGGTAAGCCTGAAAGAAAGTGTCAAAATGAAAGTGACGGTTGACCCGGTCGGTCCCTGTGTACACAGTAAACAATTACACACTACAGACACTACTTGGCTCATCCGATGTTCTTGCCACGATCAAGCCCACAAATGTATACAATTCTACATGGGAGACTTGTGAGACATACATAATCACAATGCATTAGCTATCATACATGTCCATGCGGCGCTTAATAACAACATCAAGATGGGAAAGTGGGTTGATCGATCAGGAAAGCAGATTTTTGAGCGACGGGCTCGCACTCGCTCCAGAGCTGGCATTGCTCGTCCCAGTCACTGCGGGATGCCGCTGGGTGTTGGGATTCCCCCCAAGGATGGTGGCCAGAGACTGCGACGAGTCGGCCCGGATGGGAGGAGTTGGTCCACGCGGACCCAGCCGGGCTTGAGTGGACGGCGGCGAGTGGGAAGCAGCACTCATATCACGCTCAGCGGCAAAGATGCGTGGTGGGAGGCCTCCATTGAGCGCGCTAAGAGCTGTCTGCGGAGACCGGTTGATTGCCGCCTGCGCAATGGGCGGTGATGCAGATGTCGGATACGCTCGCGGTGCCTGAGAGAGGTGTGGTGACCGCGCCGAGATGGGGGCATACGGGCTTTGGTGGGCGCCGTACGCCTGGGCCGGAGGAGGAGGAGGTGGTGGGCCAGTGCCAAATGGAGATGGAGGATGAGCGGATGGATAGCCACCCAGGTGATGAGGTGGGGGAGGGGGCGGAGGGCCAGACGGGTATGGTGACGGGGACATGCCATTGCGCACGTCGGGACTGCGACCGGGACGTTGGTCGTAGGCTGGGTAGCCGGGGAGACCGCTGTGTGGATGAGTTGGAGGAAGAGGCCGCGCGAGGACGCTCGTGGGGGGTGGCGGGGGATGGGAGTGGCCATGTGGCAGGTAGGTATGTCCGAGTCCAGGGCCGTGACTAGCGTTAGGTACGTGATTATTGTGAGTGGGCACCATGCGCGGAGCCGGAAACATCGGCGCGCGGGCACTGGCATAAGGGGAAGGGCGAGGCTCAGGGACAGGCTCCGGCATAGGGGATTGCTTCATGTGACACTTGTGGCATTCGAATGCGGCCTCCGCGACATCGCCGTTGCTTTGGGTGAACGAATATGGTCGCGTGGATGGGAACATAGAATTATTGGCGTTGATTGCAGCTCCGTTGGGTGCCAAGGAAGGCCGTGAATCACCACGTCGTACAGTCGGCCACCATTTGGGACTGTGTTCGGTCAAACATCGAACACACTTGCGGTTGGTCAAGAAGCCCACCGCAGGCTTCAGCGGAGCGGCGTGGTCTTCCGTGTCAATTTCCATTTCATTGGCGGTCTCTTCAACCGCAGGCTTGGGTTTGGTGTTCTCCTTGGACCCCGCGCCTATTCCAGTGGCAGTAGACGTCCGTCGATGCGCAATCCCATTGCTGTGATGGGCAGCTGGCGTGGTCACAGATTGCTGTACATAAGCTGCTTTTCGTGAGGTTCCAGTCAACGTGAGATCGGCTTGCTTGTAGGTCCGTGCGAACAGCTGAACCGCATTGAGACCATCCGTGCCTGTTGGTTCACCGAGTTCGTGGATGACGGTGCCTGTACTGTGGTTGGGACAATAGACAACGGGTGTGAGGACGCCTTGCTCCGTGCCCAGGCGGACAATTTGACCATGATCTTTACGAGCGCCTTTCACTGCCGTCACCTCGAAGCCAAATCGATATTTTGCCCGAAGTGCGCAACCAACGTGAACAAAGTCTTTGCAACCAGTAGAACTACAGGGTACACATGCGCCCTTGGCCGATTTGCAAACTTTGCATTCTTGACTCCACCGCTCTTTGGGAATGGAACCAAAGCCTTCAGCGGGTTCCAGATCATTTGCATCGCCAAACTTGATTTCGGGAGTCCAAAGAGAACACGTCACGTGGGCCCAATTGTTACCAGCGGTACGCTTGAGGGGCTCCCGAGGACCGATGGGCTTGCCAACGGCTTCTTGACGCTGTCGATAAAGTTTGCCCGCTTCGATGACCATCTCTCGTTCTAGGCGCTCTTTTTCCTTGTCACGCTCGGACTTCTTGCGACTAGTGCTCTTCGTCGTCTCCATCAGTTCATGCTCGGTATGGTAGATCGGGCAAAGAACACATTCGTAGTTGGTTGAGATCGAAGGACTGCGGTCATTGGCGCACATGTCACAAAGCCACTTGCCCCCAGCTCGAACTGGGGAAATGCCATAACAACTGCGGTGAACCGTGAGACGGCAGTCTCGACAGGAGATGTGTTCCTCGCCGGCGGGCTCGATCTTGTCACAAATGGCGCAGGGAAGGACTTTGGCTCTCGGTGGGTCGGGAAGCAATGGCGGAGATTCAGGAACGACCTTCTCGATGATCGGCGCCTTTTCCTTTTTCTTGGGCATTGGCTCCACGGACGTGGCGGCTGATGTGGTCGTGCTGGGGACCTCTGGACGGGGCTGCTTCTTCTTGTCCTGCTTGCTCTCCTGATGGAGGTGAGGGTTGAGGTCGACAGGGATCCCGATCGATGAGGCGGTTGTGGCGGTAAGGTTGTTGATGGTGAAGGGGGTCTCGGTAGCGACGATGAGTTGGGCCAGTAACTCTTCGTCAATCTTTCTCCTCCACGACTTGCTGCCGCTGTTGGCAATTCTCTTGCCGATCTCATCGATATCCTCGTATTGAATGGCGTATTTCCGCCACAACACTCCACATCGAAGGCAGAGAGACACAGTAAGCTGGGGACCCTTATCTTTGTCTTTCTTTGCCGAAGGATCGGACGGCACCGTCGTACCAGGCGGGACCAACGGCGCCCGTCGCCACTGTCGAGAGGACCGCGTTGCACAAAACTTGCACTGGAACCCTCGCTTCAGCTCGGCTGCTTTGTCGTTGTCGAAGGCGGAGTCGTCGTTTTCATCGGCTACATCGTCCAGCAGCTTGGAACCTGCGATGCTCTTCCGGCGATCGTTCTTTTTCCCTCTCCGACCCTCGTAGTTACCCCAGACCTCCCGTCCACGAGGCGTTTTCTTCCACATGTAGTAGTACCGAACGATCTGGGCGACTGGAACCGTCTTGACATGCTTGGCAATCAGCCGCCACTCGGAGCCATGTTTCGCGACTCCTTCTTCGAACAGTTTCACTTCGTCCGGTTTCAGATGAGGTTCTTTCAGATCTTTGTATCTGTTGACCTTCCTCAATTTGCCCAACGCGGACTCGGCGTTGAAGCCTTCTGAATAGAGCAAGCCAATTGCCTTATCCAAGAAATTTGTGGAGAAAGGCTCCACGCCCACAGAAGGGGCCAGCTCTCTCGCACGTCGCATGTAGTCATCCACAAAGGCTTCCCGGTCCGCAGGGCTGAGATGGGAACCGGGTGCGTCGTCCTCGCCACGGGTCGGAAGCTGGGCCGCCGAGGGCATCTTGAAAAGGAGGTCCGCAGTACGCGCCTGCTTCGTGTTGGTGATGGCGACCGGCTCATCCTCACCCCGCTGAATCCAGCCCGGAGGTTTGTCTTGCACCCAGGGTGGTCGGGCAGCCTTGGCATTCTTGGCCTCACCGGCCTTGGTCAGAGCCTTGGTGCCCCCCGACTGTCGCGCCGCTTTCTTCTTGACCTCCTGGGACTTGACGTACTCCACCGGGCGTCCGGGCCAGGGGTTGACAGTTGCCTGACACCGCGGGCCAAGGGCGGAACTTGCCCGCGGATAGATGCGGTCGTCATAATCGAGAGCATCTTCGAGCTTGCAGTGGATGCCCAGATACCGATAGGGCCACATTCGCGCCTGAGCCATCTGCTCGGCCGTCTCGGGTTGCGGCATGGTGTCATCGCTGTCGTCAGGAGTGCTATCCGAGGTTCCATCGATCACGCCGTTCGCGCCGTGGTCCTCCTCTTCCTCCTCCATAACCTCGTCCTCACCGTCGACCTTGACGCCGCCGATCAAGGGGGTGTTGCGCGCTTCGAGCTTACGATCCTGGTCGCGACTACACGGGCCACAGGCCCAGGCGAAGCCGCGAGCCGGTTTCTTGATTATGGCGGGACGCACACAGCCCATGTGGTAGGTGGAGCCACACTCTGCGCAATCCACGGAATCTGCTGACGCCGCGAACAAACGACATCGTTTGCACGTTTTCACCGCGCCCGTCAGTTGCTTGCCCTTGCCCATCTCCACCAGGATGAACTTCCAGCGGTCGTCAAGGACCCGCTTGACCTTGGGCGGGACATTGATTACATCCTTGGTGGGGATGACATCGTACATGCGATGCATGTATCGGTCGAACATCTTGTCGTACCAGAACGTGTTCCGCATCTTTTTGTACGCGGCCAGGTCCTCGATTTCAGAAGCGTGGCGAATCTCGCACTTTCCCCGAAGTGAGCCGACGGGGCAGGTGTCGGAGTGCATGGACGCATACACCAGCCGCGTGTCCGTACTATGGCGTTGAATGTCGCGGGGTCTGTAGTACCAATTAATGCGCAGCTCCTCGATAATCTTGGGGCCCTGGGTCTTGTCGTTCTTGGAGGGCAAGAACTCCATAATACGGCCGAGATAGTACGGCTCCCCGGGCGGTTCGCAGACCAAGTAGACATGGTCTGGCGCAATGAGATTAGCCTTTTGAATGTCACAATAATACTCTCAAGGACGAGGTCGAGATGCCTCGCCCAGACACCACCTATGTAGCGTGAGGCGGGACTCAGAGGAGAGCGCGGCAGGGGAAACTCACCATTCACTGCCAGCGTGACACCGTCATCAGATGTAATCTGGCCATCAATGAGGCGAGGGCCTGTCTCCTCAAAGCTCATCATGTTGGTGAAGCGGCCATCGTCTGAGGTGCCGGGGGCGGCGGTGAAGACCCTCTTGGCTGGAGGAGGCTGCGAGGACGCGCTCGCACTTGATGCGACTGCCGGTTGCTTGCGCTTGCGCACTGGGCCGGCTCCCTGGGCCTCCTCTGGACGGGCAGAGAAGGAGGAGGTGCCGGGGATGGACTCTTTAGGGGCGGCTGAGAGAGCGCCGTTGGTCATCGGCTTCCGTGGTTGGATCGGCGAGGACTTCTCACTGTCAGATCTGGAGCTGGTTGATGTGGTGTTGATTGGAGGCACCCCGTTGCTACGCTTGTTGCCGGGCTTGGTGGGTGCCGCATCCAGCTCCATTTCCAGGTCGCGGTCCTCGGCATAATTAGGGCGAGGCGCATTGCGGCCTCTTGATCGAGTTCCATATGGCGCGGCCGCGGAGACGCCGGCCGCGTCGGGCACCGCCTCCGGAGAGTTGCTGGTGGTCATTGAGTGGCAGCTTTAGTCAGCCACCGCTGGAGCCTCCAGTGGACAGTAGGGGGTTTGTGCCAATGAGAGCAGGCACAAACCTGCTTGACCAGCAAGCGGAGAGCTGTTGACGGGGGGAGAGATAATTAGCATCAAAGGATGTGGCAGTTATGTGGAGGATGACACTGGGGCTACAGGGTTGGGGTAGAGAAGAACGAGGAATGGGTGGACAACAATGAGACTGTGGAGCGAGGGAAAAAAAAGGTAAAGGGACAAACACGCTATCAGACGTGGCGCGGATGCATGGACGTGGATGGTGCGGGAGGTATGTGGAAGTGTGGAAATGTGGGAACACTAAACAGAACGGGGACTGGGATTGGAAGTTTGAGGGGGGGCGAAAATCTCAAAAACGGCGGCGGGAAAGGGAAAGCATCAGGCTCTGGCGGACAGGAGCTGGGGGGGGAGGGGAGGGGGAGGGACCCTCAAATCGGAAGAATCTCCAGCAGAGAGGACGGAGACCGGGTGGAATGTGATCGAGACGGGGCGAAAAGGGACCCGGAGGCAGTGATATGTGGGAAGATGGGTGTAGATGTGGATGGGTGGATGGGGGACTACGTGTGCGCCAGGAACGTCAAGGGCGCACCAGAGACAGAGGGACGAGAGGGAGATGGGGGAAGAAGGTAGGAAAGAGATGGGCCATCGCATGGACCGTGTCAGATCTGAATCACTGCAGGGGTGCTGCTCTCTTCAGAGAAACACTGGCGGAGGCAAGAGGTGGCAGGGCCAGGGCACCATCGCCAGATTCAAGGCAGGGTGTATGGTTTGCAGGTTGACACAGAGGCACAGACTGACCGATAGCTCGATATTACATGACCATCACGGTAACTGCCGGTCAGCCGTGCCAATGCCAGATCCAGCGGGTGGGGACATGGGAGGCAACACAGGCAATGGGAGGATCATGTGTATCGAGAACAGAAGATCCAAGAGAGGGGACAGAGAATGCAACGAGCAAGTCCGGACGAGCATCACGAGGGGAGATAAAAACGGTCATCGACATGCAGCAGGCACAGCATAGGTCCAGCAGGATGGTATCTCGTTCCTCACGGACATGGGGAAAGCATCGCAATGGGGACGTGATATGCTTCAGATCGCATATCTAAAAGCAATGCAGAGAGGCCATAGACCCTCCATACGGGCGAGTGCATGACAGCCCAGAAAAGGGAACAGAAACACAGGAAAGGTGAGGAAATCAATCAACGAGCGGCGATGAAAAGAAGACAGCACGTACCAAGATGTGATGTGAGATCAGGACAAGACGAATTGATAGCGACGACCGAGAGAGGCGGACCGAGTTGAGAAAGAATTGCGAGAGGAAGGAACAAGGAATGAGGCGATGGGGTGGAGAGGACCGAAGATGAAGATGATGGGTGGATGGGATAGCCAGGAGGTGGAGGTGTGCGGGCAAGAGGGAATGGGGAAAGAAGCTTGGGAGGGAAAAGGTTCAAGACGAGGAAATAGAGAAGAGGTGCACTGGAAGCCAAGCAAGCGAGATAAGGAGGGAGGAGACTATCGACAGTCGGAGGCAATATGAGCCGTTGGGAGGGGAGCAGAGAGAGAGAGATGCAAGATGCAAGATGCAAGATGCAAAATGGACGAAGGACGATGGAAGAGGTGTCCAAGGAAGGAAAGAGAGAGGGAGAGGGAGAAGGAGAAATGGATGGGGAAATACTCCCAGTCGGAGAGAATGGCTGCGACGAGGAAGAGGTCCAAGATGGGAAAAAGGGAAAGAGAATGGAAGGGCTGATGATGGAAAAAAGCGTCGAAGATCCCGAAGGCGCCCCTAGTCCCGATGGGTGAATATGACGGATCCTGAGTGCCATCAACCTTTTTGGACCCTCCCAATGGATCAGACCCCAGGATCTTTTGATAATCATCGATAACCGGCGAGGTGTGACTCTAGATTTGGACGCGACCCATGGTCACTCATGCAAGCAATTGTAATGACCGTTGCCAGACATCCCAGGACAGACATCCCAGGACAACCTGAGGACCAGATGAGGAAAGAGCAATGCGTCAATCACTAGTGGGAGGCTTGCAGGTAAGGTAGGAAGCAACGGATTACCGTCTCGGAAAGAGCAAATTGCGCGATACTACTACTACTACTACTACTACTACTACTACTACTACTACTACTACTACTACTACTACTACTACTACTACTACTACTACTACTACTACTACTACTACTACTACTACTACGACTACTACTACTACGGAGGCAGCAACAAGATGGAATTATCTGGAACGGAGCCTAACGATCTTGATAAACATACCCTTGCCACCTAACAGGCTGCGGTTGAGGTTGTCAGGTTCCCCAACCCATTTTTCCAGCCACCAGATGAAGGAGAGACAAAACAAACACCGAGAGCGTGATATGTGAACACCAAAGCTGTATATAACAACAAAAAAAGAGTGATGCCACTGGAATTTCATAGCATAGAGGGTTACTACATCGGGATGATGAGGCCCAGACTAGCCCATGGAGCTGGTTGACATTTTCCCTAACCAACCAGGACTGTTGTCATGATCTCCGGCTAGGCAAAGAGATGATAGAGTCCAAATGAGAGAAAAAGTGACCATACCTACCCAAGCCGAGGGGCAGTCGGGCTGACCTGCTCTCTTCGAAGCTATGACCAAAGGATACAACAACACCCCGTCCGGCACGATGGGGGTCTGCATACCACGAGTGATTCTGGAACTCCTGGGCGGAGCGAGAAAGAGGGGAGACAGCCGGGAGGATGAGCAGAATGGGTTCTGAATCGCTCGAAGAGTCGAGTTACCATCATATTATTGAGTCAGGAAGATGAGTCTGGACGAATAAGGAAAGCCCCCGCCGACTTGGTCTGGTTCGCCCAATTGCCGACGATGATGGATTGGGCCATGAAATATCCTCCACCAAAAGTGGCCTTGACGGCGTTTTCACATCACGATCATCATTCGAGTCATGAGAAGGTCCATATCGATGGACCAATTTCATGGTTGCCAAGTCAGAGTCCAAGCAGATCCCGCGATATCCAGCACAGGAAGATGGTGTATGCTTATAAGGGGTGGGAAAAGACCTTCCTTTCCAGACGGGCTGTTCATCGCACTGGCTCGTCACGGACAAGAATGCCGTCACGTAGGAGGCGCGTACAGGCCCTGGGACGAAGAGGTCTCGGAGTCCTTGGGTCAATGGTTCGTAACCTCGTAGCAACCCACCTGTAGATAGTGATACTAGATACTTTCCCTGCAAGTCGCGCTTGATCATGCGAAGCAGCAGGTAACCTTTTTCTCCCACCTCCCCGGCGCAGAATCAGATACTGTGAGGATGGATACATCGAGTCACTTCCGGTCCTCGGTATCGCATCCCCGCCACAAAAAGGGAAGTGAACGCCCAGTCAGGACCCTACTATGAACGTCGTCCTGTATTGCTTCAGTACTTTACCTGGGCAGGTACAGTCCATGACCTGAGGTTAGTAGAATTGCAGCTACAACTCAATAAACCTTCACCCCTCACACACTCCCACGTTGTGCTGGGGTTTGTCTGCGGACTTGAACATCTGTAAAGTGTCCCGATCGGCCCATTCTACCCAGGCGCATAGATACGGGCAATGCTAGGAATGGCGCTCCGATCAAAACCTCTCTGTTCTGGGAATGCGATTGACCCCACGAAAGGACCTTCCATGGGTCACTCGATGGGACGGAAGATCGAACAAAGGCAGGACAAGTTCTCGCAGAGGCTCTAAGGCGACTTCTGACGGTTGACATGAGAATGTCACCACCCTACATCACCTGACAAGCTACACTTGCCTTGAGGACTGGATGAGGCCCCCATCATAAGATTACCTTCCGGAAAAGAAAAAGGGTGGACTGTGGACAGGAGGTGCACTAGGGCCGCAAGGGCACTAGCCACTAGATCACGCGCCAAGCACAACGAGCGTCTCCACCGTCTTTATCCACTATCCCTGCAGGTCAAACTGAGCACGGTATAAAAACCAAGATGCAATCCCCAGATCGACACGCAATAGAAATCGTGGATATCATGCAACTCAATGACTGCTATCTGATATCCAGTCTCTAGCTTCGGGACTCTGCACCTGCTGACTGCCTCGATCGCACCTGGGACCAGCCGCCTGAGGATGGTGACGGCGGCAGCTCACCAGCCTCGAATGGCTTGTACCACCAAGGTTGGTCCTTTTCACGACAAGAGGCCCGGGCACCCGTACGAGGGTCCTCCTCGCTCCTGGTCGCTTCCCATTACTGTGGTCGCAGCCAGGGCAACGTGGCTGGCCTTGATCCCGGAAAACTAAATGGGAAGCGAGGCTTGGTGAGAGGGCCCAAATGTCTGCCATTCAACACGCCAGGTGATTCAATAGTAGACAGCAGGACAAGTACGGACAAAAGGAAATATGGGAAGAATCGACCTTCCTTATCCTCATTCCACTACAGCACATAAATACCCATGCTCTCACTCGGCGGGTCCACATGATCACGGACAAACTTATCAAGGTCATTCTTATGTATCGTAGTTGATAAACCATGTGCAACCTTACTTATGTCCGATGAGTGGGAAAGCCGGGGGGGGGGGGGGGGGGGGGCAAGAGCGGGGATTACGATTCGCATCATCCACCAACTGAAGCATAATGGTACAGAGGATGCTGTGACTAGTATTCATCCTGGGTCCTCAAACAGAGGATAATCCAGTCTACCCCAGGGCCAGTTCCAGCGGCAACAACGATACACTGCAGTACAGTAATTAGTATGTAAATACCGAGTAGTAGCACAGTGAGTACTAAGTAGTGAGTAGTGTACAGCACCACAGTGAAAATCGGTAACCAAATGTCCAAGCACATGATCGGGAATGGAAGATCCTTCCGGCAGACAGAAGAATATCAAGGAAGAACCGGAAGCAAGGGAATCAAATACTTTGTGCTGGTCATCATTGAAATCTGGGCGGACCAACGGGCAGGTAACGAACGGCAACGAAGATCTTGACTGGGTCAACGATCAATGAGCATCTGGATCAGAATGGTAAAATGGATTCGATTCGCAGGTATCTAGAGACACTTGACCCCAAAGCGGAGTCTGACTGAAGTGGTCGTTGTCAGAAAAAGCCCTTTCTCTATGGACATATTCATCTACGTGTGGTGAGTATGTTTTGATCGAAGTGTTTCCATTTGGTTTGCATTTTTGTGTCTATTGTCTAAATCTCATTTGACTTTGTAGTTCCCTATTGCCTCAGTGCCTACTTCCGAGTCCCTACTACCAGTACCTAACTTAGTCCTCATCAAGGGCAACTCTCCATTGCCACTCATCGAGCCTCGGGACATTCAATCCGAGTTGCTTCCGCCGCACGAGGGAGCGGGGAAAAAGGAAAAATGCCCAAAAAACCGTCGAAAAAGAAAGAAAAGATTACGAAACGGTTGCTGGCTGACAACCTCGCGACAAATTGCACTGAGCGGCTATTGTGTGAATGACTGAATGTGTGTTGCCACATGGACAAAACCTCGACAACTCCTAGCCACTGGGCCAGAGCTCCAGAACGTGCCAGACATTGGAACATGGAACACTTTGGAGTTTGGACACCGACCGGGCCCGAGAGGCTGGTGGAACGAACGGGTCCGACCAACGAGGGAATTTCGCTCTCCCGGAAATGAGTCGGAGAATAATGATCATCTTCCCCTACTTGGCAACGCCGGTCGGTTATCTTTCGGCCTTGAAGGTCGAAACCCAACATTGAGCCTGGGAAAGTGTCCGAATGGTCATCTGATTGGTGATCCAGAGCCTATTAGTGTCGGCCCGTTTGATTCTCAGCGTAGGGTGTTCAACAATCAATGGATTGTGTATCTGCGATATGTCCATGTCTTATTACAGTATACCTCCTGATGCAAGGGGGCTGATCGCTTTTCTGGGGGACAACTCCATTTCAATGAGATGGCTCCCTGCCTCCCGATGCGGGAAGTAGGTACCGATGACCCAACCTGATCTCTTGAAGACTCCCATTTGAGTCTGTTTATGGACAATATAGTGGGTGAAAAAGTCCATCTGGCACAAAATCCAATGTAGTAATGGAAGTATAGTGAGTTCTGCAAATCAATAGGGCTCACATGCCAACGAAGCCCGCACCAACCTTAGGGCGTCACCCGACACCTCCATATGGATGCTTGTTGAAGTGACACTCACATTGGGGCGGAGCCATGAGTAGGCTCATACAATCCGTACAGCTTGGTCTGGAAGGCACACATTCTGTATGTACATAAAGGCCAACCATTCACCATATACGTAGTTACGTACCGTAGGCTGAGGCTCGGGTCTAGGTCAGCACGGATGGATGTCGGAAGCTGCGGCTCGTTTCGGAGTACATTAAGACGGGCTTAGGACTTCGTATACTTCATTTACTAGTTGTCCATCCATGGTCGTCATGAAGCCAGGTTTACTGTCCAATCTGCATATGGAATGCTGTAAGAAACCCGGGATGATAGGAGTCGGGAGATTCGGTCATGAACTTTGGATCCGGTCTTGGCCGCCGCTTGGTGTAATCGACCCTGGTGAGACTACCTAATATGTCTTAGGCCTCGAGGGGGAGTAACCAGGCGCAGATCACGTGGGTCTGCGCATCTCCCGCCTCGACATGTCCTGATGCCACTGCTATTATTCCACTTTCTTGATATGGATGAAGAGAGAGGTAGTCTTGTCAGTCTGAGAAAATACTGACCTACCTAGTTTGAATATTGATGATCCTATGTCTTGTACATTATTCCTCTTTTACGCCAGTGAGTACCTGGCCATATGGAGGTATGTACATAGTCAGACATAAATTTTTTTTTTGCGATATGTTTGGTCACTGAACATTTGTATGGCACTGAGTAGTCAGTGGTTACAGTCGGGATGTTTCATTTTCCACCACTTTTGATAAGACCAGGTAGCGGGTGTCATTGATCTTCCGAGCTGGCGATCAGTGTCACCTCAATATACACATATGCAGTAGTGGGTATATTTGAAGAACATGAAGTAGCCTTCTCATCCAGTTAAGGCTCGTTCTTTCGATATCACTCACTACGCATGTGACCAAATAAAACGCGCAAGCTGGAGACCTTGACAACACAACGATCCCTTACCACACAAGTCACGTGTTCCTGCAGGGCTGGAGGAGGGTTTAAATGTCGGTGACCGTCAGCCAGTCGACCGATTCAGTTACTCCGGCAGATTGGTACCGGACTACCGACTGTATGGCGGACGGTCAGAGTACTGAGGTACATACGCCCGAGTCTTACCTTAGTACTCATACTAACTACTAACTTAATAGGCTAGTACAACTTAGAAGTACATACCTTAGTAGCTTGCCTTGGTGCCTGAGCGGTGAAGAAGGTGCCAAGTCCTGCCTTGCTACTAAACGTGAATCAGTCAGGTCAGGTGGGGCGTCGACGGACCGCAAGAATGGGAACACCTCCGTGGAGGGTCCTCAATCTGCACCTTCAATAAGAGTCCACATCACTCGCTTTATGGACGCATGCCAAACCCCTTTTCTCTGTGACGAGATTGGCAACACGGAGTCTTGGCCACTGGACACAGTGGACAGCAGCAAATGAAGTAAACTGGGTTGAAAGTAGACGTGATCGTCTCTATATTTTAGTATGACGCCTGTAGGACGATCTCACACCAAACAAGCAATTTTCTGTAGTAACTACTGGACTACCGTATCAGCCCCTGACCTCCGATCCTGGAGAGGAGCTAGACGTATAAGCTCCTCGATCCATTCATAGGCAACACTCGATTACTCAAAGACCGCACAGCAGGAAGCCAGTAGACCTACCGAGACCTCAATCAGCACAGTATGACGCGTCCGGGTGCCCATCATTGATGAACAATCCCAGTGTCTGTACGAGGCAAGGTTCGTAGCCGAGCCTCAGAAGCATCTGTAGCACCGGGTAGAAGCGCCTGCGCCCAAACGTTTGCGCACCGCCGCACCCGAGTCCGTTTTCAGGCCCAGTCAACGTGCAGCCACTGGCCAGTGAGCCACTCAGAGTCACAGGGTCAAATGCTCTCTGGAGATAACCCTGAAAGCTAACGCCAATATGTGAGCAGGAGCTTACAAGTCAATCTTGGCATAGAGTTTCGAGCGTGAGCGACCGATGACGATATTCTGGGAGTGTCCTGAATATCACCCCCATACAGTGCGAACCCTCAGTCTTCCTGGTGGATCGACTTCCGAAATGTCGGCAAGTGGCGGATCCGCAGCGCGGCAGGGACTGATCCCATCGACAAACGTAAAGGTACCGGACGCGTGGAGGGAGGAACTGGAAGTGCCCCACCAGACCAGCTCCTTCCTGCCTCAGGCACGAACTTCCTTGCCTCAACGTCGCGTAGTCATCGACCAAATAACAAATCCGGAGCACGTGTAGCTGTGAACCATCATCTGATGATTGTAATTACACTCCCACAAAGAAATGCCCGAGCAAGGGCCTGACGTGTAGTCTACACGACTGCCCCAAACCTGACGGGATGTCAACATCGGCCCAACCATCCAGGTTTCAGTCGCGCGGGTTTGAGACTTCGGTTGATATTGCCCGTCGTCAAACCTACCAGGTGGCTCCCGTCGCAGGAATCAAAAGGCCAGCAGAAACGAGAGGCGCTGATGTCACAGAGCTCAAGAGTGAGGCTGTGGTGGAAGGTGCACTCCAACATAGGCCGAGGTCTCTTGTTGATGAACTAGAAGAATCGGGATCTTTGGAATCCGCAAGGGCCTCGCTTGTCACCCCGCCCAATCGATTTCATCCTAGTAAGATCCGTTCTGGTCCTGGCGCGAGCGTCAGGAACGAAAATGAGCCCAAGGCTTGTCAGAAAGATGCTGCACCTCCCAGTGCCAGTCAGAACCCATTGTTATTCTTGTCCAACGCCAAGTATGGGCTGCCGCCGGCGCTTATTGCTAATTTTGCGGCTCTCGGCGTCAAAAGTATCTATCCATGGCAGGCATCGTGTCTCCTTGCACACGGACTGCTCTCGGGCGAGCGGCACTTAGTCTATACAGCTCCCACCGGCGGTGGCAAGTCCCTCGTTGCCGATGTATTAATGCTGAAACGAATTATCGAGAATCCCACGCGCAAGGCGTTGCTGGTGCTTCCCTACGTCGCACTTGTTCAGGAGAAGCTAAAGTGGATGCGTCGTATCACGGAAGGCGTGGAAAGAAATGTACAAGACGATCAAGAAGATCATAATGCACCGTTCCCTCGTAAACGATGGAAGAAATTGCAGAAACAGATTCGAGTCACCGGATTCTTTGGAGGCAGCCGGACCACGGCGACATGGGCAGACACTGATATTGCCATTTGTACAATAGAGAAGGTATGGCCCCTGTGAAGTGCATCTCCAGCTCCTCTCTGTTAATCCTTCTTCAAGGCCAATTCTTTGATCAACACTGCCATCGAGGAGTGTTCAATTGGCCAACTAGGCGTGGTGGTGTTGGATGAACTACACATGTTGGATGATGAGCATCGCGGCTATCTACTAGAATTGATGGTGACGAAGCTGCTCCTGCTTCAACAAGACATTCAGATCGTCGGTATGAGCGCAACGCTTTCAGTGAGTAGTCCTTCGCTTCACGAGTCGTTCAAGTCTCCGCGACTGACCGGCAGCAGAACACGGAAATGCTTGCGCAATGGATGAATGCCAAGTTCTTTATTTCAACTTATCGTCCCGTTCCAATTGATGAATATCTTGTCTACGAGAACGCTGTCTATCCGGCAGCAACTTCGAGGCAATTGTTTCACACGGCTTCTAAATTAACAGCTGCAAACTCATCGGCACTGCACACATCTGTCCCACCGGAAAGATTGATCGATGTTTCCGAGCACAAAGAGCTGAGCAATGCTGCCACGAACGCGATGGTCGCCTTAGCCGTTGAAACGGCGTCCGCAGGTTATGGGGCCCTAGTCTTTTGCAGCAGCCGTGGAGCATGTCAGATCCACGCTGCGACGATTAGCGAGGCAATGCCGAGTTTGAGATCTGACGACACCGAAGAGCTGAACAAGCGCTTGGATTTACTGGCAGAGCTACGAAGTCTTGCTTGTGGACTTGATCCTGTTCTGGAGAAGACAATTATAAAGGGCGTGGGATTTCATCGTGAGTAGTCCATCTTATTGGGGACCCTCGGGGGTGCCGAAGCTTACATTTTCTAGATGCTGGCATGACAACCGAGGAGCGAGAGCTCATTGCACAGGCCTATGATCAAGGTGTACTGAGAGTGTTGGTAGCCACTTGCAGTCTTGCTGCCGGCGTGAATCTCCCGGCACGAAGGGTGATCATTAACGGGGCGCGGATGGGGCGTGAGCTAGTTGGGCCGGCAATGTTGTAAGTGGTTCAATACCTGCTTGAAGTCAATATACCGTTCTGACATGGACAGCCGGCAAATGTGCGGACGTGCAGGTCGCAAAGGGAAAGACGACGCTGGCGAAACATATTTGATCTGTGTCAAATCAGACCTCGAAGCCGTGTGCGATCTACTCGATGCTGATATGCCGGCGATCGAGAGTTGTCTGGCTCCTGAGAAAAGGGGGTTGAAGAGGTACTTGCGACTTTGCCCTCTTTTACTTTTTGTTTTTGCTCACTTGCTCATGTAAATCACAGGGCACTGCTTGAAGCAATAGCGACGGGGCTAGTGTCTGGTGCTGAAGCGATCAAAGATTATGTACGCTGTACACTCCTCTATCGGACGTTGGACAAAAGGATAGTCTATACGATCATGAATTCTGCCTTGCAGGAACTGATCAATGAAGCTCTTTTGCTTTACAAAGATGACGAGTCCTATGAGGCGACATTACTGGGTCAAGCTGTGGTCGCTTCGGCCTTTTCCCCGGAAGATGGCCTCTTTGTTCACGAAGAGCTCAAGCGAGCACTGCAAGCCTTTGTCATGGACGGCGATATGCACATCTTTTACATGTTCACGCCATTTCAAGTCGCCATGAATTCTCCCATTGACTGGCCAATATTCCGTGACCAATTAGATCGATTGGATGAGAGTGGGCTTCGCGCGCTGCAGTTTGTTGGTGTACAGCCTGGGTTTGTGAACAACATGTACGTACCGAGTCCTTCAACTCAACTCTCTAGAAGCCGATAGCTCACGCTGCTCCAGGGTACAATCGGGTGCTCCGCTCAGAGAGAAAACGCCAGCTCAACAACTCCAGGCCCGCATCTACCGCCGAGCATACACAGCCTTCCAACTGCGCGACCTCAGTAACGAAGTCCCCCTCTCTACTATTGCATCTCGGTACCGTATTCCGCGAGGTACGGTTCAAACTCTCGCGCAACAATGCCATGGCTTTGCTGCTGGAATTGTCAAGTTCTGCCAGCGCATGAACTGGGGCATGATGGCCGCGGTACTGGACCACATGCGTGACCGACTCGAAGCAGGGGCGCGTGCAGACTTACTTGAGATGGCGCAAGTGACCTATGTCAAGAGCTGGACTGCGCGATGTCTTCGGGAAAATGGATTCCGAAATCTGCGAGCGCTGGCGGAGGCTGATCCGAAGGACTTGGTTCCCGTGCTCATGATGGTATAATCTCTTGAAAAACAAGATCTCCTTCCTTGACGGATGGTACTGATCGTACGAATTTTCCATTAGGTCAATCCGCGTAAAACACAAAGAAATCAACTTTATCCAACGGAAGCCGAACGTTACGCCGCCAAGCTCCTGATAAAGGCAGAGACTATTGTTGCCTCTGCCAGCAAGATCTGGGGTATGATATGAACACTTGCTTCTCGGTGGAATAAGTACTGACGAATACATTCAGCGCGTGAGATGCAGGTCGAAGTAGAACAATAATCTGGAGATCTGGAAAAGTCTGCCCTGTCTCCTCGCTTCAGGTGATTTGAGTTCTGACACTGTTGATCACAAGTCCTTTTTTTTTTCTTTTTAGAGAAAAAAAAAGACAACGAGCGAATTACTTTCACCCGCAATGCACAACATAGGGTCTCGCAGCATTGGTATTTGCATTGATACCCAAAGAAGAGATTTAAGAGAGAAGACATCGAATTCCTGGCAATACATTTACACCCCATTCAGTGCGTTTTGAGCTTGGATCGCACTGCCCTTGTCCACAAAGTCCAACAAGACCACATTTGGCATTCTGTTGTACAGGCTCTGGCACACTGCAGCTTGCGCACCTATACTACCTTTGCCAGTGGCTGCATTTGTAGAGCTCGCCGCCGTACGGTCTGGAACCTTGATTCCGAAAATGTCGACGTCTAGGAAATGATTGACGATATACATGCGGCCGGACGGCGAGGCTCCAGAAGGTCTATCGATGCTGCATCCGGAAAAAGTCGAGTCTGTCACATCGTAAGGAGTCTCAAAGTAGTATGCAAACTCGTCGAGAATGTAGTTTACTTTGGCGGTGTTGGCACCGTAGTCTGCAAAGTAAGCCGAGACGTGATGTTAGTTGAACACTGACGTGTCAAAAGTACGGAAACAAGAGCAAATATCCCAGAGGCTTTCAAGAGGTGTGTTTACATACCTAGAAAGACGACTAGTCTGGTTCCTTGGGAAATCATTTGTCCTAACGTCGGCCAAGATTCCAGCGGCAAAGGATTGGACGAAGGAACAAATGCATATCGATCGATTCCACTGCTCGCAAAAGCTTCGTTGAACTCGGTAATGCCCACAGAATCACCATTGGTGAGTAGAAGCGTCACCACTTCGTTGGCATTGGCGTCCAGGAAGGTCTTGATGGTACGAAGATAGGACTCAAGAGTCCCTGCATCCTCCAGCAAGCACGAGGTGTGGCACAGCTCCAGAACATTCTTGTCGATGAGTGAATGGTGGGTCTGAGCTTGCAGAAATCGAATACCCATGTTCAACTGTGCGGTCACATCAATGTCCTGATTCTGCTGAGGTAATTCGCCCACAAATGCCGAGTCGTGGGATCCGACGAATGTGACTTCCGAGTATGCGCGCGAGCAGTACTCTGAGCGTCCGTTGCAGATATTCGCAGCGGCGGATGTGGCATGCTCTACGGCTGGAAGTGCTATCGCCAGGTGGCTCAGAAGGGCCACGCTGAGCAGCGTCCACCATGAGTGAGATGACCAAATCATGCTGCAATTCTTCAGGCTCACTCTGCTCACTCTTTGGGGGGGGGGCACACAAGAAAAAAGACGTCGCTCTCGGATAAGGGCGATGACCATCTGCATTTAAGTGTCTTCACAAGAATCTCTCGGTCTTTCAATCAAGACCATGAGCGCGGGCTACGCCCAGTCGCCAGTGAGACGACCATCACACAGCATCATCCTGCACGCGTGGCAGGAAGGGGATGACCAAGACGGTCCCTCTTCAGCATTCCACTCGCGCCGATCCTCACTGAAGACGACCGCCAGTTGGCGTACTTCGCGACAAGGTCATCGCACTTTGTCTTCAGCGAACGTGATGAGATACTCATGGTCGCGATGGTGGTGGTGATAGGCCATTTGCACGAGTCTAGCCTGAGCACCCCGTGGTCTAGCGCATGCGCCGCACACGAATAAGATTGTTTTTCGAGTCGGCACGGGGAGCACGTCGTATATGGAAAGAAGTGCCCCATATGGAGATTGGATATGATCCGCTGCATGATACTTGTACTTGTAAGGTCGCTACCGCTTCTGGTCTACTACTACTACAGTTGACATGACATTTCCATATCCGACTAATGTTGCCCAACCCATGAAACTAAGGACCGATTTAGTCAGAATCACCGTGCAGGCCCCTCTTCCCCTTTCTGGCAGGCACATAAGATGAGTTGTGTCTCGTCCTTTGCATCCGAGATGTCGCCTCGGCGTTCTCACAGAATCTAGATGTGTTACATCCGGACGATTGAATGAGGACTTGTGATCGGCACTGAATACTATGTGCACGTCGGGTGATCTGATCATGGTATAGACATGGATGTGGTCAATTTGGTGTTTTTTTTTTATTATTTTATAAACAGTTTCGCTCATACTGGGTGGTTCATACGAATGATTTGAAATGATTTGTGAGACTACTGGCTTGTCCTAGTGTATGTAACTAGATGGTGAAGTGCTTGGAACTCTCGCGGCGTACTAGTAGCATCATTGTATGTACCTCTCTGCCTACTATCCGAGCATACAAAGCACTTGGACACCTTAAAATAATTTCAATACAATCGTATCAGATTTTGTCCATCTCATTCCTTCCTATGAAAAGCCACACTCAGTGGCTGGAGACCCCCCTCAACTGACAGACCAAATGCGCAAAGGCCGGGCGGGCCGAACCAGGCAACCCAGAGAGAGCTTCCACTCGCAGAATCTCACGTAACGAGTCAACGCTTGTCTCCGAAACTCCACATTCATGTTTACCTCCGAGCTCACCTTCCCCTCCTCCGGCATCCGCATCCGCATCCGCATTCGTTGACCGACTCCGCTGGATGATCTGCTGTTCGCTCATCCAGGCCACTGTCATCATACCCAATCGGAGCACACCGCTGGTCCGGTCGATACCCCCAAGACCTGATCCGCCGATAGCGATGAGCGCCCGGAGATCCTGCTCATGAGCTCGATGGCTGAGGGCAGCGAGGGCTGGTCGAGAGAGGACGAGCTTGATTTGGGCCCAGAGGAACATGAATCTCCAGCAATTGCCTCTGACGTCGCGCTCGTGGACGATCGCGAAGAGTTCTCCGCACAGAAGCCTGAGCTGATCGAGGCCGAGGGTGACGGCCTCGACAAGGGATCGGGTGCGCAGGACCGTTCTACAGAGCAGTCAAGAGACGCGGAGAGTCTGCAACTTCCACAGACTCCACCTTCAAAGCAGGCGACACCAGATGTGTTGTCGAGCGAGATAGACGAGACGGCGTCGATTCCGGACGACACCCCGTCGTTGAACGTAAGTGAGCCTCACGAGCGCACTCGTTGAGCTGGACCGTGCTGGTGTACCAAAGGAGAATCACTGACTGAGCGAGACCAGGGGTCCGTACGGTCGTCGCAAGGAAGTAGTGCATTAGCCTTCCGGGGCTCACCACGAGCCAGCCCTGGCCCAGCTCACCGTCCGTTTGATCTTCGCTTCCAGTCGCGATTATCGTCCTCCTCGGTGAACATACCCAGATCTGGATCGCCTTTCCTGGCGCAGTTACACTCTCGACAATCGTCATTTGCGAGCCACGTTTCAGCGACCCCCGAGTCAGAGAATGAAGTGCCTCCTAATCCCTGGGACGTTGTGCGATGGACGAAACTACGGAAAATATCGGGGCAGGCATTCTCCGAAATTGGGAAGCGCAACTTTGGCAGACCGACATGCCTGACCGTGTCGACTGCAATTGTGATTGGTACATCGAAGGGCATTATTTTGGTCTTCGACTACCAGCAGAGCTTGAAGGCAATCATAGGGACAAGCACAAAGGGTGAGTTTGAAGATAGGTATCAATGTGGGCTTTCGCTGTATTGGTGCTGATCACTTCACTAGCTGTTGAATGTGGCCCGATCACCGCACTGGCGTTGTCAGCAGACCATACGACCGTCGCTGGTGGCCATGAATCCGGAGATATCTTCACCTGGGAAATCTCGCGTCCTTCACGACCGTTCCTCCACATGCCGGTGATCACAGCCGATCAAGTCGAGAGCAGGGCAGCTGACGGCCATATGGTAGGTTCTGCCGTGATTCACGTAGGCTTTCTGGGAACGCGGCGCACAGCGATTGTGTCGGCCGACATCAGGGGCATGGCCTTCTCACATCTGGCTACACGAGGAACGGGATCCCTCGGACGAACTGTGAAGACAACGCGAATCCTCGGCCGCTACCCAGAGCTCGCATCGGAAGAGCCGCGCAAGCGGAAACCTAGCTCCGTCCTGGCCTTCTCGCCCCTTCCGCTCGGAAATGTAGAGCAACCGTCTGATTCGATGGGCCTGGTTGCTATGCTGACTCCATATCTGCTGGTGATTGTCTCGACAACTCCTGTTGCTCGAACGCAGTACAAATCCCCACGTCCAAAGGTAGTCCCTGCCCATAGTGCTATGACGGGGGCTCTAGCTTGGTTTCCGGCGATTCGTCTCAAGGGCAAGGATAGTCAGACTTCGAACACGAAGCTGGTTTACTGTTGGTCGAATGTGTTAACAGTGCTGGAAGTAACGGACGCGGAGACTGGGGAGTCACCGAGCAAAGATCGACCTCCAAGTCTCTCCTTCCGAGCTCGTAGTAGATGGCACGCTGATGAGGCTATTGTGGCTATTCAATGGCTCAGTCGATCCGTGCTAGCAGTGCTCACCATTACACAGCGTCTGCTCATTGTGGAGGACTACAGCATGCATGTGACCGACTCCATCGATCTGGTGGGTCGCCATATTTACCACGCCGATCTTTTTTCATCTCAACTGCACAACCTGGTTGAGCAATTGGACGAGGAGGATTCGTCAATGCACGGAGTCGTTGCGGATGCCTTTCACATGAGTTTCCGTTCGTACAAAGGCCGACTGTTCCTGCTGGGCTATAATGAAGCCCAATTCGGCAGCCTTTCCAACTGGGCTGACCGGCTCCTCGCTCTCATGGAAGCCGGAGACTTTATCAGTGCCATTCGGTTGGCAACATCATACTATACCGGAAGTGCTGAGAGACTCACCGTTGGACTCCCCGATGAGGATGCATTGCGAAAACCAATTGTACAAGAAAAGCTGCTCGAGATGATTTCGGCATCCTTGAAATACGCTTTCGGTCGCAATAACGAGGCTAACAACGAACAGTTGGAGAACAAGGAGCTAAAAGACCTCGCCGAAGTGTCAGTCGTTGCTTGTCTCCAGATGGAAGACTTGGACTACCTGTGGGAGGAGGTGTTTACCTGGTACGAAGAGCATGGCTCTGCCGGGATTTTCCTGGATGTACTCGAACCGCGCATCATCGACGGGACTATACGGTCTTTACCTCCTATTGCTGTTAAAGCTCTCATCAGCCACTTCATCGAGACCCATTCCACTGGCCGCTTGGAAGAGATTATCTGCTTGCTCGATACAACCACAATGGACATCGACCAGGTCACGACCTTATGCAAGCAGCACAACCTTTACGACGCATACATCTATGTCTGGAATCGCTGTTTGATGGATTATGTCGGCCCATTGGAAGAACTGATGACCCAGATTCCCACCCAAAGGCCGGAGACCTTGGTCAATGGGGATTATGCGCTCGAATCGAGACGTTACACCAACGCGATGAAGATGTTTCCGTACCTATCATTTGTCCTTACTGGCCGCATATACCCAACCGGTGAGGATTTGAGTGAGGACGAAGCTCTGCGGGCCAAAAGCGAGCTTTATCAGTATATCTTCTCGGGTCACTCTTCGACCTCCACAAGCTCCGCGACGGCAGAGACTGGCGCATTTGCCCAGCTCAGAGCAATGCTCAAGTTTGACGCGTCTAGCTTCATGAGCATGCTCAATGAAGCTTTCGAAGACAGCTTTCTGAACGATTCTGAGGTGGAAGAGAGCCCGATTTCAGGGATGTCGATCAACCGACAATACCTGATCAGTATTCTACTGCAAGTCATGGATTCATCGACCTTTGAAGCGACCGATACCATCTATCTCGACATGTTTCTCGCACGTAACCTCCCCAAGTATCCACAGTATATTCTGCTCTCGGGCACCACCCTTCATCAGGTGCTCGTTCGACTCTGCCAGTATCCCACGTTGGAAATGGCGGAAGATTGTGAGCTCAGTGCAGAGTATCTTCTGTCCTTTTACCGTCCGCCAGATGTTCAGAGCCTGGTGCCATTGTTCAAGGAAGCTCGGTTTTTCCGCATTCTCAAGTCAACCTATCGCTCGGAAAAGCAATACGCTCAGTGGATTCAAACATATCTCGAAGATCCGCATGACCGGATAGGAGTCTTCACGGCACTTTACGACTGTCTACGTTCTGGATCTGGATTGGGCAAGAAGGTGAGACGAGATGTTGTCGAGGTCGTCAAGCAGCACGCTGGAGATATCGCAGCCATCGACGTGAAGCGAAGTGCACAGGCAATGCAAGATCTTGCCCCTGAAACCCACGCTACGTTCCTGCAACGCCTCGAGAATGACTCATTCAATCAGTTCCAGTATCTTCAGATCCTGGTTGAGCCCCGTGGCAAAGTTCCAAGCGAACCAAGCCCAACCGTGCAAGTCGAGAACTGGATGGTTGAGCAATACGTGCAGCTCCTCTGTCACTACAAACCATCTCACGTTGCAGACTTTGTCGATGGCCTTCGGGTGGGAGACCTCCATCTCGAAAAACTTCTTCCGTTCATTGAGGAAAGTGGAGCGATTGACGCCGCCGTCATCTTGCTTGCGAGACAAGGTCAGGTGCAGGCTGCGTTGAATCGTCTCATTGCCCATCTGAGCACGCTTGAATCCGGTCTGGTTGGTATACTGCACAGTGTCCAGGACGCTCCGGATGCCGCCAATACGACCGAAGCAATTGATGATCTGCTCGATTCCATGGAAAAGTATGTAGGAGTTGGGACTTGGCTCTGTCAAGGCCAGACCAAAGTCGCGCATGAACCAAACCGAATGAGAGGGGCCGCCAATGGCCAGCGGGGAGGATTAGCGCTTGAAGTACCCCTAGCTTTTGATGAAACCCTCTGGCTCGATCTCATTGAAGCTGTTGTGCGAATTGCAAGCAATGTGTTTGTAATGATTCGGGGCCAAGGGTCCAAACGTGTGGCATCAGCTTCCGCAGTGGTTGCAACAAGTGAAGACAACGGCCGATTGATGGTCGTTTTCCGAGGCTTGGTCCAACAGATGTTCACTTCGCTGCTTTCTAGTACAGTGAAGGGCAGCGCATCACCGTCGGCCGAACGCAACGACATCTCCTTCCTTCGCATTCTACGAGCGTTCCTGGCCCGCGCAGCACGCTGGTCTCCGTCTCTACAAGAGCTACGCGCCGTTCTTGCCTCAGTCTTTTCGGCGTACTCGTATGAAAAGGCGCTACTTTCGCTGGCCAATGACATGCTGGATCGCGACCTCTTCGTGCATGTGGATGAGGTCGTGCGGCTACGACAGCAAGGATGGCGTCCGCGTGGGCAGGCCTGTGAAGTATGCCGGCAGCGGATCTGGGGGTCTGGTGTGGGATCGACGCACTGGGCAGCGTGGGAGAGAAGACAGGCTGATGCTCACATGCATCGTCTTGCTCGTCGTCTCGAAGAGAAAGAGGACGTGGCATCTGAGCGTGGCAAGGGCAAAGCTGTGGTCTCCCGTCCGTCCGCTCACAACCACGAACATGACCACCATGGCACGACTGGAGTGGAGGCGGCAGCAGATGGAACCACGCGGGCCCACGAACCGGTGGTAGTCTTTGCCTGTCGACATCTCTATCATCGGAGATGCGTGGCCGAGAGTATCAGCGGGCTGTCATCGACTGTCACCCAGGCGTCCGGCTCGTTCCTTCGACCGGACCAACCAGATTGGCCAGTGCATGAGTTGTTTTGTCCAGTATGTAAATAGTATAGTATATACTATATATAGTAGTACCGACCGACCGCGGTGGCTCATTTGTCCTTTCCTGCTTTTCACTTTCACCTCCCATACTCTTTTGCCCCTCTCCTGAATACATGGGACCTTTTGATACCTAACCTCGTTTCCATGCCGTCTCCCTCACGTCGAGCTCATATTGTTTCATCTCTACCTGTCCAATCCCTTGATATACGTACGCTGTGTGGCCGCTGGCCACTGCCCGCCATACACCCTTTGACCATCGGCAAGAACCGACGCATTGTAGGTAAATAGGTGATCGTGTCATCAAGTCAAAGTGAATCTGATAGCATCCATCCATCACACGTCGTGTGTATGAGTATAATCTCCGACATTGGAACCCTTTCACAAAAGCTTGGGCGCGAGTGAACCATGATGTATCCTCCTATGTCTCCAGCAATCTGATTTCCACCCTCCCAATTCCCCAATTCCGCTCTCCCGTCTCCGTCCGCCTACCACCTCAACACCATCATCCCATGTCCGGTCCTGATATCCTCAAGCAATTACTTTGATCAGTACTACCTAGTAATTAGTGACCTACTAAGTACCTCGTTAGTCGTTACTCCTCCTCTCCTACAAGCCTAGTACCTACAAACTACATGGTACAGGCCCCAGCACTCCACCCAACGTTCACGCCTGTCTCACATCGCGTGGCAACCAGACAGAGATTGGTCTGCCATCCGGAGAGACCCAATCCGCTTTCCATACCGGTCCAACATCCAATGTGACACAACACAAGCTTCTCGAGAAGAAGTCTCAAGTCTTGAATGTCCCCCTGGACGCGAGCCTCGTGAATGGACGCACCGACCTCGTCTATTAGACCCCTTATCCATCTTTTACCGCCCTCCCGTGCCTCGCCTTGACCGATCGGGCATGCCCTCCCGCGCGGTGGGCGGGAGGGAAGCATGGACGTGCACCTGGCAAGACATACGAGGCGACGATCTCAGTGCGGCAATTGATCTGTGGGTTCAGGGCTGCAGGGGGGCAGGTTCGCCAAAGTCCACCCGGAAGTGTGGGGGAAGAAAGGGAAAGTGAGATTTTGGGGGGGGGAAGGACAAGAGGCAGGGATGTTTCAATGTCCACTTGCTTGGCTGGGTGAATGAGGTGTGTCGCGTCGTGGTGCAGATCCCGTGCTCTCGGGTTAGTATGCCGAGATGATCAATCCAGCGTGATGAGCGACACAGTGGTGGGATTCAGGTTATTCGGCAGTTGTTCTCCACGGATCTCAGAACCTGAGGAGACGAGTACAGACGTAGGTCCCAGGCTATGGCAGGCTCAACTGACTTGTACAGTCGGTGCTCGTGGTTGATGCACATGGACATGAGAGCGAACGGGTCGGCTCGTACGACAAAACGTACGGTCCTTGCGGCTACTCAGAGATTTGATCTTGTCGTTGACAGTCAGCTGGCAACCTGGCCATTCCAGGTGGATCTCTTCCACAGGTTGCGTGAGCGTCTTGTTGAAGTGTGACCTGGAGAGAGGATTGATGGACAGGTACCCATGGTTCAGACTACATGGATTCTTCATTCTTGGGATGTACGCCAAGTCGACGCGCACGTGCCATTTGATGTACCGGCCGTGGTTACCACCGGCGGGTGGACCATTCTTGCATTTGTCGATTTCGACATTTGCCGAATTGCTGCAGTCGACCAGCGACTTGGGAGATGACCAATTTCCAGTCCATCCAATACAAAAGAGCGTTCACCAGGGTCCCCGGTGGTGGAGACACGAGAGACGAGAGAGATGTCCCGTCGGTCGGGGGGGGGGGTAAAAGCAAAAAGATGGAGAACCGATGCGGGATGGATGGAAGGATTCCGGATCGACGAGTGAGCGATCAGAGGCGGGGAGTCGTCCAGTACATCTGAAACACGCCAAAAGACACTGTTTCAAGAGCATGTCAGTTCGGGTGAGGTTGATTGAACGATTCACGTTCCCGATCATGAATAGCGAGTAGGAGTGTTTCGCACTTTGACATTAGTTGAGTCGTCCGGTACCTCGGTACCGGTGGCAGTTGGCATACACCCCGATTATCACCATTTACTGTGGGGAGTACGTCGTCGCGAAAAGAAAAGAGACGGGAGGATGCCTGGTAAAGATCGACTCGGAAGATCACCCTCCTCGTTGAAGCCTTTGCTCCGAGACTCCGAACAGGAGGTGGCGAGCTGTCCATCCCTCACTCGCCCTCTGATCAGATCGGAAGGTGAAGAAGCCCGCGCCAATTCAGCACAGAGTCACAAAGTGGAGCCTCGATCCTGGACAATCGGTGGACATCTGATTGACGGGTCCGCCGGGGAAGGAGAAGACGTGCGCGTGGTGATCAACATTGCCCCTGATCCAGACTTTTGTACACGGACAAGTCACCGGAGTATGGACTGGACCACTCGACTGAGTCGACTCTATGAGGGGTTCTCTGCTGCACACCAGTCTAGTCCAAAGAGATGATAGTACACTCATACACTGTGAAAGTGTACAGGAGTAGGATTGTACTCGTCTTCCTGGGCCGCGCCACCTTCCAGAAACCAAGCTCCAAGATGACCCTTTAGGAGTAGAAATTCGGTATCTCATCATCCTTTCCGGTATATCCCATTTGACGCTGTAGTCCAGTCTACCGAGTACAGTCTACCGAGTACAGTCTACCGAGTACAGTCTACCGAGTACAGTCTACCGAGTACAGTCTACCGAGTACAGTCTACACTCTAGTTCTACCTGTTTGACTCAACACGAGTATTCCACCCCTAGCCCCCTAGCCCCCTAGTCCCCTAGTCCCCTAGGGTAGTATACTATGCACAGACAAATTCCAACGAGGAGAGCCTTTGATCCACCTTGCAAACTCTATAGATGCTCGCAGTTCTCCCAGTGTGATGCCGAACTCGAACGCTTTCCTCCCGAGACCCGCACTTTGGGGTGCGATTAGCGGACGGAGAGATCCTCTCCTGTTCACCCTAAAATTGCGAATCTCTTTCCCCCATGCTGTTCGATCTGGCGCTATCCCGACTCCCTACTAGTCTCGCACGTTCGGAGCCACTTTTCTTAGCCTTCGACCGACCAACCTGGGGCTCACGACCCGGGCTCCCACTTGCCCCAAGGAGGAATCAGCGTCCGTGTCGGGTTCGTTTGCGACAAATCCACATCTCACATGCAGTCATGCACTCCCTTTCCACTTCTCAAAGGGCAGCACGGCACACACGTAACGCAGCGTCGCAGACAGTAGTCAGGCATCGCATCGCCGTTCCCGAATGCTGAAATGAGAGCCCTCGGCCCTGTCATGCACCTCCGCGACCCACCCTCGAGTCTCCAGATCAGGTCGGGTGGATGCAGCACAACTTTCAACTTGGTGAAGGCTGACCGAGACCGATGGCTGGGGGGAGGAGTGGGAATCAGCCACTCCTCCGTCGCCTTGCGGGTGATGGTCTGCTGGGCTGTTCGGATGGCGTCTACTAGTGCTGTTGGATTTTTGCGCCCTCCCTTTTTGAGAATTCTCTTTTTTTTTTTTCTTTTTTTTTTTTTTTTCTCCTCGAGTTTCAGTTGAAACCCATGATCTAGATATTCGGCTTGCGAGTCGATGGCTCTTTTTCCTCCCGGTCCCTTATAAGTCGGGACGAGTCGCGCTCTCGTCTCATGCAGAACCTTTTGGTCTGTGATTTCAGTGTTGATCGTCGGTGCAGAGAGCCCTTCCTTCATATCGTCCGTCTCTTCTTGATCGGCCGACCTTGATATTCAAGACATCGCTCCTTGTACAGTGGTTCCTTCAGATCTGAGATCTGGCACTTTGCATCCGTGACGTTTGAAAGATTTGTCTTTTCATTCCCATCTGTTTTGTTTTTTTCCTTCGGACATATCCAACGATTGCGGTCCATATCCCCTCCAACCGTATTAACGATCAAGCTGTTGGACAAGTGACAATCTGCGTCTCTGATTCGATCCTGGGCCATTTTGACACAAACGCGCCCTCGAATACCGAATTTATACACTTCGCAACACATACCGGTCGAACATGCACGTCCTCTCGACACTCGTCTCGAGTCTGGGACTCCTAGCCCAGATCACTCGCGCCGCATATACATTGCAAGACGACTATGGCACGACCGACTCCTTCTTTGACAAATTCGACTTTTTCACCGTATGTCTCTCCAGATCTTGCGGTCTGCCCGATCGCGCTTCAATCATTCTCTCCAGCCTTTTGACTCTCTCTTTCTCTCTTTTTCATTGCAGGATGCGGACCCCACCAACGGCTACGTGAGCTACGTCGATCGATCGACCGCCACAAATGCCGGCCTGATCAGATCAACAGGGAGCTCCGTGTATATCGGAGTCGACACGCAGAATCAGGCCTCGGGCTCGGGGCGGCAAAGCGTTCGTCTAACCAGCACCAAGTCATACCAGCATGGATTGGTGATTCTCGACCTGGCACATATGCCAGGGAGTGTATGCGGAACATGGCCCGCCTTGTAAGTGAAGGTTTTTCTCATGTCAAGAACGAGATCTCCCCCCCCGTTCCATTGCTGACGCCCGAATTCTCTTGCCTACAGCTGGATGCTGGGAGCGAACTGGCCCAACAATGGCGAAATCGACATCATCGAGGGCGTCAACACCCAATCGAACAATCAAGTCACGCTTCACACGAGCGACGGTTGCTCCATTCAAAACTCAGGTTTCACGGGTTCGCTCGACACTGCCAACTGCTACGTCGAGGCCGCGGGTCAATCGGCCAATTCGGGCTGCGCCATCACCAGCAACAGCGGGCAGTCGTACGGGGATGGATTCAACCAAGCAGGTGGTGGGGTGTATGCCACGGAGTGGACCTCTGCTGGTATCAAAGTGTGGTTCTTCCCTCGAAGTGGTATTCCATGGGATATCTCAAGTGGGAAGCCGAATCCCGCGACTTGGGGGATGCCCACGGCTGCATTCGCGGGAAGTTGCGATATCGACTCCCATTTCAATAACCTGCAACTGGTACGTTTCTCTCTCTCTCTCTCTTCTCATACCTCACAGTTCTCCTCATCTGACCATGCCATGTTTCCTCGTTCGTCCAGGTTTTTGATATTACTTTCTGCGGTGACTGGGCCGGTAACGTCTGGTCCTCTGGCACCTGCGCATACAAAGCCCCCACCTGCAACTCGTTCGTCCAAAACAACCCAGCCGCTTTCAAGGAGACATACTGGAGCGTCAACTCGCTCAAGGTCTACCAGGACAACGGCAGTCCCCTGCTCAGCATTCACGCCCACGCCGCGGCGCATATTGGCGCCAAGCAATCGATCAGTCAGCTAATTTCTCGCAGGGGCACTGCGCCGTATATTCGGCCTGGGCCTCGCCCCGAGTGGCGCGAACATACACATTAGTGCCCAGTTGCGGAGATGGAAAGAGTGTGAGGTCGGTGGCTGGTTCCATCTGACCGAGGGGTCCGCCAGGGGGCGGCGGGGAGAAGCCCGTCGAGCGTTTGGTGGAATCGATTGCATAAGCGACTGCATATATCCATCTGGGGATTTGAGAGACTCCCAGCTTATGACTGGAAGACTTCGGGACTGGCGGACGGATTGACTTTGATAGTTTGATCTGTTTCGTTGGTCCTATCCATGGCTGATGATGATTTCCGATTTCAATACCCTTTTTTGTGAATTATATACGTTTGGTCACGACAGCTTTGAAGTTCGATATGATTTGTATATATCCCGAGTGGCATTCGAATGTGCATTTCAATTCAGCATGTGTGAACCCCTAAAGATGCAGCTTGTAGACAGATTCCAGTCATCACCTGCTAGATGGAAAAGCCGAAAACAAGAAAAAGGAGGAGAAAGCTGAAAAGATGAACTCAGATCTTCCCCATCTTTGTACATGCACGGTAAATCATGATGCTCATTCATAGATCTTGGGTTGAGCAAATTGGGCGTTCCATGAGATCGCTGGCCTGCATACTCTATCTGGCCTGATTCAATGGGTGCCAAAACACGATGGCGGTCTCATTAAAGCTTGTATCCAAGCACATCTCTCCGATCATCTGTCACTCGACCCCATTCCAAGAGCAACCGGAAGAAGTACACCTCCATATCCTCCTTGCGAAGCGCCGTCTCTGCCCATTCACGTCCTTGCTCGGCGATCCGCCAGCCCTCATTGAGATGCGGTTCCATGAGCACGCGTGCTTGATCGGCGCTCTGGTTCCCTGCAGTAGGCGGCGGCGTCTTCGAGACGCCAGCAAAATAAGCCAACGTGCTCCATAGTCCATGAAGACGGATATCGACGGGGACAAAGTGGTGCCATGAGGTAATTCGGGAGTCGAACCATTGCCGGAAGAGACCGGTTCGGAATGGGAGGCTGTGACTGTGCAAAAAGGGGAGAAAACGGCCACTAAAGCCGGCCCCGTCAAGGTCAAAGAGATATCGATGAGACCAGTGGGCTTGGAAGTCGAGCCACGAGTGTGGGCCGAGCTCTTCGTGCTGCGTGTCACAGTCCCCGCAGCGAGTGATTGGCGCTGCGATGTGGACATTGGTCTGCAAGTTCAACTCTCGGGTAGGGGCATCGCCACGCATGCTTTGATATCGATAGGAACCAGAACCTGTGGGGAGAAGGAGAGACACTTGACTTCCAGTGTTGTTGTTCACAAGATGAGAGAATCGCTGCCTCGGCATCCCCTTCCACTCGTTGAACCGGCTGTAGCCTTCCGAAGTACTGCCGATCCAGTACAGTGAATTTTCCTTCTCCGGATATGGAGAATCAGGATTCTCCTCGGTCGGACTGTGGGTGATTTTGTCCATGTAATTCCAAGGACTAGGATACAAAATATCACCAAAGCCGGACAGCGCGCTCTGGCTGAAGATCGGCATAAGCTCTCCAGACACTTTGAACGATGCTGGTGATATCAAGAGTCCGTGAAGAAAGGCGAGGTCTGGTTGATGGCAAATTTCGGTGGCTCGGTTAAAATCTAACGGAAATTGACCCAAGGTGTGCGGTGCTGCGCAACTCAGACAGACATCACGCCGATTCCACACACGCGTCGTCCGTACCGGCGACGTAGGGGGACAGATAAAACTGACGTACTGATCGAGTACCCCCTGCCACGCTCCATCTGTGAAGATCGCCTCGCTCACTGGATCCGCGGGTTCGATGGGTGCCCAGCCAAGGTGGCGATCTGCTGACCACCAATTGAGTAAGTCATCTTCAGGCACATCTTCCCGACTTCGACCTGTTTGCTTGAGTTGCATCATTTGCTCCCAGGGCACCACGACCCGTGGCTCGTCGTTGAGGTTGAAGACAATGTCCATGTCTGGAAGATACTGAACAAACTTCTCGATCATATTGGCTGCCCCCTTGACCATCCACGCATGGGTCGGCTTCACCTTCTCCTGGACTTTGACTTCACCGTTGCGAATAATGATTGCTCCAAGGTCGTTGAATGGGTTTGCTGCTAATTCATGCGTCATGTGCCGGATATGTGAAGGCTCAAGAGCCCGAAAGGGAAGAATGTTTTCGTGGATTTGGTCAAATTCGTCGATGATGATTGATGAATGATTCGTCGCAAATTCGTACCACTTGTCGAACCCTGGCGGAGGATGCTGTTGGTATCTTCTCTGATACTCGCGGACCGCGTCTGCTAGGGTTTTGCTTGCGCCAGCCTGCAATATATAATTATCATGGTTGATTTTCGCCTCATAGATCAGAGAGTCGATCGGATGCGTCTGATGAGAGTCGGGTTTGCTCAAAATCGAAGTGATGGTGACTGCACTGCAGACGAGAATCAGACCCTGCACTGCCGCATTGGCGCGAAGGAGAGCCTTAGTATCTTTTCCTGTGACAATTCTTGAACTGAAGAGCCATACAGCTCCGGCGGTGGATGCGATTATTGAAACTGAGGCGTGAACAGGCGACGCGGAAGGGAGAGCCATTTGACCATAGGGTAGCGTTGTGTACGTGGAGACAACAATGAAGGAGAAACCTCCCAATGTGCAAAGATCAAGGGGATTAAAGTGAGGTAGCTACAATATCACAAGTCAGTATCGATTCAAGAATTCACGAAGACCACACACAGCAACAAAAACTTACAATTTGCCAACCCCAGAATATGAAAGTCGTGCACAAGATCGCCTGGCCGACGGCACTTCGCAGATACCGACCGTCCAACAGAGACATTGCGCTTTGTTCCGGACGGCTGTTGCGAATATAATGGGAGGAAATTGTCCAGGTAACCGCAAGACTCTATGTATGATTCCCGAGTCAGTCTGTGACCGCCAAAAGCTTCCTACTTCGAATAGTGAGGCATACCACAAGGCCAGCCCCAAGTGAAAGATATGTCCGCTTCCTACGCGGTTCCTCAGAAACTTCAGTGAAAAGTATGAGGATCGCTGAGTCGAGTACCATATTGCACAACTGAACGATCTGCATATGGGCTGAATCCTTGAGGATGATTGGGCAGATATAAGTCGATCGGTTGCCGTAGCTTAGAGATGACGCCGCATAAGCGCCTGCAGAGATAAGTGATGCTCCCACAATTCCTTTCCATCGACCGTGCAGGAGCGTAGTGAAACCCCGCCGACAGGTCGATAACGCAATATTCGAGGACAAATTATGGAACAGCGTTTGTTGAAGTCCAGAATAGCCAGCTTTTGTGCCGAGATTGTGGCTTCCGAACAGCTCATATGTTGCAATGACGAAAGGAATTAGGTACTGCCCGGAGTGTAGGAGTTCCTGTCAGCCGTTGTCGCAGAGCTTCCAGTAAGGGAAGAGTGTAGCCTCACAGAATATCCGGCAGGTGCACATTCGTTATGAAGGGTTGCTTCTCGGAACAGCTCGATTCGCAACCCTAGCATCCCAAGTAGCGCACCAATCTTCCACTCAAGCCGCGGGGAAGCCGAGGATATATGACGTGCATCTGGGGCAGCATTCGAGGACGACTGCGATAGGAGCTCATAATGGTCACTAGCACTGGCGGCGTGCTTTCCATTCGGCGAGTTTGGTTGAGATACTGTCGCGACTAGACCAATCACCAAGAAAGTGATTCCCAACAGCAAGCAGACCAAGCTTGCCGTGGTGACGGGTTTATCTTGACCGAGTCTCATAGTCAGTAATTTGCGATACCACCACGTGCGCCGGTGTATAGAATGAGCCTACCAAAAGCGAAGGTGGAGTTGTAGCTTGCCCCAAGGAAGTAGGAACTGAAAACGAAACCTCTATGAATAACACTGGTGTCAGCAGCCATCTGAGTCCTCGCGATATCTCATCTTCAAGCGTAAAGTTGAACCGCTGATCCAGCCATGCGGACTCTCACCCAAGGCTAATCACTATGCCCGTGTCGGCATTTAGTTGGAGTGCTTGAAAAGGCATCATGTTCGAACACCGAGTTGACTACTTCTCTTGAGCAGTCATTACGCGCATGCTGTCGCTGACTCGGCCATTCCTCTAAACAGGTGCAGAAATGTTAGTAGGTCGAAGCGTGCGGGCGCAGTTGCGAAAAAAACATGGGAAGCTAGAACAAGAATAGCTCAGTGCACTCCTTAGAGGAACTAGGTGAAATTGCACCCCGGTGGATCCTGTGATTTGGTTGGAGTCGACTGACATGGTGAGTCTATTATTCCACGGTGGAGCTGGACACTGACCAGGGCCACCGGTACGTTTATCACTCGCTGTGGCTCTCCAGGCGCTCTCCAGATGCAGGGTCTGGATTTCCCTGTTGCGGCCGAGCGGGCGATAGCGTTGCGTTAAATCTCCTGGGCCCAGTACGAGTCCCAGAATATGACACCGGCGTGGCCCAGGATGGGGAATGATTTCCTCGGGCTCCCACCCCTGACTGGGTTGCGACCCTTCGAGGCGGTTTGCCAACCATGGAACAGCTTCAGCGCGATGGACCCCCGGACCAAGTAGTATCGTCATCGTCCAAGCACCTTAAACGCCATGATTGACACTCAAGCTCCCGGGTATATGGGCCCCGGATACGCACACAGAATGATTGGGATAGCCGACGCGTGCGTTCCTGGAGAGCAGTACAGAATCACAAGAACGCGCGATCAACGACAGAATCAAGTCGGAGGCCATGTCAGACTCCACTGGGCGCATTCAGTGCGTCAGGCTAACCCCGCGCAAGTGGTCTGAGCTTAGCTTAGTCGCACCAACCATAGCATCGAAGCAGATAAGCGGTATGGTACGCAAGCCCTGCGCTGTGTACAGAAAGGTTACGAGAAGAGCACTGCCACCGAGTGACCGACCACCCCTGCTAGATTGTGGTAGACAGCCAAGGCGACGAATATGGAAGCACTGAAAAAGAACGCATATAGACTACCCGGTGCGTGCGCCGTTCCGCGTCGGACGGATGGTGGCATTGAGGGTCCTCTGCAAGCCTGGGAAATAATGAATGCGGATACCGAACCGCGGCGAGTGCGACTCCGTGAAGCCTGGAGAGGTGGAAATCGGGAGGAAATAGACTCACGTGACTTGATCAAAGGCGAGATGGACGAACTGACCCGGCTTGTCAGACAAGCAAGTACACAGTTAACACACAGTAGTAGTACATAACTACATAATACATAGACTACCTGAGTAACTTAGCAGTAAGGTACCTCCGACGACTGTGCAAAGCTCATGACTGGAAGAATCATGTCTCCTATACCCTCTTTTCCTCCCTTATGTCTTGCACTCATGTGGAAAATCTCACAAGCACAGTAGCTCGAGAACCAAATGGCGTTCTTCTTATGTTTAGTGATGGACGATCTCGAACATATCTTCAGCCGACTTTCCAAGCTCTCCGATAAGGTTATGGAGCGACATATCCATTCTGAGCATGTTGCAAGATCTCTAAGTAGTCTGATAGATGGGCATGCGTATGTCGATCACCATCTCTAGCTGTAACCAACAGATCGTCAGGTACATGTCGATAGGCGGTATCCCTCGGCCCTGGACAAGTTCTGCCGTCGGACTTGAAGTATATCAGAGGTACTTCCCAAGAAGAAATGGTACTCAATCATCACTATAGTACAAGGTTTGAAGGTACACTCTTGTATGACTATCAACCATAAGATCAAGTACGCATCGCCCGTGCCCGCCCACCTGCAGGAAGGTTGGTCGGTGCCGCCGCCCGCGAACCTGACAACCACTGACACAAGCACTTCATCGCGGTTAACGTAATTCCCGGCCGTGTCGGTTACCCGGCCGTCCCGGTCACCCTCTCTAAAATCGCGTCTTTCTACCAACATACCTAATTTAACCACCTACTATGCCACTAATTCGTACTGAATCTAGCCATAAATTGGCTAGTCAAGAGGGCAGGATCTTATTAGCCCTTTCCGACCTAAAAAATGGCCGCGTCAAATCTCTCCGCGCAGCGGCTATCCTATACGAAATCCCGAAGTTAACACTGATCGACCGCGCTAAAGGGGTGGTTTGCCGCGTCGATTCTCGCCCTATAGGCTATAAATTAACCTAATTAGAAGAGGATTCGCTTACTAAATAGATTCTCTCTATAGATATATATAGAGTAGCGCCTAGGCTAGTAACTATAGGAGAAATAGCTAATATCCTTCTTACTACGCGCGGTAGCTATCCTCCGCCTACCGTTAGAAAGAATTAGCTATTAATCTTTATTAACTACCGCCCTAAGCTTCGTATACGCTTCTCGCGAAGATACGATTACTAAAGAGCCCTAAACGAAGATCCGAAATTAATTCGGTAGTAGTTCGCGACCGTATAAAGTATAATTAACGAGAACGGTATATAACCGGAGGATATCTATAACTTTGATAAGATAGGCTTTGTAATAGGCCTTATATCTTCGTAGAAAGTAGTTATAAGAGCTGAAAACTACGGTCGGAGGTCTCTTCTATAACTAGGAAATCGCGAATAGGTTACTGCTATCAAAGTAATCTACGTAGATAGCTATTTACTACCGCTATATATAGTCTTTAAAGGCAAAGTGGCTATTATAGGATAGTTTAACGAAAACCTACCGAAAGACTAGCGAATCGAGGTCTCTGCTAACGATTAGACTACCGATAAGATTAGCCTACGCTAGCTATAAAAGCTATTTATCCTATTAATAAATTCGCGTATACGTAGCCGGTTTCAGCTACTAATTCTTAACAGCTATAGTAGCTATCTTACGCCTTAATTCGATCGAATCTACGTAGATAACGATATTATATCTCTTTATATATCTATATATTTATTATATCTACTATAACTACTAGATATTAGGTATTTTATAGTAGTTAAGCGCGCGTACGGTCGCTTCGTTAGCGATCTTACGCGTAGAGGATATAACTATATCGATAAGTACGATTTCTTAGTAGATTACTAGTATATATAGCTAGAAGCCTTCTAATTAACTAATCCTACTATTAAAAATAGCTTCGTAGCTAGTAGTCTAGTACTATTAGATACCGAGAGAGTACTTAATAAGCTTAATATCTCTCTACGAACTCTAATACTACTAAATAGCTAGCTAAGTAGTAGATCTAGCTAATTTATACTAAAAACGCCTAGAACCGCTACTTAGCTATTTAAGTAAGCTTCGATATTAAAAGACCTACTAAAGCGACGTTTAAATAGCCTACTAAGTCTATTAAAAACTATACTAGACTAGCTTATTAAGGGTTACTATCTAGCGCTTTATAGTAGTATACTACTAGCAGAGGATAACGCGAATTTACGTATAGCGAATAAGAAGATAGTCAAAAAGCGTAATCGGTTAACTAAGAAGATACCCTGCGAAGAGGGTTTAACTATTAAAGAGGCTATATAGCTAGCTACGTAGCTAAACTAGCTAGAGGAAGATAATAGGGTTGATTCGTATAAACAGATCGATCTGCCTAATCAGCCGTGTCAACCGGTTAGGAGGGCTCCTCCTACCTGCAGTGGATATGGAGTAATTGGGCATAGGATCAATCAATGTAAGAATCGTTAGTAATAGCAAATTCTATGGGTGTTAATGGAAATAATCGATTTTGAAATTCTAAACTATGGTAGGGTGACCGGGACGGCCTGGTGACCGACACGGCCGGGAATTACGTTAGTCAGGCAGGCGGTGTATCAGTGAAAGCAATTCCGAGGAAGGCGGTCGCGGTAAGCAGTATGATTTTTTTTTCGGTCGCCCAGAATCTCTCGCGGCGAGCCCGGTCCCATTGGTCCTATCACGAAGAAAAGTCTTGAATTCAATTGTTGCGGGCAATTGATTGACTTGGGGAAACTGTTCGATCTCTTGACCTCACCACTACTCGAGAGAAAACGCAGCGCTCGACCACGAAACCAGCAACAGGCCCAACAACACTCGCGGGCAGATCCGCAATTTCACAATGCCGCGCAAAGCGATCGACTCGCGCATCCCGGCCCTAATTCGAAATGGTGTCCAGGAGAAGAAGCGCAGTTTCTTCGTTGTCGTCGGCGACCGGGCAAAGGATGTGATCGTTCACTTGCACTATATCATGTCCAGTGTGGATGTGAAGCAGAACAAATCGGTGCTCTGGGCATACAAGAAGGATCTGCTGGGCTTCACAAGTCACCGAAAGAAGCGCGAGAACAAGATTAAAAGGGAGGTCAAGCACGGAATCCGGGAACCGAATCAAGAAGATCCCTTCGAGCTCTTCATCACGCTGAACTCGATTCGTTATGTATACTACAAGGAAACAGAGAAGATTCTCGGTAACACATATGGCATGTGTATTCTGCAGGATTTCGAGGCCATCACCCCGAACTTGCTCGCCCGCACTATCGAGACGGTCGAAGGAGGAGGAATGGTTCTCCTGTTGCTGAAGAGCATGAAGAGCTTGAAACAGCTCTACACACTGTCCATGGATATCCACTCGCGCTACCGCACAGAAGCCCACGATGATGTAGTAGCTCGGTTCAACGAGCGCTTCATTCTGTCCCTCGGAAGCTGTGAGTCCTGTCTCGTTGTGGACGACGAGCTGAATGTACTTCCGATTTCCGGTGGAAAGAATGTCAAGCCGCTCCCTCCTCCCGAAACTACCGACGACTCGACCTCTGGAACCAAGAAGGAGCTCAAGGAGATCAAGGAGAGCCTGGCGGACGCCCAGCCCGTCGGTCCTCTGTTGAGCCTGGCACGCACCGTGGACCAGGCTAAGGCCCTGCTCACTTTTGTGGATGCCATCGCGGAAAAGACCCTGCGAAGTACCGTCGCGCTTACAGCCGGTCGTGGACGGGGTAAGTCCGCTGCCCTTGGCGTTGCTATTGCCGCGGCGATTGCGCATGGCTACAGCAATATCTTCATTACCTCTCCAAGTCCCGAAAACTTGAAGACCCTGTTCGAGTTCGTTTTCAAAGGGTTCGACGCATTGGGTTATCTCGACCATGTCGATTACACTATCCTGCAGTCCACCAACCCAGACTTCAATAAGGCTATTGTCCGTGTGAACATCCATCGCAACCACCGGCAGACCATCCAGTACATCCAACCCCAAGATGCGCATGTCCTCGGCCAGGCCGAACTTTTGGTCATCGATGAGGCTGCTGCTATTCCCCTGCCCCTTGTTCGCAAGCTCATGGGTCCATATCTGGTGTTCATGGCCTCCACAATCAATGGTTATGAGGGAACCGGTCGTTCTCTTTCCCTGAAGCTCATTCAGCAACTTCGTGAACAAGCTCGCGGTGGTATCAAGACCGCCGATGCCGATGTCGCCGACCGAAGCACTGGCAAGATCTCGAAGAATACGGACAAGAACCTTGCTGGTCGTTCTCTTCGTGAGATCACCCTCTCCGAGCCCATCCGTTATGCGCCCGGTGATTCGGTAGAGAAGTGGCTCAACAAGGTCTTGTGCCTTGATGCCACCTTGCCCAAGTCTCGCATGAACACCCAGGGTTGCCCGCACCCATCGCAGTGCCAGCTTCTCCAGGTCAACCGTGATACTCTTTTCTCGTTCCATCCAGTCTCTGAGAAATTCCTTCAGCAAATGATGGCCTTGTATGTTGCAAGCCACTACAAGAACACGCCTAACGATCTTCAACTCATGAGCGATGCTCCCGCTCACCAGCTATACGTTCTTGTTCCCCCAATTGATGAGGAAGCAACGAAACTCCCAGAGCCTCTTTGCGTGATTCAGGTCGCTCTTGAGGGACGTATCAGCAGGCAAAGCGTACTCAACAGTTTGAGCCGCGGTCAGCGTGCTGGTGGTGATCTCATTCCTTGGCTGGTGTCTCAGCAGTTCCAGGACGAAGACTTTGCGGGTCTCTCCGGAGCCCGTGTTGTGCGAATTGCGACCAACCCTGAATACGTTGGCATGGGTTACGGTTCCCGTGCTATGGAACTGCTGACCGATTTCTATGAGGGCAAGTTCACTAGCCTTGACGAAGGAACGGCTGGTACTCAAGAGGAAATGGTCCGTGTCACTGATGAGGAGCTCGCCAACTCTAATCTTCTTGACGATAATATTCACGTCCGGGACATCCGCTCTATGCCGCCCTTGTTTGGCAAATTGAGCGAGCGACGCCCCGACTCCCTAGACTACCTGGGTGTCAGCTATGGTCTCACTCCTTCCTTGCACAAGTTCTGGAAGAGATCTTCTTTCCACCCAGTATACTTGCGTCAGACTCCGAACGAGCTGACTGGCGAGCACTCCTGCGTGATGCTGCGTACTCTGGCTACTGGTGTCACCGATGCTAGCTGGCTGGGTGCCTTCTCCCGAGACTTCCACCGACGTTTCCTTGCGCTGCTCTCTTATCAATTCCGCGAGTTCCCTTCTGTTCTCTCCTTGAGTATCTGCGAGTCTGCCAATTCAGGGGCTAAGCTCGACTCCTCTACTGTTGTTCGTACTCTCAAGAAGACTGACCTGGATGCGGCGTTCTCCCCATTCGACCTCAAGCGACTGGACAGTTACGCCAACAACCTGCTTGACTATCATGTTATTCTGGATATGGTCCCCCTGATTGCCGAATACTACTTCGCAAACCGTCTTGCGGGCAAGGTCAGCCTTTCTGGCGTGCAGCAATCCATTCTGTTGGCCATCGGTCTGCAGCGCAAGAGCATGGATGATCTTGAAAAGGAGTTGAGTCTTCCTTCATCTCAACTTCTTGCCATGTTCCTTAAGATCATGCGGAAGATTTCCACACATTTCCGTGGTCTCGTTGAGGGTGCGGTTGCGGAGACTATGCCCACTGAGCGAATCACCGCCGATGCTGCCTCTGGGGCCCACGACGACCCGGTTGTCGAAGACCGATTCAAGCCCTTGGAGACTGGCCTTGATGATGAGCTGCGTGCGGGTGGTGAGGAAATTGACGAGGAGCTCCGGGAGAAGCAGCGTGCTCTGATTGACGCTCTTCCTCTTGACAAGTAAGTCTGCTGTTCGCCCTGGATGTCTGTACATGGTCCTTCGGATGAACAATAACTGATTCTTAGCCTTCAGATACGAAATTGATAACGGCTCGGCGTCGTGGGAGGATGCAGAGAAGCAGATACGCGCAGGCGGTGCCGCTACCGTCAGTGTCAAGACCAAGCAATCTAAGCGCAAGAAGGGCGAGACCGCTCGGGACATCTACGACAAGGAGATTGATTCCAAGCGTCAAAAGTTGATCAAGAAGGGTACCGAGGGTCGCAAGAAATAGACTTGTGCTTTCCAAAACAAAACTGGTGATCTGTCGGCGTTCCTCTGCATTTACTCCGGTGTTCTTATGGCTCTTCTTTTTCTACGTTTCCTCGAGGGGCACTTTACTCTCAACCTAGTCAAGCTACCTATTTGTCTCATGTATATAACAAATGACTGAATGTTTCATTCCGCCTAGATATTTGACAAATTGCTCGCCCGTGAAAAGGGATGCATATTCTTTCCACCGGTACAAAAGGTACTCCCGTCGCTAACCCATAGAGCTCAAGAGATCCTAACGAAAGAAGTTATCATCGAATAGTAGTTAAGTTGCACTGAGAGTTGAAAAGCGACTCAAAGCTCGTCATGCTCTGGCTCCTCCTTGGCTTCGTCCTCGGGATCGACCTGGGTTTCGGATTTTGCAGCCTCGACAGGAGCGTCTACAACAACACCTTCGGGGAGCTTCTCCTTGGCACCCTCGCCAAACCGAATTGCGTCGATCCACCCCTCAACAGGTGCAAGCCCGAAATCCTCTGCATTTGCGTAACGACGGAACCACCCGCGACGCGCATTTAGAGCAATGATCTCTACCGCATCAACCGAGCCTAATCCGAGCGACGTCCGCAGCGTGTGAGATGCGGAGTTCTCGGCAGGGACACCGTAGACCGGGAAGAGATTGGTACCGCGTCTGGCGTGCTTATGCACAACTTCAGATAAGCTGGCAAGTGCTTCGGTGGCAGTCAGTGGAAGCACAGCGTCGGGCTCTGCTAGCGCTGGGAGTAGGGCCAGAACGCAAGTATTGGACTTCGGGCTCAGACAACTCGATTCCAGAGACTCGGGGGTCGCCAGCGAAGGAATGGGAGGAGTAATTGGGACCGACGCGGGCTTGACTTCCGGAGTGGCTTCAGCAGCCGGTACTGTTTCTTCGTCATCAGGAACGACTGGGACTTTGGGAGCCCCCTTTGACGACTTAGACGACTTGGTCTTCTTGGATTTGGCTGCCGGCGAAGCAGGTTGGCCAGTTGCATCGGGGTTAGGTGAAGCGAACTGTTTGAGGAAGTCGGCGATAGGCTGCTTCTTCAGCTCGCCCTCATAGAGCTTTGACTCGCCATCGCTGCCAGGGAGGACGACCAGTGTTGGGAACTTGGAGACGCCGAACCTTTGCACCGATGCAGATTCTTTGTTGCGTACTTGAGCCACGTCAATGGCACCCAGGAAGTCAATCGCCAACGCACGGATCAAAGGAGTCGTGGTGCCCTTCTCCGTGAACAGAAGAGCCTTGGGCCGTTCCCCGTTCTGCTCCAACCACTGGTCCAAGTCTTTGTCCGTAACGCGCTTTACATGATTGGGAATGCGGTCCACCACGGCGTCAACGATTCCTTTGGCGCTGCGCGCACCCTGATAATCCTCGACACGGGGCTTGCCGGCCTTTTTGGACGGCGTCACGATCTTGATTGTAGGAAAGCCCTTGACGCCCATTTGACCGCAGAACGGCTTATTCTCATCCTCGTCGCAGTTCACCGCAGCAACCTTGGCCAAGCCTTTCAGGTTCTGAGCCGCTTTCTCGTAGGCAGGCTTGAGGTTTTGACAGTGACCACACCAGGGAGCGTAGAACCTAGCAAGGAGACAGTCGGTCAGCGACGGCGATGCTCTGACAAAGATTGGGGCCTTATCGTGATTGTGCCGTGCGGGGAAAGCGCTTACTCGACGACCTGAGATATTCGAAGAAGCTGGTGTTAGTTACGTGTTGCGCTCTCGAATCGCGGGTCTCCTGCTGCTGGCCCTTACCGAGGTGTAGTTGGAATCCGCAATCAGCGACCCATAAGTCTTCTGATTCAGCTGGAGAACAGGTGAATTCTTCGTGTAGAAGGCGTGGACTGGCAACGCGGCCAGCAATGGGGCGAGGATCAACAATGAGCTTTGCGGCAACATTTTTAAGAGAGCAATATACTCGCAATAAACCTTGTGGTGGGTGTGAAATAAGAAAAGACGCCCACTTGGCTTCAACGACCGTCAGCCCTTTTGAAGGCCAAGAGACCAGAGCTTTGAAAATATTGCCAGATCAGCCAAAATTGTCTAGGCCAATTAGGAGAAGTTGAACAAAGAAGGCTGCAGCGCCCAACTCTGTTTCGCAAGGTGTCCTGAAGCTCTTGGCGTGCGGAGAGAGAAGCTTCTCCAATTCGGAAAAGCTCCCGCGTACTTTATTTGGATCTCTTCTGGAGCATTCGATCCGGCAAAACAATCGTTCTTAAACTGGAGCTTTGGGACTGATGTATGTAAAGAACTCAGACAACCAAAGACTGGCGTTTATTTGATCTATTTGGTGGAAGCTTCGTACAAATTGAATGACCCATAAGTAGAAGTATGCACTATGCAGTATTTACTATATCTCTGGTCTTCCATTCCCCTAGCTGTGTAGCACCATGACCCGATTGTTCATGCCACGAAGTACACGGTTACCCGCATATAGTGAAGCCCGAGGTTGCGCGCCCGACATTTCAGTACAACAAATCCGGAAACAGAAGAGCAACACTTCAGAGCAAGTTACGAAATTTATTCAGGCTGCGTTCGAGCACCTTGTATAAGATCCAGAGTGAAACTTGGGCAGAGGTAAACAAGAAAATGGATGGCGCTCCAATAGGATGAACCGAAGTAACTAGCAGACGCTGGATATACACCTCGACCGACGTGCGTCTCTTGCTCGTTACGGACATCAAGCCCAGAAATTTATCGCTTCGTCTCTACGGAAATGAACCCCAAACAAACCGATCTACGAAGAATGAAAGTTCCCCCGTTCGAGCAAGGTTGTTTATATTCAGACACTAAGTAGTATTTGAGCACCGTCACCTTCGAATCATGTCGCTTGAGATCACACAGACCCTTTGGCGGAGTCCGTGGATCATGCTGTCAATATCACCCGAGTGGTATCTCCCCAGACAGTAGCATCGGTCAAAAGTCTTGTGAGATTGTGCGAGATACGACTATTGACATCGAACACACCGGACGACTTTGCAGCCCTGGCAGCAAAGAATGAAAAGGGGCTTCCAAAGATGACAGTTGCTACATTCGATATGACCATACTCTTTGTCCCATGCCTCGGTGCAAATGTGACGAGAGTCGCCACATCCCTGGCTTGATTTCTCAAGTGCAGGATAGAGGCGGGCGGTCTTCGAACAGTGGTAGACAGCATCCAGAACCAGCCCTCTGAGTTCCTCACTCAAGTCTTTTTCTGTGTAATGTCCATCTGGATCAGCGAGCTTTGACTTGAAGAATTGCACAAGGAAGCTGGGGGGCCATCGAGTATTGGAGGAGAGCTGAGCACGAGAACAGACTTCGTCGGTGGGTACCATCATGGCCTCCACTGACCTGGGCTTGTCATGTGTGTTAGCTGTGCCTAAACACGCAGCATTGGGAGGCTCTGTACAAGAAGCTGTACAAGCTGTACAAGCTGTCGAACGGCCGGTGGTCTGGGCCATCACGGCCTCGTTAGGTAGCAAAGCATCAGTGTATTGACGCGCACTGACATTGAGCTTGACGCTTGCATGATGTGAACGGACGAATTGTGGTCTGTGACTTTGCCACGAGTAGAATCGCTCTAGAAGCTTTCCACTGTCAATTGGGCTCAGTTGTTCGTTTTGGTCGATGCTTGGATCGGCAGACCCTGAGGAGCGAGAACCACGGGGCACCACTTCGTCAAACTCAGCTGATGCATGCCGAGGCTTGGCTCCCTTCGAAGACGCAGTGCTGTTCCTGCCGGACGAATTCTTTGAAAACTCACGACCAGAAGAGTGAGCTTGAGCATTTGTGAATCGACTTGAACTTGCTTCAGACTTAGACGTGTTATGCTGCTTCGCTGCGAAAAAGTTGTTCCCGGTTGAACGAGGATGAGTGGGATACTTATTGAAGTCCATGGCATGAGCAGCACGTCTAAGCATAGCGTCCTGCCGAAGGCGTCGTTCCTCGTCAACTTTCATCATCATTTCCCGGTATCGAGCATCCTCAGCCTGTTGCTGGAGACGAAGCTCTTCTACCCGTCGGACCTTCTCAAGAACGCTCGCCACATGATCTGTACGACCACCGCCACGGCAGCGAGCCTCAGTGCGGGAAGTGTGAGAGAAAGCAGAGTACTGAGCAGTACCACTGTTCTGGCCCGTCTTCCTGGCTGCGCTTGGCATTCTTTTCTCCAACTCGGAGTCAAATTTGCGGCGCAGAGTAGGGCTCCGAAGCGTCTCAATAGCCCTCAGTCCCTGTTATAATCGACCTGTCAACCAGAGCTCCGTCGGCAGTAACTGAAATCGAATAAAGCACATGCAAGCTTGAGCGTAAGCGCTTGACTAACCTTCTGGAATTCAGCAGTGGCCTGTGAGCTTTCACTTTTGTCCGGATGATTTCTGAGAGCGAACTGTTTCCAGGCCTTGTTCAACTCATGCAGAGTCGCATTCGCCTCGACACCTAGCACGGCATAATGATTGACGAATTGCGAATCAGATGCCATCTTAACGAGGAAGAATTCAGTGGTCGAACGAGAGTGGCAGGGATTCAGCCAGTATGTGAGCGTGTATGCTAGTTGCAACTTTGAAAAGTAAATGCGGAGAATGATCCAGAAATCGAAAGGATGTTGAGAAGCGAGATACGAGAAGGAGCAAGATGCGAAAAGGACAGAAGCTGGTATGAGATGAGGGTGGGAAGAGGAGTAGAAGAAGCGACAAAAACTCAAGGCGGAGAGAGATCTTTGGCATCAGGGTGAGAAAAGCGATAGTCGTGTATCAGATTTCACGAGAGGAAGATGGGACGTAACGCCTTTCCACCGCGCATGAACGTCTGTGGATACAATCCTGTAGTCATAATCCCAGGCATGATGTCGCGAGAACCTTGCTCACCGAATAATTTGTGACATGCGTGGTGATCCTTCAAGCCTACAGAGACACTTGCCAAATATCATATCGAATGTTGCATCATTGAGAAAGCACAAAGGGAAACGGAATGGATTGACACTGATTTTACAAAAACCTCTTAGTTGACCTATATATCAACACGTCTACAATGTGAGTAAACTCGACCAACGGAAGCACATAGACACTTTTACATGTCGGCAGAGGCGGTGGCACCGGTAATAATCTCAACCAGCTCACCGGTAATGGCGGCTTGACGCTGACGGTTGTAGAGGATCTGGAACTTGTTGATCATCTCACCAGCGTTCTTGGAAGCGTTCTCCATGGCGTTGCGACGGGCCTGGGATAAAGTTAGTTCTGGTTTGCAATGAAAAAGATTGATACTGCCGCGCGCAGGCGTCAGGTAGGGGAAGACATACAGAAATTTCGCAAGCGTGACCTTCGGCCATAGCCCAGAAGAGGTTGTTGGCAAGAGCATACTCGCGCAGAAGAGCAAGGGCCTCATCATCAATCTCGTAAGCGGAGATGTTGGCTACCGGACACGAATGTAAGCACAGGTAAGCTAGATGGGATGTTGGAGCCTTTGTGCAGACTTACCGGACTGAGTGATGGCCTCCTCGGAGAATGCCTCAACAGTGGTGGGCTCGTAGCTCTGAGCATTGATAAACTTGTTGTAGATGATCTTGACGCTCGCGTAGTCGGTAGGGAGCAAAGAGATCTGGTCGGCAATAGCCTGGGCATCGGCAAAGGTGGGAATGTCCTTGCACACATTGGCGAAGCTCATGACGATGTTCTGAGGAGAGGCACGGGACAGCTGGGCCTTAGCCTTCTCACCGAGGATGACAACATCGGCTTCAGGGTTCTGAGCGAGCAGGCGACGGGTAGCCTTGGAGAGACCGGAGTGAATACCACCGCAGAGACCCTTGTCGGAACTGGCCACGACGTACAGAGTCTTCTTGTCCTCCACAGGCTTGGTCTCGGCTTGCTCGAAAACAGTGTTGGAGGTCTTTCCGTAGTTGCGGGATTCATCCATAGCCTTCTGGGCGCGGGTGAGACGGGTCGAGGCAACGATCTTCATGGTGTTGGTGATCTTCTCAATGTTCTTGATGGACTTGAGGCGACCCTCGATCTCACGCAGAGTCGCGAAGTTGGCGGCATTGGCCGGGGTAGCACTTTTGCGAATATCAGCACCCAAATTTCCCTTTACCATCACACAGCTGAAAGTATCTCATGATCACGGGTGTTCCGGCGAACTTGTCAGGCTTCTCAGGTGAAAGGACCTGCCGACGAGGCGGACATTGAAGAGGACTTACCGTGCGACAGCAGAGCTACCGGCCCGGACGGCCGGACGGACGGCACGAGAGAACATTGCGAAGATATTGAAAGACGCTATAGAGCAGAAACGGACTGCAAAAGAAGAAGGAGGGGGAGCAGAGCTGTGTTGCAGAGGCCTCGCTGTGCTGTCTTAGCTGGGACAGTCGGGAAGTGCGAAGTCGAACTCCTGGTTGCCGTTTACGCTAAACCCAAACGAGACACCCTCTACGGTGCGCGATTCCGACTTCCGGCGTAATTTTCAGCTTGAATGCCTTGTATATCAGGCCTGAAATTGAGAGGGTTTGTGTACGTCATGCCTGACTGTCCAGGCAGCCACACGGGTAAATCTGGAACAGTGGTTTGCGGCCTCAGGCAGTATGAGGTCAAGGCCTCGTTTTCCACTGCATTCCCTCCATTCCTCTGACCCCCAAACTTTCCGACCTTCTTCCCTTCTTTACTTCGTTTTCAAACTGGTGACCCGGTCGTCTTACCTCTCTTCGAGCTCCCTGACCCCAGGAATTCGGTCCAGCGCTTCATTGAGCCTTCTAGTTCTCACCGAGCTAGTCCACCCTCTTCATTGGTCAGAATTTACCTGACTACGTCTGTCTATCAAGCGGCTCGATCTGCGCGACTCGGCGCACGAGGGTTTAGACTCAACACTCGTACTCGGCTCTTGACTTATCTTTCACCTCTTAATACCCCTCGTACCCAGCTTGGCATCATGAGTTCGTCTGAGGACGACATTCCGCTTGTTCGCGCCAATGGCCGCGCCAAAGGTGAGCTTTCCCTGCGTGTCTCTGCAGCCTGTGCGCTCTTCGGCTACAATCTCGTTTTATCTTCGATGTACGATGGCGAGATAATGGTTCCACTTCACGTCTGATTTTGCTTGAGCCGGACCTCACTCTTAGCTCTCTTACCCTGCTCTGAACAAGTACACCCTGCATTTAGCGGGAGCAAAGCTAACGTGACCAATAATTTCCTCCAGCAAATGCGTCTCTGACCAAGTCACCTGCGACGAACGGCGACCTGGACCCGGGCATGTCAATCCGCTTTGGTCCTGTGCGAGACAAAGACGAAGAGATGAAGGATGCGGATGCGCCTGTCGCAGCCAAGCGCAAGTCGCGGAGCAGCATTCAGGCGAAATCATACGCGGAAGCTGAAAGTAGCGAGGAAGATCAGCCTTTGGTATGCTTGGTCCCGCATGGTGGAACATGATCTACGAGCCAAGCGGCTCTTCTGGTTTCAGCGACTGACCATTCGCAGAGCAAACGTCGGCGCAAATCGATCAAACATGAAGACCCCGAATCCGAATCCGATGTTCCTCTCGCCCTGAATGGGCGAAAACTGCCGAAAGCTTCAGAGACAGCCGTGGGCGACGGATCAGACTCGGATGTCCCCATTGAACGGAACTTAGCCTCGCAGAAGAAGAAGATCGAGAAACGGGCGGAGAAAGTTGCTATCGACTCGCGCAAGGCTGCGACTGCGAAAGCCAAGGCCCCTCCTGTCAACAAGAAGCAAACCAATGGTGTGAAAAAGGAAGCAAACGATGACAGGTCTTCGTTAAAGAAGGTCAAGGCCGAACCAGCCTCTAAGAAAAGCCGAGCGAAAGTCAAGGCAGAAAGCGAGGATGTGGAAGATGGTGAGGAAGAGTACCGTTGGTGGGAGGATCCCACTAAAGGTGATGGCACCAAGAAATGGACTACTCTTGAGCACAACGGGGTGGTCTTCCCTCCGCCATATGAACCCCTTCCGCAGAATGTCAAGATGAAGTACGACGGCGTGCCTGTTAGTCTGCATCCTGAGGCTGAAGAGGTCGCTGGTTTCTTCGGAAGCATGCTGAACTCGACACACAATGTGGAGAACCCTGTGTTCCAAAAGAACTTTTTCATGGACTTCAAGGAAATTCTGAAGAAGACGGGCGGCGCCAAGGACTCGAAGGGCAACAAGGTCGACATCAAAGAGTTTGCCAAGTGTGACTTCAAGCCTATCTTCGAATACTATGACGCTCAACGTGAGGCAAAGCGAAACATGCCCGCCGCCGAGAAGAAGCGTCTGAAGGCTGAGAAAGACGAGCAAGAAGCACCGTACATGACCTGCATTTGGGATGGTCGCCCGCAGAAAGTCGGTAACTTCCGCGTGGAACCGCCTTCACTCTTCCGTGGTCGAGGTGAACATCCGAAAACTGGTCATGTGAAGACTCGTGTCCAGCCCGAACAAGTTACGATCAACATCGGGAAAGAGGCTAAGGTCCCTCCGCCACCTCCCGGCCACAAGTGGAAAGAAGTGAAGCACGACCAGGAGGGTACATGGCTTGCTATGTGGCAGGAGAACATCAACGGTAACTACAAATACGTGATGCTGGCCGCGAACTCCGACGTCAAGGGTCAAAGCGACTACAAGAAGTTCGAAAAGGCTCGAGAGCTCAAGAAACACATTGATAAGATCCGCAAAGATTACACCAAGAACATGAAGAGTGATCTCATGGTTGAGCGTCAAAAGGCAACTGCTGTCTACCTCATTGACAAATTTGCTCTTCGTGCGGGTAACGAGAAGGGCGAAGATGAGGCCGAGACAGTGGGTTGCTGCTCACTGAAGTACGAGAACATTACTCTGAAGCCTCCCAACATCGTCGTCTTTGATTTCTTGGGTAAGGACAGTATCCGTTTCTATGACGAGGTGACTGTGGATCCTCAGGTCTTCAAAAACCTCAAAATTTTCAAGAAGGCCCCAAAGAAGAATGGAGATGAGATTTTCGACCGATTGACTGTGAGGAACCGGAATTCCCCTCCTCCAATTCCATTTACTAACTCTGCACAGACTTCCGCTCTAAACAAGCATCTTCAGAATTACATGACTGGATTGACCGCAAAAGTGTTCCGTACCTACAACGCTTCTTTTACAATGAGTGAACTGCTGAAGGACATGAAAGCCGCCGGAACTATTCCCGAAAAGATCAAAGCTTACAACGACGCAAATCGACGAGTCGCCATCCTCTGTAACCACAAGAGAACCGTTGGCGCGGCCCATGCAAACCAGATGGAGAAGATGAGTGAACGCGTAAGGCTCAGATGGAATGATGTTAAGAGTAACAGAGCTAACGAAGATTTTCATAATTCAGATTAAAGGGCTCCGCTACGAAAGGTGGCGCCTCAAGATGCAGATGCTTGACTTGGAGCCCAGCTTGAAAAAAAGAGGGGTGCAGCCTTCTTCCAACTCGATGAGGATTTGTCACTCGATTGGGTCAAGGACTATCAAGCTTACAAGGTTGACGAGTTGAAGCAAAAGATCACTAAGAAATTTGAGAAGGACAATGAGAAGTTAGTCGCGGACGGCGAGAAGGAATTAAAGGCGTCCGAGCTCAACGAACGACTAAGCGCTGTCAAAGAACTCGAGAAGAAGTACAGCAAAGAGAACAAGACTGGAAAGGTTGAGGCTGAGGGCCGCGCGCCTACGATCGAGAAAATCGAAGCAAATATCCAGAAAATGGAGCAACGCATCGATGCTATGGTTCTTCAGGCGCAGGACAAAGAGGAAAACAAGGAGGTTGCTTTGGGTACATCGAAAATCGTACGTTCCTCTTTACTTGGACTGCTCGGTGCAGATGGCTAACCTCATGGTATAGAACTACATCGACCCACGCCTCACGGTCGTTTTCAGCAAGAAGTTCAACGTCCCAATTGAGCGATTCTTTTCCAAGGCGCTACGTGAGAAGTTCGAATGGGCTATCAAGTCTGTTGACGAGAATTGGGAGTTTTGATCGTTCTGTTCTTGCTTTCGATATTTGCTTTCAATCGCAAGTCCTGACATGCTGAAGTTCGCATAGTTGACTGCACATTGGATCGGCTGCAGATAGTTTTGGGGCCTTTTGTGCCGATTTTTCGGCTATGTTCCTCGTTCCTGCGTCTCATTGTCTTGCCACGTTTTGAAAAGTTGCCCTGCTCCCACTGGCCTACGCGTTAGGCATAGACAGGCATTGCATTACCCATCACACAATGCACCATCGCATCCCCTGTTGCAGGCAAAGTCTCTGCGAAGTCACATACACCATGACTTTACCGCTATTGAAGATGCGGTTGTATATTTTTTCGACTTGATCCATGGTGCTTTTTATTGTTTCCTGCCATTAGCCTTATCGTCTTTTGATCGTCATTATTCAGCTCCGAAGCCAGACTAGATGAACGCAATGCATTCTATACCCTGCGTCCCCTACGAAGTATCAGTGGCGAGCTCACAGTAGCCCTTCAAGGGGGGAGTATTTGGCGAGCGACACAGACTCATGTTCATCGACGATGTGTCGCCGACATCCACTCCAGTGTTCAACATCATATATGATCCTCTAGAGCTACGAACATAGAGTAAGTGAGCGGTCGAGATAGCTAGGTACGGGTCAAAACTGTGACGCAACTTCGTTCAACTAAGACACTCAGATGTAGGATGACATTGAAACAGAACCCAACGGTGCAATCGAATATCCAATAGATGCCCGTACCCTTCTCAACTGACATAGCGAAATGAAAGCCTCTTCCTGATGCACGAAGCGCCGCTTTCCACCACTAGCTCTTACATAGATAAACGCGTGATAAGTCTCCGTTTCGCCCATTATCAGCTGAAGAAACCATCCAAACTCTCCAGTGATCCCTTATGATTTCAATATGAGATGAAGCCCTCTGTCGAGGATCTATCCGTCGGTCATTTCCAAATCTCCAGCGAATACCATGTCATCGGTTGCGAGTGCACTCACCACACGCGTATTTGTTATTCCCAGTCCAAACGGAACCCGGCTCTGAGTGTGTGGCCCTTGAGCCCGCAATTTCGGACATTTCGTTGTGGTGATAAATGAGGACACATGAGGCAAGATTTCAATGTCGTTGGGCATATCTGCGTTACTCAGTTATCAGCACAAGATGAATGTTCTTCATTTTCGAAAGAAAGGTGTTCATTACCGACACTGCCACTCTGGGTCCATTGACAATGACTATTTGTCACGTTTCTCAGCATTCGAGGATACTCATACAATGAATCCAACCATGACGGATAAGTGCCCATAGAATCACATGGCCACTTCGATAACACTTGATGCATTTTGGATCTAATCATCAGAAGTGCCAAGAAAGTGAAGGTGTATTGATGTTGTGACTCACATTCAGACGAGTTGAGTTCGAGGTGTTAAAACACGAGAAGTTTTCATTCGTTGGAATAATGTTGAGGCCTTCGCGGGCCTCACGCTCTCACTGCACACTCAGAATGGGGTCAGCCATGATTTGACTTGTGAACTAGCTGAGCTTGACTTCTGTTTAACTAACCATCGCAGATATGGGTCGGATGAACATTGCTTATTCTTGGATGGCTGGTGTTAGAGAAATCGTCAGTGAAACCGGAACCCGTGAGAGGTCATGATTCGTTCAGAGCTTTGTAAGGCCCAACTGAGGGGTGAAGCACTCACTTTCCGTAAGCATATCCTCACTCATCCGGACGCCAGCCAGTTCAGCTTAGCAAACGAGTCGACCTTGGCGGTCTAAGTGAACTGTCTCCAGCCAGACACCGTTTTTGTCGCTGAACTGTACGGTCATGTGCTCAGGCGCGTGGTGGTCCTGGCCGCCGCTGTGCCAGACTTCGTAGCCTCTTATCAAAATAGGTTAGCATTAGATTCGAGTCAGATCCTTCGCAGGGAATCGTCGACAAATGTACTTACAACTGAGCCGGCGTCCGGCGAACGAGTGCAACGTGGTGATCTGGGCGGTTTGCCATGTAAACTTTACATGCCTCCTCCGCGGAGGCATCACTCCTCCCATCGTGGGAGAAGAGGATCACTGGAGGAGGCTTGAAAATGGGGCTGCAGTCTGCCGGCCGGTACCTCGGACGCGGCATATCGTGGATTTTAGAATGTGGCCTCTGGAGGCCAGGGGACGCGAGCTGGAAGACATGGTGAAGGCTGTGAGTTGGAAGAAGGAAGAAAGAGAAGTGGAAGGGGGACACGGCTTAAATACCTTTGTAGGAAGAAGGGAAGGCCTTGGATCCAGCGAGAATGGACTGGGCTTCGAACCCACTGGCGTGAAGCCTGACGATTATGGAGCTTTGGTGTATGCTGGAGGTGGGATGTATGAGTATGCCGCAGCCAAATGCTGCGGTGAGAATGGACGCTTCGAGGAGCAGCAAGAGCTGTATTGTCCGCACAACAAGATCTGGGTGTTGAGAAGTGTAAAGTGTGGAACAACAATAGATTGACAATAAACGTGTTGAGGAACGCCTAGGCTCCCACCAGACGTGACGGGTCTCCACGAGACAAACACATGAGTGGTAGGTCAACCAGGACGCATTTTTGCTCGTGTGTCTTCATGACAGACATTATTTACTCCGTGGGCCAGAGCAACGCTGACTATCAAGTATTCGGCTCAAGCATCATTGTTTCAATTAGTGTCAAAGTGTCCGAGTGTCTGATCGCGGTTGGAAACTTCGAGTACAGAATCACAATAATGAAACACGTAGACTCTTCGAGATACTCATGGCATACGTGTGGTCTGATCTTCAGAGCCACCTCGGAGATTTGCTGGGTATGTGTTACTGCTGTAAACACTCGTAATAGAAGCCTACAGAAACACCTGCCATGAACACTTTGGTGTGAAATCCCAATCATGAGAGGAGTCGAGACCGCGTTTGTAGAAGGCCAGCGAAAATGAAATGATTCCTTGGACTATCTTCCGTGCCATTTCTGACAAATCGAGCCCCCGGTATTCCATATCAAAATTCACCAACGCATGCGTTCCTGGGACCACAAGCAGGTAGGGTACACCCATAAGAACGGTCATGTTTACGCATTGCTAATGAACACGTACTTGCTCTAGTACCACTAACAACTCTAACTATAACACAACGAGAATCTCGCTTCGTATTGAAATTCATTGATATGAAAAATACGAAATGACAGCACAATGTTGACCGGGTAACAAAGTTCATATCAGATCAGCAGAACCACAACAGTCCGTGTGCCAAGAGCCTTCTCGTTTCTGCGAGGTTCTAGCAGCTTTCAGCAATAGTCAACAATGCAAATTTCATACTATTTCATATTGGACAAAGCCCCTTCTTGCTCACTTTTCATTTTGCTGTTATCATCACAGCACTTACCGCCGTGTTGTTCTGGCGGATAAAAATCCCGAGGGTCAAAATAAGGTTAACGGGTGAGCACAATCCATGGTGGTCCCTGATTGGGCCGCGCCAGGTGAACCTCTCAATCCGGGGGCATCAAGTTATGTTGTCGTGTCGTGAACGCGGAGAAACCGCCATCGGTGCCAAATGTGTCATGTGCCCAACGTGTCAAAGTATACAAGACAATGTGGCACAGACGCGTGCTCGCGTCGGGGCTCCTGATACTTTCCATTTGACCCATGTGGTGGCCACCAGATGCACGCTCTGATAAACAATCTTGATCTGATAAGACTGATCTCTCTGTACCACACCAAGACGTTCGTCGAATGAAGAAATGGAAAACCGAGAGCTAAGATATTATCCACATGGGAAACACCCCTCGGCAACATTATTGATCATGGACAATTCAAACTTCGCGTATCACATGTACTCTGGATCTACTGGAGATTTCTCTCCACAGCTCGGGGGATGTGACAGTGCTCGTCGGGCCAATGGGGTTCGCAACCTTACACGATCAAGCCATGCTATTTCGTGTTCATGAACGATAATAGATCCAAGGACTTTTCTAGATGGACCCTCCCGCTTCTTTTGGTACAAACCACATGGAACCTAAGGTTGGACCTGCCGACCCAACAACCATTTCTCCACTAGGGTCATGTACGAGAAACCTTCACCTGATCTGTGAGATCAAAGCTTCCTCCGGCACCTTCATCTACAATAAACTTCTTCCAAGACTATCAACCGTCATTTCATGTACTACATGAAGCGTAAAGAGAATCATACGAAGGCTCCGGAGGCTTGAGCTCTCTACAAAACGCAGGTGCGGCTACGGAACCCGCCGAACAAGATGGTACGCAAAACGTCAATTCAGTACATGCCATGACTCATCTCTCAAGGCATATGCTAATCAATATCAGTGCGCATGAATCAGATGAGTCGAGCACATCATCTGGAAGGCGCACTTCAATGTTGAGGTTCTCAGTTCCAAACCTCAGGCTTTGAACTTATAACCATAGTGCATGATGAGGAGGAACTGTAGGGACTAAAACTTTAGTGAGGGTCAGTAGGTCTTTGAATAAGATTCATGAGGATCTCAGATGGAGTTCAGCAGATGCCCAGCAATCCCTTTCTCAAAGGTAGTCAAGGAACATCAGTAATTGTACCACTTGGTCACCCGCAGCATTTGGGTACTATGTGGATGAGATGTTAGCAATTGATAAGGTAGGTGTCGTTGTGTACTAGATTCAAATGCTTTGGCGGGACAGTAAACCCATCAATCTAACCTGTCGGAATATCGGATCTCGGTATCGCATCAATTTCGTCTGTTGGACACCTGGTCATGGTTACGGGATAATCGCTTGATGCTACTATTAAAGTCAAAATGAGACTAACAAGTGCTCGGACTAGGGCATGCGCATTGCGATGGATCTCGGGATCGTCATCAGCACAAAGACTTATTTTCCAACCGAAGGAGCAATGATAGGCTGGCATGCCTGGAAGTCTCTCAGATTCAGGTTATGTTTTAAAATACAGACATCAATTACCACCCGAGTATCAACATAGACCGAAGACCATGTGGATGACACTTTTGATAATACTGAACTGGCCGAATTAGGAACGGCAAAAGCGAGGACCAAAGATTTAGAAGATGGCTCAATATGCAATCACACGGGCTCAAAAAAGAATGAAGAGAGAAAGGAAACAGCCCAGCAGGAACGGAACCCCGCTAGCAAAATAAACAGAAGATGGATATAGAAATGTGCAAAAATGGCTGAAAATCGCGAACCCTCCAACGTCGCTGATCCAGGCGGCGAGTACGCGAAGCTAATCCAAGCATGCAAATCGAGACGAGGCTCGAGTTCGCATATTGCATAGCGAGCAGCACTGCGGGATGTGTCCTCGTGAAGGAGTCCAAAATGAAAAGTCTAGGAAGAAAAGAGAGAGAGAGAGAGAGAGAGAGACCGCGCTCAACAGTGGAATTTTGACCATCGAGGTTGGTGAGAGTCGTTTGAGAGCGGAAGAAAAATAGCTCTTTATCAGGTAAATGCGAGGGCCGGAGAATGCGACACATCGTCGCGACATCTTTGAGTTGGGGACAAGCCCGGGTCGTCGAAACGCAAAGAAGAGGCATCGTCATTCATCCGAAAAAATTGGTTTGTTGGGTGATGGACATTGAAAAGAGTTGTCCTTTCAAGGCCACCATCCCATCCGTTTGTAACTCTCAACCATCTCGCGAACACTATCTGTTCCAAACTGTTCGTACTTTGGCTTCCAGTTCACCGTCGACTCGAATAAAGAGCCGTCGATAGACATGTCTTGATCCTTCAACACATCGAGTTCCAGGAAGGGACCGATAGGTCCCGGCCGCTCAATCTTGCTCTTTGCTACCAAGTCGGCCCATTCTTGGAGACTGACCTCGTTCATGTCGTCTACCACATCATCGAGATTCAGTTTTGCCAGTTGCGAAGCGAGGGAACCGAGGAAGGAGACCTTGAGGTCAAAGACCTCGGCCATAGCGCTGGCAATGTGCTTCTGAGAGGTGTCATTGTGATCGACAACATTGAAACAAATTGGCATATTGGGGTCCTTGAAGAGAGACGGCAGTGATCCGCCGCTACGGTCGAATTTCCCCTGTTTGGAGCGCCACTCCGCAGCCGCCCACAGAGCGGTGGCCGCATCCTTGACGTGCAGGGTGTTGACCTTGACGTCCTTCGTGTACAGGAACTGGAGATCCTGTTCCATCTCCTTGTGGACTCGGGCCAGACAGATGGCCATTGCGAAGTATCCGGTATTATAAGCGCCGTAGACATGCGGCAAACGGAGCGCACAGTATTGTAATCCGGGAATCTTCAACAATTCGTCGCCTGCCTTGAGCTTCCACTTGGCCAACTTGTGCCATGGCTGCATCTTATCGGCTTCCTTTCGCGGCGATGATCCGCTTTTGTAGACGTGCGCCGTTGAACATTCGACAAAGGCGGGGATTCCACGCTTCGCGCATTCATGACCGAGAGACACGCTGAGTTGGCAGCTGCGGGCTTCGTATACGTCGTCGGGCTGGGAATGGCGAGTCTCACCCCCGCAGTTGAAGACAAAGTCGAATTGTTCGCCATTGGCGCGGTCGAAGATTCGAGGAAGGTGTTCTGAAGTGGCGAAAGCGGCAGTGTGAGTTTGATATACACCCAGTCATGTTCGAGAGGGTCGAGTCGCTGGAGGCAGATGAGGTCGAGGGGGGGGGGTTCATCGTGTCCACTTACGTTCCCGGCTGGCGTCCGCCTGGACAAATTTATCCTTGGAGCATGCTTCTTCGAATTCAGGAGCCAACCATGCCAATTGAGGTAAGACTTTGTCCACTATGCGGACCTCCGAAGCTAGATTGTTTTCGTGAATGTGAAGGGCGAGGTGACGACCAATAAAGCCTGAAATATGAATTGCTCCATGTTAGCCCCGTCAAGTATGTTTGCTGGCCAAAAAGAGCTGCTCCTTGTGCAGACTAGTGCGGAGATGTCCTTCGCGCCAGGTAGGGTGTTGGGGAGGGAAAGTTAAGATGGCACATACCGAGGCCACCGACAATCAGGACGGCGGGTTTCTTGGAGTCGGCCATAGCGGAAAGGGTCGCGCGGATGTGGTGGTTTAGTCGCGGCGGCCCGCAGCTGGAGGTTCCAGAGATACCGGAGGAGAAGGGGGGGGGGGGGGGGGGAAGGGGGGTCAAAGGGGGAGACCTCGACAAAAAGATCAGAGGGAAGAGGGAATGGCGAAAAGGAGGGAGAGAGAGGCGTGAGAATCTACAAATTTGGAGGTCAAGACGAAGGAAAGGAAGAGGCCAAGAGTATTGGAGAAGGATTGAAGAAAAGACCAAAGAGGTTGGCAGACGAGAGGGTTCTCCAAAAGGAGGCAGAGGCGGGGTGGACGGTGATGGGAACGTCGGCCACGGAGAAGGAGGAGGAGGAGAGGAGGAGGAGTTCGGTCCGCAACTCCGTCAAAGATTTCCAGAAGGATGTTAAGGATGTGAAAGGGGGATAGACTACTGCTCTTCGATCTTGACGTTTTGAATTGAGTCTTGTTCAGTCAACGGCCAAAGAGGTCCGATCGAGCGTGAGGCTCATAATTCTTCGAGTTGGTAGTATGAGCTTACGCTTCGATATGTACCGCATGTACCTCTGGTGGACTCCGGTTTTTGCAAGATGTACCTGAGGCTGGTACTGTTTGTTCCGCCTTGCCATGGGTACCTCGGATGTACCTCGTACCTACTAATTGATCCCTCTCCTTGTTGGGTGCAATTACTTCAAACAACCTCCTGCTTGGTCGGGGTCTCAACACAGCATTGGGCCTCTTCTCGAGCATCCATGAGATTCACGCTCGATCGATCCCTCAAACACTGTGTGAAATGCGCTCGAAACTCGCCTCGTCGAGATACGAAGATCATCCACTTGTGCATAGAGCGGCAGCTCCAGTGCTTGCATGGGCCTCGCTTTACTGGGATGATCCCAGGCCGATCTCCCAAGTCTAACATGGCTTCTTTGTCCGGTCGTTTTTGATGAAAGCCAGGGTGTGGTCGTCACTCGTCAGCATGTTCGATGAGTCTCATGGTACACTTATTGCGACTCGCGCATGGATGATAGCTTCAGTAGTCGGAAGCGCTAAGCTTGGCTTCCGTCCTCATGCTGTGCATCAATGTAGAGTGTAGAACTGTAGAGTGTAGAGGATCGAGCCCTAACTTGGAGATGAAGCAGCTCGGTGCTAGTTGGTGGATGACTGCAGCACCGACCATCGGGGCAGCGGAGTCTCCCCTATCTCGACCTCAATGCAGTTCATTTCTTCTTGGGATCTCCCTTTTTTTCCTGACTTGATTACTTTTCCTTGAACTTTTTTCCCGGGTTTCCACTCTGCTTGTTCCAACACCGATCGCGTGACCCCACCATCCCGCTTCGTTTCAGCGTGATGGACCCAGTTCGTTCCTCGTCAACTCGAGTCCAGGAGGGTACAGAGTACAGAGTAGTACCGACTGTTCTCTGCAAGCATATGCATCGACCCGAGCACCATCCCAGGCTGAGTGCGGCACCCTCAGAGTGACTTTGATGGAAGCTTGGAATGCTTGATCACATGACGATCTCCCATGCGATGCGTGATATCAACGCTTACGAGGCAAACTCCTCACCATCGCAGTACCACCTGCAGTCCTGCACACCCAGGCAAGAAGACACCGCAGTGACCGCAGTGACCGCAGTGACCGCAGTGACCGCACGATCGCGCAAGGACAGCGACAGGCCAGCCACCGAGTGGGACAGCGACCCCGCCGCCGGGCTCTGGAATGAAAATGCGATCGCTAGAAAATTCGGGAACACAAGCCTCGCTGGGTTCCCAGTGGCCTCGAGCCTGGTTGAGTGGACCAGGGCCCTGCCAAGCACCCTCTAAGAGCTGCGTCCTGGTCATCGCAGCATCACCCTAGTGACGCCCGTTGATCTATAGTCGTCAAGCCAAGTGGGCGGGAGTGGAGTGTGGAGGGGCGGCGAGCCGCTCATTCGAAGCACTCGCGGTACCAGAATCCGCTCAGTGCCCACTGACGTCGAAGACTCGGGAAAAAGGAAATTGCAAATGAGGATGGACGACGAAAAAAGCTCAGACTCACTTATTCGGGAGAGCGCATTATCACTATCGCCCTCCATGACCGGCTGCACCAAATTGATATGGGATTCTTGTTTGGTACACAGGCTTGTTGACTACTTGACTTGACCTTGAATGAACGGAGCCACCTCCACTGGCGGACAAGTACATCGGCACACGAGGAGCACTAACTTACTATCTGCGACGCGACCGCTTCTGCGCTCCGGACTGAGCGGCCATTTTGGTACCTGCTGTTCAAAACAGAATTGAGGACCGAGCTATGAGTAATAGTATGTATTCTGCTTTTCAGAATCTGAATTTCATATAGTAACTAGGAGAAGATGATTTGTGATTCAAATCGTAGAAAAAGCATGCCGGGGCCTGCTGCTGCTATCATCCATCCCAAATTGCTGCTGCTGGTGCTACGATATCAGAGTATGCCACCATGGCTATGCCTATTGCCTAATACCTTGTAAATTAGACTCCATAGCCTCCGTAGCCTCCATGGCTCTCCAAATTGGAGGTGACCCGAAACGTAAAGATCTGCCCGGTGCCCCAGATCTGACCCAGACTTCAGCATTGGGCCTGAGTGGCTTCCCAATTACGATCCGTGGGTTGGCGTGCATCAGCCATCCACGACTACCGCCGACCATGATTCAACCCAGCCTAGATGCATCGACCGTATAACGCTACCTGGTAACTCGTACCTATTCACCATTATCTTCTCTGTGCAAGTAGAAGAATCATCAAACATACAAGGAGGGGGGCAAAAGAACCTTGGCTAGCACGAGTAAGGAACAGCAGGTCAACTATCTCGATGACTCGTATTGAGTCAATAAAGCACGCAAAAGCCTGCTCTTATGTGGTCCTCAACCCAGCCAGTACGCTGGACATGAGGTCGTTCTACCTCTCACAATGTAAATTAAACGTAGAGGCCCGTCGACAACCACCAATCCAAGGCTCCAACGCTATGAGGTCCGACTTCCTCCCTAGTTCACCGTCGGTCTCACGGTGACAACTCGAGAGCTCCGGCTTTAGTCCTCATCATTTTTCAGAACGACTCGAACTGCGAGCTCAAACAACCCCCACTCTCCTTTTTGCTTCGCCCGCCACGCGCAGCTGATGCGATCCACCAGCGACTGAAGATCATCTGTATCTTCGCGCAGGACAAAGGAGACCCCGGACCAACAAAGCGAGACAACTGCATGCGAATACTGCCGCACACCTCCGACGAGCTGAATCAAGCTGGGCTCTTGTGCACAGCAGCATCGTTTCCACATCTCGTCCAAGAACTCAGTGGCGGTCTGGTATTCTTCAAAGTTGCGAAAGGGAACACAGACCGCTGGGTTCTCAGCACTGTGCTCGTGGACGAGGAAGAAGGTTGCCTGGGTGAGGCTTGCGGTATCGGAAAATTGACTGAGGAAGGTCTCAGTCAATCCGGAGGCGAGGTCTGATGCGGATGTGTGAGCTGAAGCCATCAAGTATGACGCGAGGCAACGTTGGAACATCAAAGGGAAAGATTGCCAATGTCTTACCTTGACAGCAGGGTCGCCTATTGCCGTCGTCGACACGGTGAGAAGAACCGCGGCACGCTACAGCATGAGAAGATATCAAAGCATCTTCATCCTCGGCTGAGCAGCTGTCTTCCAGTCTGGGATTCTCGAGAGACATCTTGGTTTCTTGGCTGTCCACTGACCTCATCTCAATCGAACCGTGGATGATCCCTGAAGTACTGCGATGAGCACCTTTCATCGTCGCAAGAGGCGATGAGGCCTCACTGATGTCCATCTTGACCGAGGCAGGCGATTCAAGCTCGGTTGAGGGCGGATCAGAGAGGGAACTACTGCTGGACGGAGCTTGGCGGTCATCCCCCTGCAATTAAGTTTTGTTTAACACAACGCAATTTAGTTGAAAGAATGACCAGTGAATGAAAGAGCCTGACCTTTGAGCTTCGGAAGCTGACTTTGTGAGAGAGTGAACCTCGACGATTCTTGGCATCTTTTTCGAGAAGATATGAGAGAGCCTTGATCATCCTGGTGACGATTAGCTAGGACATGCGCATCTTGTTGCAAGCATCGCGAGCTGTGATACAGTCACTTACGCCTTTCTATCCTTTGGGTAAACACAAGCGTGTCCACTCTGCACATGCTCCTCCATCAGATACTTTTCCTGATTCTCGCGGCACCAGTATTCATTTCCAACTTGATCGATAAACTCTGCTGCTATCTCCTGACGAAGGGCCTCATCTTCATGCATCTCTACCCAGTTAGATCTGAGTTGAGCATGAGCCTTGAACTTGTTGTGCAACTTGTTCCACCATTCGGTCTTGAGGTCGAAGAACCGACGAAACTCATCAAGCTTGCTCTTGGGGGTCAGCAGCTGGTTGTCCAGGAAACTTGTCAGAGCATCTAGCTCAGCAGGAAATGAGGGAGGAACACTGTTCCGTGTCGAGCGTGGAGAGTTGATCATCGCTGCGTTCGTGTGTTGAGAGATTGACGCGAGGTGAAGGATGGTTATGAGAAATAATCAAGTCGTATGCGTTCACGATTAGGTCAAGACATCACTTGTGGAGGTTCAAGGTCAGAAAACAGGAACAGGGATGGAGATGAAGATGGAGGTGGAGTTATCTCAATCACCGCCCCATAAAGGTGCGTCAAAACAATCGAGGTAAGCAAGCAGGTGCTGTTCTATGCGAGGTCACGGGGATCGAGGAGAGGCAAACAGTCTCATATGCTATACATAACTTGAGCTGGTGAACAAACTCCATAAACCGCCTTCTCACACGGTGTATCGCCTGTTCACAGATCGCAACTTCTGGTATACGCTGAAGATCGCCGCATTTTTCCCTCATAGGTTGACTGACCTACTTCATCAAGAAACTGAATCACTCTGGAGGCGTCCTCGTAACAAAAGCTAAGTTCAAGGCTGACCCATATAGGAGTGGCTGAAGAAGTCTGGATAATATTTATCGAACAAACATGGTTTGCACAATCGATTGTGAGTTAATGCAGTATGAATTAAGGAGATACACGAAAGCTAATTCGACGTAATAATGCCCGCACAAAAAGTCAAATTATGCGGTAATCAATTGATGGCCTTATTCGGAACCAAGCAATTTCAACGCACTCTTCAGCTCTTTGATAGCAGTATTCACGTCGTCAAAAGTCAGGGCTGAGACTGCCCAGCGGGCATGCTTTTGAGCCAGCGAGATATTATGGTCATCCACCGAGTGAGCGGGCTGACTGGGTGCAGACGGGGCCGGGGCGGGTGCCGAGGGAGCCTGCGTAGATGGCGCAGGTACTGAGGAACTTGCCGTAGGTGGAGGGATGTTGAGATTAGTGCTTGGCGCATCGTAGAAAGAAGTCGGGTTGGGCGCCTCAATGGACGGGCTTGTTGCGGACGGAGGGGGGAACGATTGGAAAGTATTCGGATTATGTGTGCCGGGGAACCCGTGAAGCTCTTTTGTCCCTGGAGTGTCTGGGAGATCAATTGAAGGGGTCATGTCGTTGGTCTTACCGCCAATTGTCCCAGGTGTGGAGGGTAGATCAAGCCCTCCTGAGCTGGAGGGGCCGACATCACGAACTTTGCCTGGGGTGCCAGGAGGGTTGCTTGGTACCGAGGGAATATCAGGCTCAGTGGTGGTAGCTGCCCTCGGCTGAGAAGACGTTCGAGACGGGTGCAAAGATTCATCCAAGTTGGACTGAAGAGCTAATTGGCGACTAAGACGATCAGCCTCGTCGGGAATCTCCTCCACCGACGGCTGTCGTGGTTTTGTGGCTTGCTCTGCTACCGACTGATCGAAGGCCTGGACATCCTGATCGGTAGTCTGGACTTCTTCTTCCTCCTCAGATTTAGGAGCCGGGTTTGTCTCATTTGGGTCCTCCCCGGCCCTGATCGCCTTAACGATGCGGACCGCATGGTATTTGGCAAATTTGACTCTTCCAGCGATTTCTGGGTCCAGCTCCCCCCAGATCTGACAAAGCTCAAGGAATATTGCCGCAGCTTGAAAAGTGTCGGCGGTTTGTCTGAATACAAATCAGCATATTCCACCACAATCAGTCATATGCATGTCAAAGCATACTTGGTCACTTTGTTGGCAGTCATGGCCGCCTCGGCGCGATTAAAGATTTCTATGCCGAATTGTTCCACATATGCACTAGCTGCATCGTTGTCCGTGACGGTCTCATTCTCAGAGTTTTCGCTTTTGAACTATAGTACCACGATCGTTGTCAGTTTCACAGCTCTATCAACCAGCCTTCGTGCGAAGAGGATGCGGGGGGCCCTGCGGGGTTCATAGTCATGAACGCGACTGACCTGCTCCAGCTTCTCCACAAGGCTTATGGTGTAATTTTTGACCTCATCATCGGAGTTGTGAAGACCTCTTTCAATGATCTGGTTCACAATGTGGTAGTGACCTATCGCGCATTGTCAAGCCAGTGTCGGTGAGGTGGGAGCTTTGAATCACGGGTGAGACCAAAACCACTTACACCAGTAGGCGATCACGGGCTTTGCTTTTTCGATCTGCGCTGCTCTGATAGCAAAGCGCCCGATATCTGCGGATCGTAGCGCCGCTGGTATATTGCTAGTCATGGTCAGATTTGTTGCTGCGTGTGGAGGAAAGGAGCGTGGAACGATGAGATGACGTTCGTGACTTCGGATCTTGTGCACCGCCCGTGTGGAGATGCGATAAAGACAACGTTTATCAGTTTTGGGGAAAGCGGCGGGCTCAACTTACTCCGCATTTGGCTGGTCTGAACTCACTATACCACCTTCAGAATGAGATTTACGGCAGTCTTGCTCTCAAGTTATGACTAACTATGGGCGTACGTAATGCGCTGGTAATGTCTCAGTGACTGATTTTTCTTGTAGAGGAAATTTAATGGTAGTCCACTGTTTGCCGCTCCTCGAATCTAACCACATGGAGCCCCGGTGCTGTCAACGCTTATTGTATCGTCATTTGGGCCGTAGGTAGTGGTAGGTACCTTGGTATATTCCGTCCTTCATGCAATGGCTAGCAATGCTGCTTGTGATTCTGCGATCCTCCCTGACTATCGATTGTTTTCCTTCCCTACAGTGAAATAGCTTTGGAAGTATATGTGATCATACGAGTAATACCAGTACTTGCAATGCTTTTGCGAATGCTCTGTTTAAAACAAGAATTCAAAATCGTATGCATGGCTCCTTCACAAAGGCATTCGCTCATTCATCTTCAATGATCCACTCTCCAATATCGACACGCTCTTCCGCTAAGGCCTCCACCTCAAAGTGATCCTCAACCTGTCCTCCTGGCCCTCCGATGCGCTCAATGACGATCCATATCTTCTGTCGAGGGTCGGCGGCCGGCGCAAGATCGAAATCATCCACACGCACCCCAGAAAGGGCGTCGCAATGAGTACCATCTTCCGAGGTCGCCAGGACTGTCTTGTACGGACCTTGGCCTAATTCTACCGTCATTAGGACAGGCGAAGGGGCCACAGAGCGAGAACCAATTGTGGAAGACCGACTTCTTCCAATCAGCTTGATCCGAGTCATTCGAGGTACGTGAAGTGGCGCAAGCATACGATCCCTCCCAGGGGCGAGGGTGCCGGGAGAGGAGACTGTGCGGCGGCGGCCGGCTGACTCAGAGGCTAGAGATTGCACCACACAAGGGACTGAAGATGACACCCACAGGTCGAATTGCCCAAGCTGATCGCAAGCAAAGGTAGAGCACACAATGGTGTAGACACCTTTGTCAAGCGCTTTTGCTTCTGCCAAGGCACATCCACGGCGATAGTCACCACTATCAGCAATGATATCACGACTTCGTACCCGTGTAATGCGCTGTCCGTTGGACCAGAACAGCTTCACATGAGTCGCCAGCTCAGCCTCGTTCGATTCCAATAAAATTGAGACATCGGTTTTTTCAAAGGTCTCGATAGTGAATTGGGGATTGGAAGAATATCGTGCCGACTCTGCGTTGCCACCCGCTGATGATGCGGACCATGATCCGATCGTCTTCCTGACGCACATGTAGCTATTCTGGGCCGGGGCTAGCGAGACCGACGCAGTAGAAAATGCCGAGAGTGTGAAATTTCTGTTTGAAGATGGTAGGGATTGTTCAGATATCACAACGGTATAAGTCGTTTGCGGGGCCATGTCGAGCCTCATGAGGGTATTTGGAGAGTCGACGTAGGGCCCACGTTGTAAAGGCATATCGTTCAGAGACACCCTCTTCCCACCGGCTCGAAACACGTAGATGCTGATGAAACCAAGGCCACCACCTTCGGCACCCGAGACGACCTGATCCTCAGATTTGAAGTGCTTCCCCAGCAGCAACCAGACCGTACCGCCACGCTCACAATGCACCGAGAATTGGGGGTTTCGCACAAAGCAACCAGCCTGCGCCCGTCGTTGGGACAGGTCCCAGGAAAAGTGGATATCTTCGCGGTACTTGAACAAGCCAGGGTTCCAGTTGAGGTACAAGTTTTCAAAATTTTGAAACACTTGCTCGCAATTCATCCAGAACGTTCCAGGAGAAAGACGGCGCACGTCCGTTGTGTTGTCGTCCGGGTTTGTTCCAATGTTAGGTTCCGCGCCTGCCCATGGGTTCTTGAGCAAGAATTGTCGTTTCCCATGAAGCACTCTCATGTCGAGGATGGCATAGTCGTGCTCGCTAACTAGGCCTAACCCCTTTTGTTCCCTTTCGGTCAGTTTGCCGGTACCTATAGTCAACAGCACATCCCCGTAAGAAAAGGCATGATACAAGCGCCGCCAGATCTCGTCAGAGGTAGCGTCCTGGTCGTGAAGGAAGAGCTGCTCCGGGATCCACCCATTCAATATCCAGAGGTCGGTGCCTGAGTTGCTTCCAGGGAAATCATACCCACCACGGAGTTTGAGGTAGGCTTTCTCGATGAGAGCTGGCAAGAGAAAGTTGGGATTGTTGCGATCCACGACATAGAGAGACCTCTTAGTTTTTGAACTAGGCAATCGGTCGTCTATGATAACTTTCCTGAATGCTCCGTTGAAGTAGAATTGAAAAATATACTTCCCAACGGGCGAGAGAGCCGGCTCGTCGGAACCAGGTACGCGAGGATATATTGCTGGCAAGGCCTCCTAGACATCGGAGTCAGGTCAATGAAGTCTAAGGTAAACGGGCCAATCGAAGACATACCTTCCCGAGCCCTCGCTCTACTCTGGATGAAGTTGCACAGAGACTGGCTACGACTGAGCAGTCGGTCAAGACATCTTGCACGAGATCCGAGGAATTTGAGACCGACATCAACGGCTCTAATCCATTCTTGCCTTTGCAAGAAGAATATCCAGCCTGCAAGAGATCAGAAGGTCTCTTCCATCCTGAGAAAATCTCCTTCTGGCACTCGGACAGGTGCAGCTCGGGTGAGTCTCTATTCCACGATCAGAGAAAGCCACGGACGAAGGTTTGTACTGTGTCTAGCACGTACGTGAACAGACCGTCAAAGTCTAAAGGTGATGGTGGTCGCTCCCACGGTGGGAAAATAAACCCATTCAGCTTTGCCCCTTCGAGAATAATGATCTGTTCGCGAGTTGTGAGCCTGCGCTTGGATATGGGTGGTTCCAGATTCGGGATCAGTCTCTGGCGGACCACTCGTTGCCAGTCAGCGGTCGTTTTGATCAGCTCGGCACGCGTGATGAGGCCTTTGCATTTTGAGTCGAACCGGCCTTGATTCTCCACTGGCGCAAGGCGCAAAGCCTTCATGTACTGCTCGGCGGCATTGATCGTAGCTTCGAGAGCCGCTTTTTGAGAGGTAGCGGAAGCTATGGCTTCTTCGGCTTGCTAATTGCCGATTAGCTCTTCCGCACATGTAATTGCCCTTGACATACGAGGATCAGGAAAGGTGTTGGGGGAATAGGGGCGACTACCAATGCCTGCGCGATGAGGTGATCTAAGGTAGCTCCATGGGAACTAGTCATTGTTCTCGTTCATGCCCAGGACGCACAGTGCATCGGTGAAAAGGCCGCAGAACCTTCGTAGAGTACAGGGCACCCTACATCGGCGGGTGCGGTAAGTTGTTCTAGCTCATCTGGAACCGCCCGCCGCAGATGAGCGGAGGCTACCTTGCCCCGCAATCTGGAACAATGAGCAATTGACGAGCATCTGCGATCAATAATGGCAGCAGCATGCTCAGATTATGATTCAAGCAATTTTGGAGAGCTGATGGGGCACCAGTCTGCCGGATCCGAGATAAATAAATAGCTTTTTGGCTGTCGGCTTCAGTCGTTGAATACCGACCAAGGAAGTAGAGACTTGTGCAACTAATCGCAAATCAACATCAGCCACTCACTAACAGAGGCTAGGTAAACTTAAATCCCAGATCCATTGTACAGACGTACTGGCGCCCGGCAGAGACAGACTCACATAGGCATCAATGACTGCCTGAGGCATCCGTGCCTCCAAAACCGGTGTGCATGCGAGCCTTCAGCAGAAGACAGGCAGTTGCGCAGCGGGCAGGCGCCGAAAGGAACCTCGGCTCATGGCGCTTGACCGCAGCGCCGAGGTGCGCGCCAGCGCCTGTGCCCTCCCGGGCCTATGTTTTCCACTGTTCGGGTGACATCGGTCGCTGTAGTCTTGCATGTCCTGGTGATGATTTCATGAGAGTGCTCATTACACGCCCCTTTTTGAAGCATCTGAACCATATAACCCGCCAGTTGCGTGTTACTCGTCTTTTATCGCCGTGCGATCGAGACTCTGCTCCGCTCCACCCGTTTATGTCCGCTTTGACGGCCTCTTCCTCAAGACCCCCAACTGACCGATAGCGGCTTTCCACACACACATCCTCATTGCCATGGCGGGTCAATCTAAGCCTGTTCGCCTTTCCCCGTGGGGAAGCGCCGTCGCGGGTGCAACAGGAGCTGTTCTTGCAAATGCTCTGGTGTACCCTTTGGACCTGTGAGAAAGCCCGTGACCAGATAAGAGAGCCGTGTCATGTATCGGCAAATTGAGCTCCTTCGCTAATTGGACCATCATTTCTATCTGTGAAGGGTGAAGACCAAACTGCAGGTGCAAGTGAAACAAAAACAAACCGCCGAAGGACCAACCGATATTGAACACTATGACGGCACAGTGGACGCGATCACCAAGATTGCGGAGAAGGAGGGTATCACGGGTCTTTATTCTGGAATCGCGGGCTCGCTGCTCGGAGTCGCCTCGACAAACTTTGCCTACTTCTACTGGTACAGCGTTGTGCGTACCTTGTACATGGTATCAAAGAAGAGCTCTGCAAACCCCGGCACTGCGATTGAACTGTCTCTCGGCGCGGTCGCTGGAGCTGTGGCGCAGGTTTTCACAATTCCGGTTGCCGTCATTACGACCCGACAGCAGACCCAGCCGAAAGGCGAGAAGAAGGGACTGATTGAGACCGGTCGGGAAGTCGTTGAGAGTGAGGACGGCTGGTCCGGCCTCTGGCGCGGTCTCAAGGCCAGTCTCATTTTGGTCGTGAACCCAGCGATCACATACGGTGCTTATCAACGCCTAAAGGAGGTCATATTCCCTGGCAAGGTCAATCTCAAGCCATGGGAGGCTTTCGGTACGTTGAAATGAATACTGCAATGATCTCTACCTGGCCATTGTAGACAAACTAATGAAGATGGTAGTCCTCGGTGCTATGTCCAAGGCTCTGGCAACCATTGCGACTCAGCCTCTGATTGTTGCCAAGGTTGGCTTACAGTCTCGGCCCCCAGCAGCCCGTCAAGGCAAGCCCTTCAAATCTTTTGGTGAAGTCATGAGGTATATTATCGAGCACGAGGGTGCTCTTTCTCTCTTCAAGGGTATTGGGCCCCAAATCTTGAAGGGTCTGCTAGTCCAAGGTCTGCTGATGATGACCAAGGAGAGGTACGTAAAGCACTCCCCCAATTCTTCTCTGTGAAAGGTCCACATCTGACGGTCCTACAGAATGGAACTGCTTTTCATTGTTCTATTTGCCTACCTCCAGCGTATCCGGAAAGAGAAGCTGCAGAAAGCCATCGATACTGCTGCGGCCAAGGCCAAAACTAGCCTGCCAGCGACTCTGAAGTAGACGATGCCTGTGGAGTTGACGACATTCTTTATACCAGACCTTCTCTTACTATTTTTGGGGTCGCGCCAACTCAGACAAAAGACCTCGGCATGCTAGAGTTCCATCATATGTTGTTTTATTTCATTTTCAAACGAGTTCATCGAGATGGAAGGTTGTGTGGCTCTATAGAAGGAGACGTCCATGTTTCGTCTGCCAAGGGTTTGAAAGAGATTTGTACATTCCTATTAGCTAGGAGAGATACGGAACCTAGCGATCATACTGTGTAAGATCTATACAATTGAACTACAGTACAACATCAGGCTGGCCGAATCGTTTGTCGAAATCCTTCAAGAAGTTGCTCTCGTCGACTATTCGTCCCGCCGTCTTGTAAGTGGGTCTAGGCGCACCTGCACAGTGCTCGCGGCAAGGGCCGCAGACACGCAGATGCCGGCTTTGAAGCGCTCTACTTCACCGGCAACTCGACCTATCCAGTACCCCCTTCGTCAAGGTTCCGTGCCTACCTTTGCCGCTCTCCGAGTCAGCAGGGCTACGGGCAGACATGCGATGGCCACCATGGAGCTCCGAATCTAGCCAGGGCAGCAAAACAGACCGAGAGAGCATTCTCCCCACTGCCTCGAGCGCGTCATCCTACCCCACATCCGCAACAAACAACACCACCTCGTCATTGGACTGGACCGCCTTCACAGAGTCAAGAACCATCATCTCGAGTATTCTCTTGACCAGTGGCATCCTACTTGCTGCGCGGTTTCATCGCCGGTATTTGCGACGTATCCCCGATGCGCCCAGTATCTCGCCGTCGTTCCTGCGTCGGCGGTCCATTTTCGGCAAGGTCACCAGTGTAGGTGATGGCGACAACTTTCGCATCTTTCACACTCCTGGGGGTCGTCTGGCGGGATGGGGCTGGCTACCGTGGAAGAGGATACCTACCAACAAGAAAGAATTGAGAGACAATACTGTTCGTATCTTTTTCCATGCAATTACCGATTCCCCTACTGTACTGTCGGCAGAGCCTAACACGACTTTGGCGACCAGATTCATATCCGTTTGGCAGGCATCGATGCCCCCGAATTAGCGCATTTCGGTCGACCTGAGCAGCCTTTTGCGCGCGAAGCCCACCAATGGCTTACTTCATACCTTCAGGGCCGAAGGATACGGGCGACCGTCTATCGCCAGGACCAATACAGTCGCGTCGTGGCTAGCGTCCACGTACGCCGGGCTCTCGACCTACCTCCCTTCCGTCGGCGAGATGTTTCATATGAGATGCTGAAACGCGGGCTGGCAACGATATATGAGGCGAAAGTTGGTGCGGAATTTGGAGGTGAGAAACTAGAACAGAAATATCGGCGTGCAGAATGGTGGGCTAAGGCGCGGTCAAAAGGTCTTTGGAAGGACTATCGCCGCGTGGGGTCAAACTGGGAGAGTCCTCGTGAGTACAAGAAACGAATGGGCATGGGTGAGCCGTCAGAGGATGGCGGAAAGCCCAAGTGAGGATGCCAAGACGAGTAGCTGTTCTTTAATGCACCAATGTACATGATCAGATGAAATTCAAACGATCCTGGTGAGACTGTACATATTCCTTGGACTTTGAATGTACTGCCTTTTAGCATGTGAATCTTGTCGTGTCAGGGATCAGCTTCTTATTCGTGTATCGCCTTGGAATGGAAGGAATCAACTTGAGAGAATATCTTAATGACACGCTGCTGGCTGCGACACTCTTCCCGAGAACGAATATAAGAGGCCACAAACTGAGTAAAAGCTAGAAATGATTTGAACAAATACTGTCATGATGAAGTGAAAACATAGAGAATTGATGAAATGTTGTTTCTAGCCTTCCATAGGTTTCGTGGAAGGCATCTATATAAGGGTGGAACTTCGTGCCATGGATCCCGATAAATGTTGGAGCCATCAAGAAAGTATCATCTTCGTATGCATGATCATACAGCATGAAGCGCATTACCATACATACCCGTTGGTCTGGTTTCTTCCCGAAAGAAGTAAAGCTCGAGCAAACCTACCTACCTAAGTGCTCTATTCCTTCACGCTGAACATCATATTGATGTGTCACCCATATGTACAAGAGGCTCAAATGTTTGCTTGTTCATTTCGACTCTTTCACTCCCTGGCAAATATTGACGAGCGAACCGCGTCAACATTCTCTGCGCCCGTGGTCTTCTGTCAAATCAAGCGAGCTTTAAATGAATCAATCCGGTCCATATTCAAAGCAGGAATATCGACTATTCGGCCGAAGCTAAAGTCACCTGCACGCGGTGCCAAATCCACGCACGGCAAATCGGAACTTATTGAGAGAAAGACTCCAATTTGTGCGGTTGGCCCCCAAGCCAATCTTTCATTCGCGCCCACGTGGCACCCGATTTAACAGAATCGACGCTCTATCTCGGCAAAGAGCTTTGGCGAAATCTCATCGCTGGAGTTCCCTTCCACGCGCCAAAGGCAGCCGCGACGCTCATAATGCTCGAGCAAAGCTCTGCTTGTCTCCTCAAACTTACGCAGCCGCTGCTTCCACGTGTCGATCGAGTCGTCCTCTCTTTGCGTCAGCGGCTCGCCTGTGACGTCGTCTTTGCCTGCCACCTTGGGAGCGTGAAAATCGGTATTATATACTCGCCCTGATGGCTCGTGGACCCAGCGAGATGCGATTCGGGAGAGGATAACTGATGGTGGAGTAATGAGATTGACGACAAAATTTACTGGAACGAGACCATCCAGACTGTTTGCTTGGCTCGCGGTACGAGGGAAGCCATCGAGAATGAAGGAAGCCGATGGGCATAGCGAAGTCGAAGCTGTTGAATCGTCGGGAAAGGAAGCGGAAGACTCGTTGGAAGCGGAGGTGGAAGAGGAAGGTGACGATGAAGGGAGCCAGCCCTTGGACTTGAGTTCGGAGGAGATGAGACTGAGAATCATGGAGTCCGGGACCAAATTACCGGACTGCATTGCGGCTTCGGCTTCGAGACCTACGACAGGATGGAAAAGATGGTATGGTCAACTACAACGATTCTCTCGAATGTGCATGGTTGAAAGTTTGGAGACTCACCGAGAGGTGTCCTGCGACGCACATTCTCACGAAGCAGGTCTCCGGAGCTGATCGAGGCCAGTTGAGGAAACCGAGCCAGCAGTCGCTCTGATTGAGTGCCCTTTCCTACACCCGGCGCGCCGACCAGAATGATGCGCGCAGCCTTCTTGAGCTGTCGGGTGCTTTTTGACATTGTTCCGGAGATAGATATGTGTCGAAGTGACGAAGTGTTGTCCCTGTGGCCGCGTGCCTGGGCGTTCAATCCACAGCTTCGGTCTCAGAAATTATCTCCGAAAGGCAGTTCCTGGAATGGATTGGTGGGCCCAGATAAACGACAGGGCCGAGGCCGAAATCGAAGAGTGCAAGTTGAAAGGCGGAGCGCTAAGATTGTACCAAATTACCAATGTGAATTTGCGCTCGTTCCCGGGGGCTACTATTCAGGATACAGTGCACGAGTATAGTCAACGGAGGAACTGGGAGATGAGTTCAGAGCAATGTCACTTTGGACTTGGAGTAACGATGTCCCGCACCTTTACCCTTTCCACTTGCCGGCGTCAAGGCGGTACTCATGCAATCGATCGGGTCCGGGCTAATTCCCAACTTTGTGGGGTTGGGGATTGCGGGTGCTATCTTCGGTTGCCGGTGAGAAAGCTCCGGCCCAAAATGCGGGAGGACGACAAGTACCGCGTAGAGCGCAGGATAGTGATGATCGTGATGAAGGTAGAGCTCAACACAACACACATCATCCTAGCCAGGTCACTCTGTGATGATGACAGTGCTACCCTTGACTGGGCCTGGTCTCTCGTTTGTCTGGACTGTGAACACCACGCTTGATGCTCATGGCCTGGGACTCTGCTAATGATGGTTGCGATGTTGCGAACCTCGATATACTAGTACATAACAGGTACATATACTACTGCTCCAGTGCTCACTACTCAGTGCTAACTGGAAATCAGTAGAACCTCGGAGGATGTCGGCAGGATGCTCCCAAGCTTGCTGCTGATCATCACAAGAAAATGTCAATGCGGCTTCATATTGTAACACAGACAGTGCACCGGGCGGATTCTCGAGGTCGCTCAATGGACACATACATATTCACGGACTCGTTTGAACCAAAGAGATTGTGTACTAGTGTAGGGCGCACGTTGCACCAGCTACATAATTACAGTGGGTTGCTCCAAGGTTCGAGGCACGGTTCAGCATCGTCACCTGCGGACATGGCATTGATTCAAAGATGTGGAACTCAAGGCCACAAGGCCGCTTCAGGCATGGACGCTAGATCCTGGGAATTATCAACTCACGTGATCTGGATCCGGCGCGCGGACGCGTCGCGTCGGCCGTTCGTCAATTCTCAATTTGGTGATAAGTGCCGCCGTTGTCGCTGTTGACAAAAACTGGCCACCACGAACCACGAGACCCAAATCTCGTTTTCCTACACCAAGACTGACATCATGATTCGACAAGACGCGCATCGAATCGACCCAAAACGTAGGGCCACGATTGATCACAAGAAAAGACAATTTGCGACGCCGACCTACAAGCAGCAAGACTACCCACATCGCCTGAACCTGTACGATACGCCCCCGACGGCGGAGATCACGCTTGAGCAGTTCGAGCAATGGGCTATTGATCGTCTGAAGGGTCGGTGACCTAAAATCATCACCCGTGACCTCATTGTCCTTCAGCTGCTAACTTTGCCAATAGTACTGGCCGAGATTGAAGCATGCTCTTACCGCAACAAGTCTCCCGCGGAGACAGAAGCCCACATCACACCACTCCTCCAAAAATACCTCCCATTATCCTCCAACACTGCATCACCGAACGGTGCTGCAGATCCTCGCTTGAAGAATGAGCGCCAAAAAGACCACTATTCACATTTCATCCTTCGTCTTGCCTTTTCTGCGACGGAAGACCTTCGTCGCCGCTTTGCGCGTGCAGAGACGATGCTGTTTCGATTCAGATTTCAGAAGGATGATTCCCGCGAGAGGCGTGCATTCATCGAAAGTCTCAACCTGGATTGGGAACCTGTGAGCGAGGATGAACGGAATCAGATTGCCGAGCATCTCGTCAGTGCAACTCCCGGTCTGCGTCGGGTGGATGAGGAGACGTGGTATAAGGTGGACTGGGAGAAGGTTGCGGAGCTCGTCGAACGGCGCTCTGTTTTCATGCGAGGAGGCAAGGCATATGTGCCGGGTAGAGAACAGCTAAGTATGATCATGGCGGAATTCACAGCGCGATTAGAGCGGTCTTTAGAGGTATATATGCCCTTCAATTCAAAGGCTGAAGCAGTTACCCTACTGATTATGCAACAGCTTACAAGCCGCGCTCTTCCCCGGCTGGACGAAGACGACCGCCTCACGCCCATTCTCAATCATCTGTCCAAGAATTTCGGCAGTGCAGAATCAGTGTACTCCGAGGCCGAGGGTCACGTCGACGGCGCCGCCATCACCGGTAGCTCCATTGACTCCCTCGCTCAGCATTTCCCCTTGTGCATGCGCAATTTGCACATGAATCTGCGCAAGAACAACCATCTGAAGCATTTCGGGCGATTGCAATATACTCTCTTCCTGAAAGGTATCGGGCTATCCTTAGAGGAGTGTATCTTGTTCTGGCGTCAATCGTTCAAGGGCAAGACCGACGACGAGTTCAATTCCCAATACAAGTATAATATCCGTCACGCCTACGGCGATGTAGGAGGAGATGTGAACCGGCGCGGTCGTGGCTATCCTCCTTACTCGTGCCAGAAGATTCTCGGTGACAACAATGTGGGAGTGGGACAAGCACATGGATGCCCCTACCGCCATTTCTCAGTCGATAACCTGGTAGGGCTGCTTCAGGGAACTGGCGTTCATGATAAGGAAGTCCTTCGCGGTGTTCGTGAGGATGTTGGCAAGCAGCGGTATCACATTGCGTGCAACAGGGTTTTCGAATGGAGCCACAAGACTGAGATCAAGAAAGTGAAAGAGGACGGGACATGGAGTCAGGCCGACCTGGACACCATTGTTCACCCCAATACTTACTTCAAGCGCAGCTATCTGCTCAAGTCCTTGGCCAAGGCTCCGCCCCGAGGTGAAGCTTGATTATGTGTCTGTCAACTATGTTTATCTTAATGAAGTTATGTCGGCTGAGCCTTCATGTAACCTGACAGTCTGAATTCAAAACAAGTTGCTTGAGTACAAGACACGTTCAATTGCGTAAGCGTTCGGCAGTTTCTTACGAGACCATCATGGCGAGACTAGGGAAGAGGAAGCTTAATTGGAGATAGGACTAAAAATTTCAAATTCTTTCAAAGCTAAGTCAGGTCTGTGACCACAGCTGATTCCCAATAAATCCGAAAGGATCGGAACGACCTTTCAAAACCAGGTGCCCAGCAACGGGTCAAGTCGTTCTGCGCTCGACGCGAAAACAGACATCATCATGGAATGATGGAAGCTGTCGACAGTAATGTGATATTTTGTCGGCGTGAATAAAACATGAAGAAAAGAAAGAGAAAGTGGAGCGGCGTCGACATTTTAACCGTATCCAGGTCCGGTGACCGAGGTAGACCATTAGTGCTGCAACCTGGCCTTAGTGCCAACCCAATGCCCTCATTCACCATATCCCTTTGACTTGATCTCGTCATTCCCACCCAGTTCGCCTGGACCTTCAGATTTCTCGGGATTCGACTATGTTCTGACAGGATACAGTCGACCTCTGCCATCCGACGACGCAATTATCGACCGAGGAGCCGTTGCGACTCAGCTCTACACAGCTCCGCCCCTGCACCCCTCCATCTCCTTTGTCAACATTGCCCCGGAATCTCCATAATCGAACGTCGCCATGGATTACGAAGCTCTGAAAGATCAATGGAGTGATGTTGAGGATCGTGATGGCCTCAGACTGAGCTGGAACACTTTCCCAAGCTCTCGCATGGTACGTAACACGCATTTGGCAACTCTGACAAGGCTCCATGTCGCATCACCTTCTAAACACAGATACAGGAAGCATCTCGGCTGGTCGTCCCTATCGGTGCGATCTACACACCATTGAAGGAGAAGCCAGATACTCCAATCCTCCAATATGAGCCCGTGACCTGCAAGCAACCCTGTCGGGCCGTGCTTAATCCCTTCGCGTGGGTTTCCCCTCCGTCGTTGTCTTTCCCCGGATATCGGCGATGAACTAATACCCCAGCTTAGCACTGTCGACATCCGTGCGAGAGTATGGATTTGCCCCTTCTGTTTGATGCGCAATCCTCTGCCGCCTCACTACAAGGACATCACCGAGCAAACGATACCCCCCGAGCTTCACCCCACGAGCACCACCATCGAGTACCAATTGGCCCGCCCTGCTCCAGCTCCTCCGATCTTCCTCTTCGTCGTCGACACCTGCCAGGAGGAGGACAGTCTGCAAGCAGTTCGGGACTCACTTGTCATGAGCTTGTCTCTGCTGCCTCCGAATGCGCTCGTGGGTCTCATTACGTATGGAACGATGGTAAGCATTGTCACCCCTTTTATCACTGCTAGGAAGCTGTCAGTTGTTGACCTTTTGTCCCCAGACGCAAGTCCATGAGCTTGGCTACGCCGAATGCGCCAAGTCCTATGTCTTCCGAGGTAACAAGGATTACAATGCCAAGCAAGTGCAAGAGATGCTTGGTCTCGTAGGCGGTGCCCCCCGTCCAGGCATGCCTCCTCAGCAGCCAGCGCAGCGACCCCTCTTGGACCAGCCGCCCGGTTCTTACTTCCCGTTCAGCAAGCAGAATTCCAGATCACCAACGTTCTGGAGCAGATGCAGCGCGACCCATGGCCCGTGGCTAATGACAAGCGTCCCCTTCGCTGCACTGGTGTTGCGCTGAGTGTTGCTGTTGGCTTGCTCGAGGCCTCTTTCCAGAATGCAGGTGGTCGTATTATGGCTTTCCTCAGTGGTGCCGCTACCGAGGGCCCAGGTCATGTGGTTTCACCGGAACTCAAAGAGCCCATTCGTTCTCACCACGACATTGATCGCGACAACATCAAGTACTACAAAAAGGCTGTCAAGTTCTACGATGCGCTCGCCAAGCGGGCTGCCAACAATGGTCACATTGTCGACATCTTCGCCGGCTGCTTGGACCAAGTTGGTCTTCTGGAGATGAAGAACCTCGTTAATTACACCGGTGGACACATGCTTCTTACTGATAGCTTCACCGCATCCCAGTTCAAGCAGTCATTCATTCGTGTCTTTGATAAGGATGCGAATGATAACCTTCTCATGGGCTTCAATGCATCTCTCGAAGTATTGACTACCAAGGAACTTAAGGTCACTGGTCTCATTGGACACGCCATCTCTCTCAATAAGAAATCAAGCTCCGTTGGCGAGACCGAGTGCGGCATTGGAAACACTTGCGCGTGGAAGATGTGTGGTATTGATCCATCGTCAAGCTACGGAGTCTACTTCGAAATTGCCAATCAAGGTGGCCCCGCGGCTGTACAGGCTGGTCCTCAACGTGGTATGATGCAGTTCCTCACATACTACCAACACTCTTCAGGGCATTACCACCTGCGTGTGACGACAGTCGCACGGCCTCTAAGTGGTCCGGCTGGCGATCCAACTCTTGCCCAGTCCTTTGATCAGGAAGCTGCCGCCGTCTTGATGGCCCGTATTGCCGTCTTCAAGGCGGAAGTTGACGATGGGCCCGATGTGCTTCGATGGGTAGACCGCATGCTGATCCGACTTTGCTCACGGTTCGCGGACTATCGCAAAGATGATCCTACATCTTTCCGCTTGGAAAAGAACTTCACCTTGTATCCACAGTTCATGTTCCACTTGCGACGAAGCCAGTTCCTCCAAGTTTTCAACAACTCTCCTGATGAGACTGCCTTCTACCGTCATGTCTTGAACCACGAAGATGCTGGGGACTCGCTGGTTATGATCCAGCCCACCCTAGACTCGTACTCCCTGGAGGTGGAGGGCAGCCAACCCGTTCTTTTGGATTCCGCTTCCATCCAGCCAGCGCATATTCTTCTTCTCGACACTTTCTTCCATATTCTCATCTTCCACGGTGAGACCATTGCCGAGTGGCGCAAGGCGGGTTACCAGGACCAAGAGGGCTACGAGAACCTCAAGGCCCTCTTGGAACAGCCTAAAGAGGATGCTAGGGTATGTCGTGCTTCCAATATCACCAATATGATAACCATGGTGACTGATTCATCTCAATAGGAACTCATCGCCGACCGTTTCCCCCTGCCTCGTTTCATTGTCTGTGATGCTGGTGGATCCCAAGCTCGTTTCCTCCTGTCCAAGCTCAATCCGTCAACCACGCACACCTCTGGGGGCTATGGAGGCGGTGTTTCGTCGCAGACCATCTTCACTGATGATGTCTCACTGCAGACATTTATGGATCACCTCATGAAGTAAGCACTCTTTGCCCCGTCTTTTCCGTTACTCATGCACTAACTTCTTCATTGCAGGCTTGCGGTTTCTGGCACGAGCTAGTTGAGACATGGCGTGCCAGTTGATGTAATGGGCGGCGCGACCTTGGCCTAAACGGGTCATGTGTATCTTTAGCGGTGATTTAGCTCTCATTGTTTTTCCCTCTTCTTCTCCCCATTAAACCCCTAAGTAGATGAATGAATTACGTCAAGGACCCTATGCTTGCATTCTGAGAGCGCTGAAGAACGTGTGATTTCGAAACTGCTATCAAAAAATCCCAAAATCTTGAGAAATCAGAATATAACCCAAAGTGTGACACTAATGTTGTTTACATTCAAAAATGTCATAGGATTCCTACAATCTAGTCTTTCCTTGTATTCTCCTCGTCTGGGATCCCAGCAAACCAGCAAGCTGGCCGACGCGGCTCAGCTTAAAGCTTGATAAGCTTGATATGACCAAGGCCTCTCACGTGATTAGGGTCTAGCCCTCAAGTGCTCAAAAGGCCCACTCGCTTACACTAGCCGTAGAAGTGGAACCCTCTGCGTCTCAGGACAACTTTTGTCGAAGCCTCCTCTGGGATTTTCTTTTCTCTCTTCATCCACCCCTTCGACAACCCAAGGCAGATTGACTACCTTTCGCACTCGCCATGCGTAAGTATCATCACCTTGGAGTATTCACAATGGCGAACTAATACCCATCTTCTTTTGTAGCTCCCAAGTTCGATCCCAATGAGGTGAAGATCATCCACCTGCGTGTGACTGGTGGTGAGGTCGGCGCCCAGTCTGCGCTTGCCCCCAAGATCGGTCCTCTGGGTCTGTCTCCCAAGAAGATCGGTGAAGACATTGCCAAGAACACTGGTGACTGGAAGGGTCTGCGTGTGACTGTCCGTCTCACCATCCAGAACCGTCAGGCTGCTGTGTCTGTCGTTCCCTCCGCCTCTTCCCTTGTCATCAAGGCCCTCAAGGAGCCCCCTCGTGACCGCAAGAAGGAGAAGAACATCAAGCACACCAAGTCCATCCCCTTCGACGACATTGTTGAGATCGCCCGCCAGATGAAGCACCGCTCCATGGCCAAGTCTCTCCAGGGTGTTGTCCTCGAGATCCTCGGTACTGCTTTCTCCGTCGGCTGCCAGGTCGATGGCCGCAGCCCCAAGGATGTCTCTGACGATGTCAAGGCTGGTGAGATCGATGGTATGTTTCTCTCCTACGTTTGCAATATCGAAATGTTCGTCAAGTCAGTGCTAACGGTTTTACAGTTCCTGAGGAGTAAATTACTCTCTCCTGAACGGGACGAAGAGGAGGTCTTCTTTTCTCTATGTATCAACAAGTCTGCCAGCTGAAAAATGCGCAGCTAGTTGCACAATACGACAGTTGCCTCCAACCAAAAAAGAACATACCCATTTATGAGCCATGACCTGATACCACATCTCCAGTTGCGTTATATCGCGATCATCCGAATGAACAATTCGATTTTCGCGGTCTCTTGTGTTCGTATCCTCCCTTTCTTCCTCTAGCTTTTTGCGAACCTCGAGTCCTCTCCTCTCGCCGTCACCTTTGGCGATTAGGAGTTGACGAGACATTGACTGCGCTCCTCCCCTGGAGGTGGTCATTAAACTTAAATCTTCAGTCCCTGATGGAACCGTTACAACACTCTGGCGCTTACCGTTCTCTCCCTGCGGGGTTTGAACATTATTCGATGTGGTTTACGCTTATTTTAAGTAACGAAGAGCAACTGACCCGCTACTCACCGCGGCAACCTGGATGGCATTCGTGTCATTGTGGTTGCCATGGTCCATTATTGTGGTCTACATCTTCATTGGGATAACTGTGCTCATCTCAATCGTAGTCTTGCAAATTCTGCCATCCAGATATCACAAATCAAATTCATTCTTGATCAATTCATTTCTCCTCGTAAGCAGGAGGGTTCGTCCCAGTGATTTAGTGAGTTAGTCTGAGACAGTGGTCTCTCGCAGGATAAATATGTCGATGCACCACGAGAAGAACTGGACTTCTCAGATGGTTCACCACCTGGAACGTTGTCGGTGAGGGGGCTGGAACTTGGTTGGGTTTGTTATGCGGTGTCTTTTTCCGCATACAGAACATAGATAATATAGAGGGGAATGCTCAAGGCAGTCTGATCTCACCAGACAGGTCGAGTCAAAGAGGAACCAAACCACAACCACCACACGCACGTCCAGAGATCTCCCAGCCCGACCGTAGAACAGTTGTCAAGGGGCCCAAGTGAAGATCAGAAAGAGTGTGTCATTGCAATGCAAAAGAATCCGACTGTAAAGACTGTACTGAACTCTCAATTCCCTTCTCCGATGGGTCTCCCGGATCCCATGAAGTTGTTCTCTTCCTTGGTTCACTGGTTGTGAAGTTGAGTGACCCCCTCTCGTCATGTCCAAATAGTCTCTCCCGACTATAAGGCCACCATCAGGCACCCGCACCTCTGCAAACCCTTGGCTCTAAGTACATGCGACCGGATTCCCTACTACACTAGGTAATTTCGCGTGGTGCATCTCGGTCCGTCTCGAGAATTCAAACGAACTTGCCCGCGGACTAGAGTCTAAAAGGTTTCGAGATTACGTACCCTAAAATCTGTGTTTGAGAACTGCCTCTTTTTGCTCAAAATGGAAGTTTTGCAGAGACCTGCAGGTGCGCCACCTCAGTCTTCAACGGTCACACGGCCTGGGCAGCCGCTTGACTGAACCGCGACGTTGCATGCGGCGAGAATTAAGGGTAAGCTTGTATGTAGCCCCGGTAGGCAAGCGCGTGGCATTCCCTCGAATAGTAGACGGGGTCCTTGTGTACCACTGTACCTACCTAACATGGTAACCTTCTCAGCGCTCGCGGCGAAACAGTTCTTCTACCTGTATCCGTCCTCCATATAAGCACCTGGCGTTTGCTAATTGTCATTGCAACAGAAAAAGGCACAGATGGGAAACTAGGGAGCTATTGCGCTCGCTGCTAGTTGTCTTATTCGAGCCGAAAGCCGACAGGCATTTGTCGCACGACAAACGGCCTTCGAGCGATGTCTCATGAGATCGATCCGACACCATTTGATCAAGATCTGGTCGTCGCACAGATTACGGGTTGACTTTCTCGTGTCTCTTTGACTCTTGAGTACGGATTCTCAGAGTACAGACATATGCGGTGTGCACTTCAAGTCCTAAACTAAGCCCTTGGCATCGAAAAAGCTTGAAAAATATTATCTCCCCGTCTATCAGACATCCACTTGTCTACCTCAATCCATTCCGTCGCCCATTTACCTCTTTGACCTCACAGTCTGATATATCTGTCGAGAAGATGGACCATGTTGAATGCTCCTCATCGTCTAATCTCTCAACTTGACAGAGACAGAGACGGTACCACCAGACATCCACTGTCATGGACATGCAGTACCCGCTCCGCTCCGCACGCACCACGCTGGCCCCAAGGGGGGACCCAAGACCAAACAAGCCCACGTCAGGTTTCTCGCCGATCACTGCTGGGTCGCGGTCCCTGGGTAAGGCGCAGGTGCTTGGCGTGCTTTTTGCCAGGAGCATACCAGATACTGTCAGTATCACCATCTAGGATCGAGTGCCTAATATCTAGTATCTACTCTGTGCGGACTGCGGAGCCGTCTTCGTTGTCGGCGAATGGTTCGTTGGGATGATAAGGCATAGCGCCAGGTGTCGTATGCTCGCTCCCGTGGAAGGTGACGCAGGGAGTGACCATGGCTTGAGATAGGTCGAGGTCGGCTGGGTCACTGGACGCTAATTGTTTGATGATGTAAGTTGATAAATGTTGAAGGTGCCGGTGGAATACTGTTCAAAGCAGATTTTAAATAAAAGGAGTAGGTATCCATGCATGTTTTAGAATTCTCGGATGTTGCGGTCAGGTGATGGACGCGTGAGGCGGTCCAAAGTCCATCAGTGTAGGTGGCCAGGGCAATTGGCGAGCCAGGTGCATGCGCTACCAGACGGTCCGAAGTAGATCTAATCCTCTGTATTGATGGACCGTAGGTCATTGAAGAGGTCAAGCCTCGACTGATTCTTTTCCCTCTTCCTCGCAAATCCTCAAAGCCAAGTCTCTCGCCAAGACTCACTCACTTTGTCCCACATATGTACTGTCATGATCAATCATTGTAGCTCCAGGTCCCGCACAGTATGGATCCGCCGAAAGGATGCGGTATGCAGTGATGCACCTCCAGTGGAGAATCCACCTGCTTCCTAAAACCGGTACATAAGAATCCTGCATGGCCAACTATCAAACGAACGGGGCCCGACAAACGAAACCACCTCTCCCAGCTAGAGCACCAGGTGGGGAACAACGCAGACTCGTACGACCCGAAATGCATCCGAAATGGTTCTGTCCCACCAGCACGACAGCCGGAGAGGGTTTGCAACACAAGACGGGGAGGAGGGAGTGTCGTGGAGGACCATGACAGACAGAACAGAAAGTATGGGAGGATTGGCTAGGATAGGTCTAGCTAGGACTTGCAGCACCATGAGCGAATGGACAATCATTGCAGGCGTTGGGATTCCCAGACTAGATCGTATGTAATACGACTCTGGTGAATATTGTGCTTGTTCTCTGATAAGTCTTCAATGTCAAGGTGCCGATAACGAGTGGAATCGGAAGTCAATCATCATCCTGCTCGGCTTCCAAGACAAAGAGATTCCCAACTACGTAGATTGTAAAGTTTATGCACCCCTTCAATTTTCTACTCTTCGTTGGTGGTGCGAGTGTCGAGTACAGCACGAGGCCGCAGCCCTCACTGTGGTTTATCACCAAAGGTTCATCGAATACGGGAAACATCTCGCAAAGCCAGAGTGGAGCTGTAAGATTGCGGCAATCCTGACCCACAACCCCAGAAATCTGACCCAACAGGGCAATGATCGCAGGGTCCAACATTGAATGGGGGATGTGAGGCGACCAAAGAGGCAAACCAGGGGAATTGGGGGGGGGGGGGGGGGGCGACCGGAGGAAGAGGAACGGACAGGTATCCCTACGTCGACATTCTGATTCATTCTATTATTGCATACTACACGTAGCAGTAGGTTGCAAATAGAATAGGGGCTGTGCGGTAGAGGGCCCCGGTAGCGGGCGGCAATACAGTCAATAATGTAGAAGAGGCGATATGATGGTGGCTGATATTGCCGTAGAGAGAATCTGGAATGTAGCATAGCAGTTGAGAGCGTGTGGGCGCTTCTTAGTGTGGTCTTGTGGTCGACCTCAAGTCTGGCGACTATAGTAGATAGGAATGGATGGATACCCCTGTATGTTTAGATTATTGGTGTGAGGCTGTGAGCAACTGAGCACACCAGTCGTCTTGATACTGATACTTAGTACTTATCAAATTGTCCTACTCTCTGGTAGGCACTAGGCAGTCTGCATGGCCGATTTTGGTTTGTGTAGACATCATATGTAGTCATCAGTCTGTACTGTGGAATCTGTAAGAGTTTAGACCTCGATTCTCATGGTTCTACTCTATCTACATCTTATAGATGCCCGCATTTGAAAACATCAATATGCCGCTGAAATATGCCTCTTAGAAGGAGCCTCTTCTTTCCACGAGGGCTCTACCACGGGTCATCCTGTGCCAGAATAGTCTTGCACCGTATACGTAGATTCTGTTATGTGGATGATACACAACAAGCACGTATACGCTATACAGTATACTGTACACTATACACCATACATTAAGTATACAACAGTATTTATCTGGACAATGTTAGATATGGCCCGGACATTCAGCGGATCCAGGAATCATGAATGTGGCAATGAGCTCGTCGAGTCTCTCAGATCGAGTAGAATGATGCTTGAATCTGCTCTCCAGAGTCAGGAGTTCCGCTGACCACACCCGTCATCCGCAAAGAGATCAGCCTCGCGACTTTGTCCGACCAGAGCTGCCACTGCCCAGTGTCCACGATCCCAGCAATGCATCACCCCCAAGCCGGGAGTCAGTCGAGTGGCCGATCCACTTTACAGGCTTCACAGGCGCATCTGCGACTCCACCGCACCAGGCCTGCTGCCCTGCTCGCCATCAAAGGATCCGGAGTGAACGGAGGACTCGACCGGGTCGGCTTGACCGTCACAGTGGGGCTCTGGGGCGTCACAGATCCGTGACCATTTGACTAGTCGCCGGAAGACCAATGACTCGCTGACGTAGGCCCGTGGGATGGAGCTTCCAGCCCCAAAGTAAAGTTCAGCCGTTGGGTCGAGTGGATCGGCGGAGCAGCCTCGCGACGAGAAGAGGTCCGAGGGTGCGTCAAAGAACTGGGAATCAGATGGGTACAGTCGTGAAGTATACGTGTACATGTACAGGGACAGTGCAATCTGGAGATATGTAGATTGTAGATTATACTCGTGTAGCACGATGTACTGGAGGATGCGATTGATCTGGAGATGCTTGAGGATTGAGAAAGAGACAGAGTATAGGTCCTGGACAGAGATTGTTAGATCATCAGCTCTCCAAGACGAAAGTGAGACGAGGAAAGAATCAGTGATGATATACTCCATGACAATCTGGCATGTGATCACGCAGACGAAGAGTCAGTAGCTCAAGAGTGCTCACTGCTCACTGCTCAGTACTGCATAAAGGTATCATCAGTACGAGGGTCAAGCCAGATGGACAAGGTGCAGATTGATCTGCACCAAGCTGAGAGCAAAAGTCGATGTCAAAAACGCCGAGTTCTCGACCAGCACGCGTACATGTAGTGTACCCTTGTAGCTTGTCGGTGAGGTATCCATGCAAAACCAACAGACAGGCGAGTTAGTCGCCGCAAATATTCAAAACCGAAGACCTAACACAATAGTTACTAGCTAGTACGTTATCCTCATTGAGACATATGGAGGAGCCATCGCCTCGTCCAAACGAAACCAGACATACCGTACCTTCGATGAGTCTACTCTACCACCGTCGCCTCGACCGTGAGCGTGTCAGAATCATAATCACTCGTTATTGCAGGAACTAGGAAGTCCTGTGCTATCCAGATTCGACGACGACAGTTGTGATAGTTTCAAAGATCGGTCCACTCGTTGTGTGATCTTCTGTCGGTACAGGCTTGGACTTTTAGATCAGCTTATGTAGTAGGCCTCCTGATCGACTACGTCCGAAGGTTCGTCCCTCTAATAGTAGTAGGTCATAGCTAAGGTATGTCTCTTCCTCAACGATTAGTCACAATCAGATGTCCAGTGCAGTTGTCCCCTGTGCAGTCCCCATCTTTCTGACACGATGCTATTCATTCTAAGTCAAAGTCTAAAGACCACCACGGCAGCGCGGTCTCCATTCGCACTCCCAAGTCCCCGCTTGTCAGGTCTCCAGTGTGATCCGTCTGATGGTTACAAAAGCTGCGCTCCGACTGCGACGACTGGCTCCCTGCAGTTTGTAGGAGACTGGAGCCTCCACCGTGACCACCTGAAGACTCGGCCAGCTTATCCCTCGGCGGGTCCCTGGAACTTTGTACTTTATTCACCTTGAACCCTCAACCTCGTCTTCACCTCTCCCTCCTTCGCCTTCTTTCTCGATCTCCATCCTCCTTCACCTCCTCCTCCACCTCTCATTTCTCTTTCCTTTCTCATCTCTTCTTGTGAACATCATCGCCTCTGCCCTCAAACATAGGTGTCTCCTTCGACTCGAATCCCGTGTCTCTCTCTCTCGCTCCCTCTCTTCCCCTCTTTCTCTCTCTCTCTCCCTCTCTCTCTTTTCTCCTTGCTCCATTCCCGCATCGCTCGCTTGTTCGTGACAGATTCCAAAGGGCGATCCATCCATCTTTGCCATCCACTCTGATCTCATCGGAATTCCTCCCCTCTGGCACACCTGGACTCGCTTGGTCTCTTTGACGCTCCCTCTGCGACGACCCTCCTTCAACTTGGACCCAAAGATCGCCCGCATATTATTGGCTCACCGCGTCTCGGACACCAGCAGATCATCGCTGAGGGTCCTGTCTCGCTCTCCCTTGCGTCCTCAAACAGCGGCCAGAAAAGAAGAAAAAAAAAAAAAAGGAAATTGTACTATTTCCTCATTGCCTGTTTCGTTCTTTACTCGTCGTCTTCTGTTCGGCGGCCACCCAGCTTCTTCAACCCTTCGCCTGAGCGTGAGCGACGACCCGCGACTGGCCTTCTAGGACGACTGAGACTGCTTCGCGCGAGTACGAGTCCCCTGTCCCGCCCGACATCGTGAATGTTTGTCCGACACGACTGCCTCACCGCTGCCGTGTCGGTCTTGTGCACCATCCGTCGAGCACTGGCATCGTCCCCATAATGCGGTGTCGGAAACGTTTCAAGGAGGCTGTCTGTTGAATGTCTCGCAAATTCATATTACTTGTGAACATTGTCAACCCAATTGAAACCACCTTTTTCTGTCCGATCGGAACAAACCCCACCAGACGGACCGTCGTCCCGTGGAGGTGAAGATGTTTCCGACCGTCGCGCCTTTTCCGTCGGTGCATCCGCATCATCATATGCACCCGTATCCTACTCCCGACGCCCTGAGATCACCTTTCCACAATGTGAACGAACACGGTCTACCCGGTGCTCACGACCCCTCGATGACCTTTCAAAATCCCATCCTGCGCTCCCGTGTACAACTACCGCAACCCGTTCAGCGAGTCGACACTCGTGATGCCACAGCGCCAGGCTCCAATGCTCATGCGATGGCGGAGCATGCGTTGAGGAGAAAGACGCCGAATGGGACGCTCGCCGCGGGCTACGATGGAACCCCAGGCGACAGCATGATTCAACCGGCATCCAAACATATCCTGGTCTCCCCAATGGAGTCGAATTACTTCATCCCACCACAGTCAAGGCGACTCTCGACTTCCTGGCAGCAGCCTGCACCAGATCAACCCGAGCTGGGGAATGCCAATTTTCCACCAGTATTCAAAAGTGATGGAACCGGTCCCTTCACAAGTGGGGATCGGATACATGGCGCCAACGGCACTGGCTGGGTGCGTCCAGTCAATCATCACCCGGGAGTCGACTCGTTCTTGAACCAAAGCTTGCCGTTGCAGGGAGCACCTCGATATGTATTGCATAATGGCGCCTACATTCCCACGGTCTTGCCAGCAACGCTTCAGCAATGCGTGGGCCCAACAGCCTCAGCAGGAACCGCGCCGTACGGACCATACTGGCCTGATGGGGTCTTTATCCCCTATCGCCCGGCGGCCATTCGTGACGCTCGCTTTGGAGCCCCTCCACCCCCCGTGCAATCTTTCTTCGACCCGAACCAGCATGCTCTCGATCCTTTCCGCTCTCCGCTTGACCCTCGTTCCGGGCAGCCATTCTCCTGGGATCGATCGGTACCCGTGCTGCCATCGCAGGACCCGCTCATGAAGCCCCTGTTTCCTCCACGGCACTCGGATCAATTATCATATCACGCTCGCGTTGTCAACCGGCTTGACTCAACGGCCACACCCGACTTGTTGAATCATGATCCCACGGCATGGACCAGTCAGACGTCTGATGTACCTCTACAGGGTCACGCTGCCGCCCCTACAGGCAAAATCGAGTTTAAGGAGAAGATTCTATCCTGGGCCCACGGGGTCTATGTTGACTTGCTGGCCACGATCCACCAGGCTCGTCGTAATAGTCTTACCTCTGGTGCAGTCGATGCACAGGCGTCACGCTACCTCAAACCCAGCATTTATCCGAAACCCCCACGTCAACCCGGCTTGGACTTCTCGCAAAATCCTTCTGATTCTCTGCGTCACAACAGCTATCCATCTGGCCAGGATGACTTGCCACGACGCAAGCATGAGATGGCAGGAAACTCCCATGTAGATGATTTGCCGTCAGCCAGGTATCCGTTGAGTCACGCCCAGGGACAACGTCCGTCTATGGGCCGCTTTCCAGAGGTTCGCAGCAGCGGCGTAGACTCCGAGGTTAGGGGAACAGGCCGTTTTCGAGCGCAAACGGGCCCTCGAATCCACGGGTCCGTCTTGAATGAGGGATCAGCCGTCAGCAATGCAGCCTCCGCTCTCGAAATGCTGTCCCACCTTTGCTCAGAGAGTAATTGGGAATGGATAGACGGAATGTTACTCGGTGGCTGCCTGGCCTACGGGTTAGGGGACTATCATAAAGCGATGCGATGGTACTCGCGAATCATCGCGCGTGATGCGAGGTGAGTTGCCACTGACTCCAGCATTGCGGGTCCCACATGATCTACTGCGTTTGATACTGACATCTCAGCAGCCACGTTGAAGCCATCTCCAATCTGGCCGCCACGCTTCTTGCGCTCGACCGGCGCGAAGAAGCCATGCAGCATTGGCTTCGCGCGGTCAAGTTGCGCCCGAGCTTTTTCGAAGCCGTCGAGCACTTGATTGGCCTCTTGTGCACTAGTCAGCGAGGAAGAGAAGCCGTCAATATTATCGATTTCGTTCAATCCTCCCTGCGTCATCCCAAGGATGGGGACTATTTCAAAGCCGACGAGCATGCCAGTGAACCTGAAAGCGATGCCGAGAGCAACGTTTCCGACGTCGGCATGTATGACAGGGCATCTTTTGACTACGATAATGACTTGGGTCGGGCGCATGGTTTGAAATACGGCGGATCACTTGACTCTCCGACTGCACCTGGCTTTGCCACGAGTGGGTATGCCATTGCAGGCTCAGACAATGGTCGGATGCTCGCTCTGATCCATGCTAAGGGAAACATGTTGTACGCTCTGGGCGATAACTTAGGCGCTGCGTCTGCATTCGAGGATGCGGTTTTGATTGCTGCGGGGAGGAGACGACATGGTGTGCAAAGCTTAATCAAGCAGATATTTGCTGCCTTTTCGACTTCTCCAAGCAATGGGTACCATCGGGCCGAGGTGGACCGCAATGAAAACATTCTATTGTACCCTGATCGAGCTCTGCAAACCGCAAAGCTTGTCTTCCAGGCCGGCGGACTGCCACCTGGTTTGAGATTTGTGGCGGAAGGAATGGCACGCAGCGCTGCGATTTCTACCACAAGCAACTCCTTGCTCTCTCTGGCCAAGATCTACCAGGATGGGATGGCCGCCATCGCATCTGCTACTCCCAAAGCTGCGCCCGGTGTGCGAGATATTCTTGCCCTTTATTACCTTTCTCTTTCGTTACAACCGAGCCCATCCACAGCCAATAATGTCGGGATCCTGTTGGCTGGTATTCAGAATACTTCACCTGCTCGCGGGTTGAGGCGTCCCAATGGTGACACACAGCATCCTGACATTCCCGGCGTTGTGCCCGGCAGTGGTATTTCGTTGGCCTTGGCATACTACAATTACGGTCTGCAACTCGATTCGCGGCATGCCCATTTGTACACGAACTTGGGTAGTCTGCTTAAGGATATCGGTCAGCTTCAGGCTTCAATCAAGATGTACGAGCAAGCCGTTCACTACGATGGCAACTTTGACATTGCACTGGCCAATCTGGCCAACGCCGTGAAGGATGCCGGTCGTGTTAACGATGCAATCTCCTACTACAAACGTGCTGTAAAGGTCAACCCCGAATTCGCGGAGGCTGTTTGCGGCTTGGCCAATGCGCTCAATTCCGTGTGCAACTGGACAGGTCGAGGAGGAATCGTCAATAGCCGTGGTTTCAGAGACCGTTGGCATGTCGACGACAAGGGCATGCTTCGAGATTCACACAACACCTCCGACTCCGGAGTAGGCTGGATCCAAAGGGTGGTTGACATTGTGGATCGCCAATTGCGGGAAGGGGAGAATTGGGGCCGAGGTCTGTTGACATCGAACGTGTCCGAGCAACTGGTGGCACAGCTATCCAATGCTTTAGAGTCGTCCTATTTGGGTCACTCTGCCCCATCCCGTAGGCTGGCCCTGGCTCAGATCCTGCAGTCTTGGGCGGGTCAGAAGTGGGAGGGCTCTCGCCTTGTTCGTCTCGTCGAGAAAGCCATACGTTCCATCATGTGGCGCTGGTATCAGGATCGCTATGTCCACGGGCGGGAACTGCCTGACTCTCAGTATCGTCGACCTCAACTTCCGACAGCGTTGACTGCTCCCAATGCTCCCACCGTCTTACCATTTCATACATTCACATGTCCTCTGTCTGCCAAACAAATCCGGCAAATATCTCAGCGAAATGGTCTCCGCATATCGTGTTCGACACTTCGTTCGCCGTGGCTTCCTGCTACTGTGTATCCACCGCCATCTCCTCCCAGCCCGCACCTTCGCGTCGGGTACGTGTCGTCAGATTTCAATAATCATCCGCTGGCCCACCTGATGCAGTCAGTCTTTGGGTTACACAATCCTCGTCGAGTGCAAGCCTATTGTTACGCCACCACCGCCAGTGATAAGTCCATCCATCGACAACAGATCGAGAAGGAGGCCCCTGTCTTCCATGACGCCAGTGGGTGGTCTGTGGATCGGCTTGTTCAACAAATTGTCAAGGATGGGATCCATATCTTGATCAACCTGAACGGCTACACCCGAGGAGCTCGGAACGAAGTATTTGCCGCTCGACCTGCACCTATTCACATGTCTTTCATGGGCTTTGCTGGTACTCTGGGGGCGGAGTGGTGCGATTACATCCTCGCTGACGAGCTCTCTATTCCAACAGAGACTCTGAGTCCAGGCCGTCGCACCGCGCGTATCGAAGATCGCTTGCTCGAAGAGGACAACTCTGAGGATCTTGAGGACTGGGTCTACGGAGAGAAGATGGTTTACACTAGAGACACATTTTTCTGCTGTGATCATCGTCAGAGTGCACCGGATGCAGGTGAACAGCCCTTGTCTTGGGAACAAGAGCAGCAACGTCGCTGGAGGATGCGGAAAGAGCTTTTCCCACATCTCAGCGACGATACCATCATTCTGGGTAACTTTAATCAACTCTACAAGGTAAGCAAGTCGTGGAGCAATATCCCCCAAGTGTGAGCTTCAGTTGCTTAGATCAAAACCCCCTTAACCAGATTGAACCGACGACATTCCGGACATGGCTCCGAATTTTGGCGCGCATCCCTAATTCTGTCTTGTGGTTGCTACGCTTCCCGGAGACTGGCGAGCAAAATTTGCGAGAGACTGCCAAAGCGTGGGCAGGCGAAGAAACGGCATCCAGAATTATCTTCACCGACGTCGCACCAAAGAATGCGCACATTGCGAGGGCCAAGGTCCTGGACTTGTTTCTGGACACCCCCGAATGTAATGCCCACACCACGGCGACTGACGTTCTCTGGAGTGGCACTCCGCTGCTCACGCTGCCTCGCTACAAGTACAAGATGTGCTCTCGTATGGCGAGCAGTATTCTCAGCAGCGCGCTACCAAGTGATAAGGCTGGGCGATGGGCGCGCGAAGAGCTTATTGCGAGCTCCGACGATGATTATGAGAACAAGGCAATTCGGCTCTGCTTGGACCTGCAGTATGTGCCCGGCGGTGAGGGTCGGGCGCGCGGCCGACTGGCGGATCTTCGACAGATGCTTTTCTTGCAACGATATCAAAACAAGCTATTTGACACGGCGCGCTGGGTCCGCGACTTAGAAGATGCTTACGAGGCGGTTTGGGCGCAATGGGTGAATGGCGAAGAGGGCGATATCTGGTTATAATGTACACAGCGAAACTTATACCCCTATGAGCGACTTTGATTTTCTTTTCTTTCCATTTTTCTTTCACAAGATGTCTGATTTTCCCTTCGTTTCTTCCATTTCCTCTTGTCGGAATACATGTTTTTGTAAACACATATTGCATTGAAGCCGGATATGGGACACACTCTTCTCACTTGGACGGGATCTTGCGCCTCTTTTGAACGCGACACAATCTTATGAAACCTTCACATTCTACTAGACAGTGTCCAGGTACGCCTCCATTTAGTTCCGAGCAACCTTCACTTCATATACCACACACAGTTTGTTGTTAGCATAAGACTCATGAAGACTTCGTCATGCACATTTTTGCCAAAACATCGGTCCGACGCAACTCATGAAGCTCACACTACTTGCGCTTGTCGCTCGGAGAATAAACACAAGCCTTGACCTGTTCTTCCTGCCTCAAGATCCTGCTGCACCCACTGAACAACCCATACTCACCGAGTCGTCCCACCAGAGGTGACTAGCAGGTCTCGACCAGCAACTGACTCAGTAGTGGCTCTCGTACGAATGCCGCGCATCGCATCGCTGCCCGCTTTCGTGAATCAGACGGGAAGTCTCAAAAACGAGACGTTTCCACAGCTAGTCTCCACGCACCGCACAGTGGAGACTGGAGACAGGCAGAGCGAAGACAGGTAGCCATGTGGTGCTAGCGTCTCCAAAAGATGAAATTTCCGCAACAACAACAACAAATGCAGTGGACTACTGGACACTGGACCCAGCTCTGCGCTTGCGAGTCGACTTTCTGATTGCCTCCTCAATCCCCCAATTCGACAGACCATCAGACAATTGAACCGAACCAGATTGTGGATCAATCTGGATCTCGGTGAGCTCGTGAGATAGCAGTTGTGTATATGCCTGCGTTGTTGAAATTCCAACACGCCGTTAACTCAATTGGACTGGCTAGGGTGGTCCCTTTCAGTTCTTGACGCCTTTTTTTTTTGCCGAGAGTGGAGGTGCCTTACTTTTTCACTGCGGTGGTTAAAGTCTCTGCCTTGGACCTAGGGTTTCGGGCTAGAGCCGTTATTTTTGTTGACTGTGTGGGTTGGTAAACTCTTTCGAGCATTGACCTGAGTCTTCAAGTCTTGTAGTGGGGTAGGGGGGTCGTCTGTCGTCTCAGGAGTAAATAGATGATGGGTTGGCTCGAAAAACGATACGATAGCTTGTGGAGGTGGCCAGTTCAGTGGAAGTGCATTGTTCGACAAGATGTATATCCACCTTGACTGTACACTATACAGTATACAGTGAGCGCACAGATAGCCGAACTGGCTGGTGGCTACTTGTACAACAATTGAACGAACCCATAGCATCATGGGGCAGTCCAGTCCAGTGTCTCGACCCGTCATAGGGCTTGTCCCTGGGCGTTAGAGTCAAGACAATGCTTTCCACATCCCTCAGGCCGCCAAGTGGCTCGGCCCAGCAGTTCCGCTTAGGAAGGTGAACACTGAAACCTGGAATGCTACGAAATGGAAATTCTGCAACAACAAAACCATCGGGGTAAGATTTTGCTTTGCGGAAGTAGCCTGAACACAGTAGTACCTACGGGCCGGCCTGTTCAATAGAGTAGTGGCTCTGCTGAATCCATGCATTGACCTGGAAAAGGTCCCCAAAAAAAAGAACTGTCGGACTTTGCTCTGATTCTAGCATTTTGACAGCTTCACTTCCCTCCAGGTATTTGCAAATATGAGCTGCCAGACCAGGTCTGGACCCCGCCGTTGGGGGACGAGGTCACTTGGTTTTGCAAGATCGGGGGTCCCTATCTCCCATCTGGACCCTGTAGAAATGTGAACCCGCTGGGTTTGGGTATCGGTAACGCCTACTGGACCGTGCAGGGTAATAGTCACAAATAGTAAACAATCGTGAGGTTGGTCTGCTTTGCCACAGACCGGTCTGTCTAGACTTAACTGGGCTGTGTGATATACTACCAGGAAATCTGGCCAGATTGAATCGATTTTGTATATTTGAAGGTGAGGTTCAACATCAGCGTGTAAGAGAAAGAATCTTCGTTCTAATTCGAGTGGAAGATTGAGGCATACTCAAGTTTGTGTTCGGCTTACTCTTTACCAAAGCGGCAGATTTTTGTGCTGTATGGTTGTCTCGGCTTCTATTTCACATTCACCTCTTTCCTTCCAGATCCCAGGATTGGTGCATCTGGAAATTTCATATACAGCTCTTGAAAGATTGTGTTACGTGATCGGATTTGGTTCCTAATAGGTAGTATGATGAGAAAATGGGGCACCACCGCTTCTCGACTAAACTAGTGAAACCCCATACAAACCTGCAGTCTTGCATAGTATGCAGCTTGCATATTGTATCTTCCTCATGACGGACGGGGAAGTGTAGGGTTGCAAGAATATCCAGATCAAGGGAGGGAAAGTCTATTGCGCATATCTGTCTAAGTGTCAGTCAGGGGATAAGGGTCGGATATGCCGTCCGCAGTCCGCATTCCGCAGAGACAGCCTCGATAGATGATGCGGATGGAGCAGTCAGCAGAGTTGGTGGACAATACGGTGTTGCCGAGGCTGTTTCGTTGCAAAACTTCTCGAGTAGTCGAGTAGTCGAGTAGTGTATCACTATCTGGTATCACGATCAGAATCCATTCCAGTATCCAGGGGTTTGGTAACACAGTATTGATGTAATATATGTACTATACGGTATTGTCGTTCCACTCCCCCACTGCATCCTCTCCCCGATTTTGATCTAAACACATACCAACACGGTAAGTCAAGGTGAAGGCCCGAGTCCCGACAGGCGGGTACCATCTGCCAGACTAGATCGAATCAAGACTAGCTCAGCGATAGCGCAGAACCACCCCGAGATCCTCCGTAGGCCAATGAAAAAAAACCACCAACCCATCAGACGATGCCAGATATGGATGCAGGAGGAACCGGAACCAGCATGGTGGTCCTCACTTGCATGATTAAAGTACAGAAGCTCTAATCCCGCTTTGGATCAGACTAGGGTGCTTTGATGTCACCCAGGGATCCGCGCGCGCTGTGGCCACGCTGACCCATAGTAAGATGATCGTGATTAAAGAAGTACCTACAGTGGTGGACGCCGTACGGGAGGGCCACGTATCGATCGACTCCTGACTCGTGTAGCGCGGAAATGATCTATGATGTTCACCACCCACAGGAGCGTCTATGGCTCGCGGATCCCACCACATCTAGGAGAACACACGTAGTGTTCCTGCGTCGAAATTTTTGATTGTGCTCGGTCAGATGACGTGGTACATACATTCGTACAGTTCTTCATCCAGTGGAGTATTGAACAATACGCCGATTGCTGACCATAGGTGTGCAGGATCGAGGGTGGAAAGATTGCAGCGAGGCACGACGATAGGCAAGACATCCATGGTCCACTTATCCCCTCAATAATCTGCTTGCGCGATCTTCAGTCTCTTTCAGCTCGCCTTCTTCCTCGCCACTTTCTCTGTTCGCCTTCAGGATAATCGTGACTAGGCAAAATCACCAGCCGATATAAGCTAGGATACGATAATGGAACCGGGATACTACCATCTCTAGGTCACCGAATCGTCGAACCTAGTTGAAGGGGTCCGAGAGTCCTACTACACTACATCCAGTATGGTGATTGCAACGAGTCAGGGCGTCTGTGAAGCTTGGCGATCCGGATAGCCGATCAAAGAGCAGGATCCGATGGATCGGGACCCAACGGTCGAGGAAGCGATATACCTAATACGTGTTTCTTGGTGTAGAGAATGGATAGATACGACCAGACTGCCCTTGTTACTAGGAGAATCGAGATCTACATATGCTACAGTGTGAAATTATTCGTACGGAAGGAACCAAAGAAAAACCGGCTCGCCAATCGCCTGGTCATCGAGATTCTGGTGTGCCCTGGGACAATTTCTTGGCAGAATGAAGGTACGGTATGATTCCACAGATCGTCTTCTCACAGCCAATTCCTATCTTCTTTCTCGGCTACATGCCATCAATAATGAATTGTCAGAAACAGATGCAATTGAAGAATGTATGATCATCTGTTTGACAGAGGATTACCCCTGATCCATCCACGAGGCACCCATGGCTCACTGGCTGAACGATCAAGTTTCAAATGATGGGTTCCAACGGTATCCGCAACCTTACAGGCCAAAGAAGTCTCCAGAATCGCAGAAATGGGTAGTTGAGAGCGATCCGTTCTCGTACAGACGGGGGGTTTCCCGATTGCCGGTCACCACCAGCTTCTTCGGGTGATTTTGCGAATACACTGTACCAAGAGTACTTTACATTCTACAGAGCCACTCGAAATGTATGAACGTGGTAATTTATAATACATCCTTTCCTGGACTGCCAAATAGTGAATCGACATACTAATTGTATCGATCACGATCAAGCACCCGTTTGGCCCGCCAGCATCCAGATGTGCAGGAGCCAGGTCCTAGCCGGGCAAAACGGGAGGCCATGGACCAACGTGACTGTAAATGGGCTTAGTGTTGAACTGCCAGTTCCTTTTAACAGCTTGATCATCGTGACTAGCCTCAATCCAGGCCTGGCTTCTCGCAGCTGATACTACTTTTTTTAGCTGGGGTCGAGATTAGCCTCAACACTGGAGTAATTGGTCGACTGTAATCTACCTACCAATTGTGGAAGAGGCTCCCAGGCCAGTGTAAAGTTCGTAAACGCTAGCTACTACTAACTACTGTACAAACCTACAAGTCTTGTATGCGACTGTACGGAGGCTATCACCGTCTTTCGGAATTCAATATAGTCTTCATTCATTGGCGGATCTGCCCTTGTCGAGGGGAAAAAGCAAAGCATCAGGATCGAGTCACAAGCTGCATGCTTCGATCTCGTGTTGTAGTGATGAACCGTGATGAACCGTCCCCAAGGAACCGACGAGCCCCAGTCGCAAAGCATGTTTCAGCCGGACTCTGGGATCCGTCGATTTCATCCTGAATTTTGCTTATTCCTGGGATCATCTGCTTTCCCGCTCGATGGTTT